TATTCATTTCATAAGATGTTGACAAGGAGAATGTGTTTTACAATCAAGAGCTTTGTTTCCTTTACTCTAGTGATCTTAATGTTTAATTCAGGGGTGTTATGGAAAGGAGAAGTTAGATTTTAGTCACCTGTAGGTGTCAAGGGGTTGATATAATATTATCAAATTGATTGATTTTTTATTGAATTTACAATGATTTGTTTCCTCTTCTGTTCTTAATAGCATCTGTTGCAGTGAAAGTCAACAAACTCAAGAAACTCAAATGTGTTAAAGTCAAAGTTGGCATAGAGAGAGACTCATCTGCTATATCTTCAACTCAAGATGTGAATAAATTCTCTTCTTTGGAAAATCAAAGACAACTTAATTTTCCAGCTGTAAATAGTTCCATGAATGTTCAAGTAGACTCAGCTCAGGCATCATCATTTGGCAATCACACAGTTAATCTTGATGGCTATAGTGCTTTTGATGGACAGAGAAGAGACTCGTTATATCAGATTAAAAATGGAGATGTAACATCCAGAGATTCTAGTTTAGCTAATGGGGATTCCAGTCTTCCTCTTGTAAATATTGTCCCTGATGAAAATCATGTACCTGGTAGAGTACTTGACATGAGTGAACATAGTAGTAATGTTTATAGAACTTCAACAGAGTCGCCAAGCTCACAAACAACAGGGTTACAGCTTTCTTCTCATCAACAATTAGTAGACGTTGAGAGTGCCAGAGAGGCTGCTGTGAGTATCCTAACATTTTCTTTGTTCACGTTCTACATATCTTTCGAAAGAAAAGAAAACTGAATCAGGGTGTTTTACTTTATGAAGATTATGGCCAAGCAATGGCATACCTTAAATTTATCGCTTTTGTATGGATAAGAAAAATCAAATCAAGGATTAATTAATTGTTAACTATTCATTTAATGCATTTATCAATTAAGGTAGGTTAGGACAAGACTGCAATAGTTCACTGATTTGCAAATATTAATCTATAGTGTAATACCTTCTACAATGCTGTGTGTGTCTGTTGCCTAACAAATGATTTCTTCTCTTTAAAGCTGGACGATGAGAGTGAACCCATAGATTTAAGCTGGCCTTCAGGCTGGAAAGATAGAATAGTTTATGTCATCAGAGCACCTGTTGTGTTCTGTATGTATTACACAGCTCAGGATATCAAAAGACCAGTAAGTTACATGCAGTGTATGGTTTGTCCATTGCTTATTATACAGAATTATGCTTGAGGAGTTAAGAAACTGCACCATACATGTACACTGACACATATTTAGAGCAAATTTTCTATTGAGTGTTGTGAATAATCAGTGATTGCTTTTGCTTTGCTCTTCTTTGCTGGTTGATTGGTCCAGGTCTTGTAACAATCAGATTCTAAACTAAAACCAATTGCAACTTACCTGCATTTTCTCGTGCTTCACAATGTTAGCTTATTTTCACCTTGAGTTCTCATTGGCTCCAAGTTATATTTTCCTTTGTTCTGATTTGCTGTGTTGATTATTGTTGTTTTTGCTTGCAACACTCTGTCAAAATATTCTCTATTCTGCAAAAAGGGAGAGGAAAAAATTGTTGTCCATGGTGTCTCTTTTTTCTGAAAGCTTGACCTTGCTCTTCTTCTAGTATTGTTGTAAAGCCATGACTAGATCAATTCTGCATGTGCTGAGAAAAAGTTGCACAATGATAAATTTTATAAATCAACTAACCAGGCATGACCCCATTAGGCCAGCAATACAACATTAATTTTGATTCCTCATGCATGGTATGAAAGATTAAGGTGTTGATTTTATTTTTAGGGAAAAAGGTACTTGTATCTTTGGTGTTTTGTCTGGTCCATGCTTTGGATTGTTGGGTTTTCTTATTTAATGGTTTGGTGGGCGACTGAAGTTGGAAATACTCTTGGGATTGAAACAGAGGTAAGAGAATAATACTTTAACTTTTCACTCTGAAGATCTCATTTTTAATTCTCCTGCTGGGTCTGCCTCTTCCTTCTCTTTCACACCCTCCCCTCCCTTATCAGCATCCTTTTGTCTTCCTCTAGCAATTATCCAATGAAAAGAAACAAAAGCTCCCAAAAGATCAGGATGGGAAGGGTTGATGTAATCAGTAAATCTCCTTACTGTCTGCCATACAATTCTTATGATGTTAGTTTTGAGAACTTTTTATTGGATCAATTAATAATCCCCTGATTGATATTTGCCTTTATTCTTGTCACTCATCTGTTTGATATGGTATTGATATGGTATGGAGAAATTCTCTCTTAGTCACACGCATGGGAGTTAAAGGGTTAATTTCATTAATTTAATTTAGTATGGTGTTTGGCACTGTACTTTCATTGACCTGTCAACAAAAGAGCAGGGAATTCAATTCATGTGAACATGCTTTGCCATTAATTGTAGGTTTTAACTATTTTTTATAGCTGAGGTACAATTTTTCTTAGTGGCTCGAGTTACTCAATGAACTCATTTTCTTGGAATTTAGATGAGACAGTCATGTTCTTTCCTTTTCCAGATCATGGGATTAACATTCTTAGCAGCAGGAACCAGTATACCTGATCTGATTACTAGTGTTTTAGTGGCAAGGAAGGGCTTTGGTGACATGGCTGTGTCTAGTTCTATTGGTAGCAACTTGTTTGATGTCACAATAGGGTAAGAGGAACATATAAGCTTGATTTAAATGGTATTGTGTACCAAAAATAGCAGTGCAGTTTTCAAAGGTAATAAAGAATGATAGGAACTCCTTGGTACATGTAGCTACCTTACAAAAACTCTTTTAGCAATAGGAAGATCTTTAATGGCTTAGAGAAACTCTTTTTTTCAACCTTACATGTATTGACATATTTAATATTAAGAATCCAATTTTTCTGCCCAGGCTGCCTCTACCATGGTTGATTTACAGTGCTGCAAATGTTGGCAAGGCTATGGTTGTCAACAGCACAGGTCTCTTCTGTTCGGTGTTTTTGCTCTTCATCATGTTGATAGCTGTAGTTATTGCAATTGCTGTCAGTAAATGGAGATTGTCCAAACTGCTTGGTGGTGCCATGTTCCAGCTCTATGTTGTTTTCCTTGTCATATCATTGTTGTTGTTGAAGGATGTCATTAAATGCCCAGAAATCTAAAGGTAATTAGGTCTGATTTTTGCTATTAATAATGCATAAATAATATTTATTTCCCAGTAATGCAAGCCAGGACTGGTTATTCTTCTGACATCATGCAATATATATTTTTTTATCTTTCATATCTACACCAGTAATGGAACAGGGCAGGAAATACTTTTTTGTTCAATAGACATATCTATAGCTTTGTAGTGTTCTTTGCATCCTGGTGAAAACATTATGGGAATTGTTGAGTCAAGCCCAGTTCAAAGGGTCATGATAGTTTCAACCATCATTACAACACAAACTATCATGTGCTATCATCGACTATGCTCAAATTCATCATGATAGTTGATGATAATTTTTGCGGTTTGAATGAGCAGATGATAGTGAGTGATAGTTTTTGGGTAAACAGTTTAGCCAAAACCAGGCTCAAACTGAAATGGCAAATGGTAAAATGACTAAAATAGCTGTAAAAATTTTTCAGAATGTCTCATGGTTTATTCTCATCATATCATGGTAGGCTTCAGTATCTTCAACTTGCAACTTTTTGAGTAAAATTTCAAATGCCACAGAATAGTCTGACTTCAGCGCACACTATTTGTTTACAATAATGCAATCTTGTTGCATGATCTAGTCATCTATCATCAACTACCATGACCGTCTGAATGGGTCCTTTGTGTTATTATTCCTTTCACACCAGGATCTCAATATCAATTCTCCTTTTTGTCTGGCATATATTTCTTACAATCCAGGTTCTGAGAATATGAGGTTAAATCATACTTTAAGTTTATTTTTTGCTCTCTTCTCATAACCTATTTCTTGGCTGTATATAGATATGTTTTAGGGAGAAATTATTCATTGGTTACTCTTGATTGAAAGGGTTAACCCTCTAGAAGAGGGCAGGAATTCTTTAGCCTCTTCAGCTTTGGGAATATCTCTAAGTAACATGGTCAAAATAGATTTGACATTGTTGCTGACTATCTTGTTTGTATTTGTTGCAGAATAAATTTTTTCAAGAGGGATTCTACATTTCCATTTTCTCCACATCTCTGGCAGGCTTTCATAAGCAGTCTTTCAAATCAGTGCACCATACAGATATCTGCACTCAAATCTTGTTGTACCTTTGTCACTCTCACCAACATAGAACAAATAAATCTGGTATCCCTGTAGATGTATTTATATTTTAGAATATTTAGTGGTGCTTCATGGATTAGCATTTAATATGTTTTGTACAAAAAAATTTGTATCTCTCTGTACAGAATGATATGCATACATTTTTTCACTTTGCACTCTGTTTGGTGCATTTATTTTCTTATTTATTTATTGAAATGGTGGCCACCCAAGTTGTTTTTGTCGTTCATTTTGTAGGCAACCTATGATTTTTGTGTTTTCAACAACTTTGAAGAATGTCACTCCAAGTGATAGCCAAACCTTACCACTCATTCTAGTATTTTCCATATGCTTCAAGATGACACCAACTCCAGATGTAAAAGATGAAGCAAGTTACAATTTGTAATTTGTTAGAAAAACTTTAAGGTAGTGATATGAAATCACTGTATACAAGCATAAGATTTGACCTTTTCAGCCTGTAGGGATTCAACTGTAAATGCATTCAGAGAGTGTAAATCACCAACTGGTATTTTGGATTTTTTAAAAAATGCAGTCATTTCTTCTCCATTTTGACTTCACAACTTGTTCACTTGAACTCGTGCAGAGAGAAAGGCTGAGTTAGCACCCTCCTCTGTAGAAGATCGACAAATTCTCAGTTAAGAATGAATAACTTATTTATTGATCACCTTTTAAGATGGAGAAAAAACGTTTTAGAAAGTTTTTCATGAGCTGTAACTTAGTGTACATAAATTATGGAAATATTATTATGGTTACAGTCAAACTATTTATTTGTGATTCTAATCACTAGTGTTGTTAATAGTTAGTTGATTACAGAAGAACTTCATCAGTCAAGAATATAAAGTAATTGGATGTTGACTGCAAACCTTATTTAAGACTTGAATTGATGGAAGATTAATTGACTTAGAATTTATTGATTCAGAAATAAACAATCCACTTGCAACATAATAAAACTTCCCTTAAATTTTTATTTTGTGGAAGACCCAAGACACCTAAATGCTTTTGCACAGGACTTCATATCAAGAAATGCAGGTTCGAAACTCTAATTGGAAGGGTCATTGTGTTCTTTTCTTGAGCAAGATACTTTATTCTCACAGTGCCTCTCTCTACACCCAGGAGTATTAATGGTTACTGCCAAAGTGTAAGCAAATACTGAGAAAATAGGGAGGGGGGGGGGGTATTTTGAGATGGACTACCCTCCCATCCATGGGGGAGAAGAAATACTCTTTGTTACTTTGGGTCATTGAAAGCACAAAATTCTGCTGTACTTATGGACAGCTTTGATTCGAGGGCTGATTAGTTTTAAATTTGTATTTTGCAACCAATTTCTCCTGATATCACCTCCTCTATTCCCTTTCCAAAACTATGAATGGCCACAGAGGTGGAAGAGACAACATGATGATCCCTCCCCCTTACTATCAGCAGTAGATTTAGTTCAATGACAAGTTAGCCAGGTTCATGGCAACAGGCTCAGCTTCAGATTTATTCTACTACTCTGCATTTGCTGCAGTTTGCAGCAGTTGTTTTTTGGGGGCTCTCTCATCCACCCTTTTTGTTTTTCTTTCCATTGGCCCCTAGGACCCTAGCCCTGTAATTCTAAGTAATAATAACCCATGTAAAGGCAAGGAGCAGTGCAATTTTCATTGATACTGTTTACTTTAGGTAATGGTGTAAAGCTAAGTATCTCCATCAGTTACCCACTACTGAATTTTATTTGAAGTACTCAGATGACTTTTTTTTTACAAGTTCTCTCTTGTCATCATTTTAGTAAAAAATTTGACCCTAATGAAATCACACACTGGTTTAAATGTCACCATTAGGCGATGTACTATTGTTACTTACAGTATCAATATACACAGATTTGTACATTAATACAATTCAATTCAAAAAAAACTTTTACCTCTAGCCTAAAAAGAAAAAATTGATTACAAAAAAGAAAAGGTTCTACTGCTATTTTGAAGCATCTTTTAAATCTTTGTGTTGAATATAACATCTAAATACTCCAGATAACAGCTTCGAAATTACTTAACTACTGAAACCTCACACAATAGTGAACATTTTACTTCATAATGAAACCTTGTATAACAGGAATCAACCACTACTGTGTGGTACAGCTGTTAAATGAGAATTCCAGGTTAACTAAAGTTATATGCCACACTCCAGCAATTTAAAGAGCTGATCACCTACTAATCATTTGATTATTATTATTCTATAAATAAATTATTTTGCTGTTTAGCAGCTGAAAGCTAAAGCTGTAAAAAGCTAGAAATTCACTCAATTACAATTCAACTTTCTGCTAAAGGAGGTGTCATCTCCAGGCTTGCTGCAAGTCGTGTGCTGAGAGCATTAATCTCCTCAGCTTTGTAAGCAAGCTCTTGCTGCAATTCAGTTAGCTCTTTTACACGTGTTTCATTCAAAGCTGTCTCATTCAAGCGCGAGCTCATCTCTGCTGTTTTTAACTGCAGTCTTTCAATATCAAGCTGCAATGTCTAAAAGAGAAAAAAACTAGTTATTTAGAAATGAATGCTCTTGACTCAAAGATGAAATATAAGGATTCAATTTTGGAGGCCTCCTGGTGTGCAACTGCCCCAGCTTCCAATTGCCACGTGGAACAATGAAATCTACTTGCTACTGAACATATAGCTGGGATACTCTGCCACTAATAGCTTGCAATTAGCCCCCTGTTTGGGTCACCTTCACCCCTAAGGATGACTAGTATCTAATTTCTCTCCAAGTTATCACTACTAAATTGAACATAAGGCTCATCAGAATTGTTAGGAAATGGTCGCAAACTTGAAAAGCTCTTGATCTCTCACAAAATTCTAATTTTCAGTGCCATTGGAAAAGGATGAAGAACAGAATGGAGAATAAACATGCTGGCGTTAAAGTTAAGATTGAAAATGAAACGTCTCAGATGGAAGAAAAGTGTGTGAGGAGGTTGAGCCATGAGCTGATTGAGGATTAAGGTGGGAGTAGCTCATCACATGCTACACATCATTCCTTCCAGGGAGTAGTCCATTTCATTGATTTCATAACCAACCTGGTTCTGGTTTGTGAGTTCTGCATTTGCTTGTCTCAGAGAGGTGATTTCCTGCAGAGTAAAGAAACAAAATTGGTATAAATAGCCTTGTTGAACTGCAAAAGGTCACTTCATGGTTAGGTTTGACAGAAACAGAACATGCTTCATTGTACTACATCTGGATAACCATGCTTGAGTAAACATGCAGCATGCTGTATTCTGACAACATGCAGTGTCTTGCTTCTCTCACCTCGTCCTTCTGTCTGACCATGCTCTCAAGTTGAATCACACGGCCATCCAGGGTGAGTTTCTCTTGTGTCAGGGAATTATATTTCTCACTTACTTGGTCAGAAGATTCTAATTCATGGACCTTTCAAAAAAGGAAATACATGTGAGCTAGCACTTAAAAATGTCTCAGCTATTAGACATCAAGTTATATAAGTTTTCTTGTGAGAATATGGAAAATATACTGATAAAAATACCTCAATAGTGATATCTGCACTATATTAGTTAATAATTAATAATAATAAAACTTAAAGATATTAAATTTCTTTCTATTTCATAAAAAAACAACACTAGAAACAACTCTGATACTTGGTAAATCACTTAAGACTAAACTGTACATTTAAGTCCAAGATAGATGATGCTGAAACCTGAGACATAAAACAGACATTGTTATCACTTTGCTGGTCAGTGGAGCATTTTATAGGCTAAAATATAGATTTTGGCTGACTAAAATGAATTTTAGCCCCCTTGCATGCATGGGCATCATTGTTCAGACTGTTTTGTTGTCATTTTTTTTCAGTTCTTATTTCCTTGAAGCCCTCTCAAGTGATAATTATAGTAGTAATGCAGTTTACACTCTTCAGGAGAAATATTTTTGGGCTCTTCTCAGGATCACCTCGCAGCTCAGGCTAAAATGACTCTGATTCCAGCCCAAAACATATTTGTGCCCACGAAGTTTTATCAGAAAAAATTGATAACATGAAAACTTAAAATGTTCTTAACATATTTTAAATAGCTCACCTTTTTCCTGAGTTTACCATTTTCTTCCTTGTAGGCATTCAGCTGCTTTTTCCACTCTTCAACATTAGTTGTGCTTTCCTGAAGTGCTGCTGTTAACCTTGCATTGTTATTCTTCAATGTTGTCAGCTCTGTCTCCCATTTTTTAGCATTGGTTGAACTGCAGTAATATTTGTGGAGTTAGATTCATACACAGACAACCAGACTCCTTTATCAGAGCGATGAATGTGTTGCATAAAAAGGTTGTTTGTTTTACTTGATCAAAGTTTTGAAGTTTGATGGTGACCAAAATTTATAAATTTTTACTGTTCAGTTTTCATGCTACACTGCATTAAGTGTGTGAAAAATGCCCAACTTTCATTTCACCTACCTCTGAGCAAGGGCCATCTTCAATCTATCATTTTCATATTTCAATTGAGATTCGGTATTTCCAATCAGTTTATGACTGATCCCAGATGATTCTTTTGATTCATCCTAAAATGTAAAAACGTTTAAGATCATCTAAATCAACTCAGCTGGACAAGAATGCTCTGTCATTACTTACAAGTTTACCTGGCCACAATGAACAACTTATCATATCTAGCAAGGGAAAGTTTTGTTTTCAACTTTACAGGAAGCAAGATACAGCTACATGTATACATAAGAACTTATTTTATATGGTGTACTTAGATCATTTCTGGGCACAAACAGAACAAACTTGAAAAGGCGACTAAATATGTAACATATCCACTTTCAAAGAAAGTTAGACCTCTGTAAACTTCTGGCAAAATTTAGCAAGCACTTTGACATGCACCTCCAACCAAAAATTGAATACACATCAAAATGAATAGAAAAGGAATCCTTTGACAAAAACTTTCAGTTATACAAACTATGCCTCACTCAAATGGCTTCAATGTATCTTTCATGAAAACAACCAAAATTTGCACAGTCATGCATCCTGCTCGGTGTATTCAAAAAGTGAGGAACGTAATTTAGAATTTGTAAATGTACCTTTACAGGAATATTCAGCTTCAATGATGCTGGCAAAGATACTTTTCTTTTCACAAACTTTTCCATTTTGTTCTTTCTCAATTGAACAGATGCATTAAGTAAGTTGAAGTGATTCAGAAAAAAACCCGTATTTAAGATATGTGGCTTGCATGATGATATAGCTACTGAAATTTTTTATTATTTTTAGTAGTCTTGCAAAGGATCCATACAAAGCCTTTTGTTAAGTCACCCATTATAACCAGTCATCTGTCAAAAATGACAACAATTACTGGCCTGCTGTTATTTACACAATATTGATATCAGAACATATACAAAGGTGTATAAACCAACAGTTTTAACATGCAGGTTATAAACCCTTAAAAACTTTAGTTTAGCACAGGAGTGTTACCCTCAGCAATCATGACTCAATCAGTAATAAGCTTAAATTTGTCTTTTTAAAATTATTATAATCTCTCATGACCTTTTTTAAACATATGCAGTGAAATCATATTAAAGACTCAAGTAATTTATTAACAAAAATTTGCCACATTGTATTTTTAAGTGAAAATAGTCACTGGTTTTATTATTACAACTGAGGGGGGTAAGCAAAGTTTTGCAGTTGATATTAGCTTGGAGTCCAAGTAAGTAAACTTTATTGTAAAAATATGGTTGTTATTCTAGCAAAAGTATGTCAAAACAATGACAGGTTAATAATTCATAAAACATTACAGCAGTCAAAATGCCTCAAAGAATCACACTTAAATGCAAACAGCTTTCAGATCTTCTGTTTAGTAGTTTTCATTAGCACTTTGATGTTAATTAAGAAAACAGTCATTCAACCATGACTTTTAATCTGGCCAATATTTGATTCATTGGATGATAAAGTAAATCTCTGATTGAAAAGGATTCAGCTCCCTCAAAAGAAATGTTCAAAAATTCTATATTTGTAAGCAACCATCAACCTGCATTTGCAAGATAAAGAAAGTTCTTTAACATCTAAAACAGGTAAGAACCTTTTAAAAAGCACAAACAAGCCCTCCAGGTTAAAAAACAAAGAGATCACATCAGAATAGCACATAAAATTGAATAAATCATTACATCTTAAAATATATTAACATTCAAATTTTAACAATGATGGAATCCCCTTTTAAAACTCTGGAATTCTCAATTCTTCAAGCACTCAAAAACAATTCAATCCTAGTGCCCAAAATTTGATTCAAGCTGTGCATACAATGGCCAACTTCTCACAGAAAGCATACAATTTAAAGCAGATTAACATACCAGTGTTATTAGACATAACCTGAAAGTCACAAAAGAAGCCTAGATGATTTAAATACTGCTGATCAGAAATTAATCTCATTTTTCCATTATTTAAGTATCATTTAAATCAGTTTTCATTTATTATCTATTATCAAATTTCAGGACCCTTAATACAAATTTGGCAATGAGTTCATGACAAACTTAACGAAAGGAAAAGGAGTGAATTTGGAATTCTCTTTGGTTAAAAGTTTCTGTAACCCCACATATTTTTGCCAGATTATCTGATCACTATTTGGCAAGATTGATAAATATATTACAAACAGAAGCTTTCTGATAAAAATATTATCCAAAAAATTAAATTGAAGGGCAACTTTTAAGTTACAGTGACCACCTAGCAAGGAGGCAATTGGTTTACAAACAATGTGAATTATGCCTAAAAATAATACATTACATATAAATTTTACAGAAAAGCAGGGTAAAGAGAGATTTAAAGTTTTTTTTTTTTTTTAATTTGTGATGCACAAAATGCTATTTAAAGTAGATGTGATGTGTGAATGTTCCAAAAATTTGGATGTGAAATGGGTTCAAGATCCTGCTTTGCTGCCTCTTCTATCACAAAAATATTTGTACCTACCTCACCACTGCTCGCAGATGAGTTACTTTTTAGTGATGGAGATTTGTGACCAGCACCAGGTGTACTGTGAGGGGACTCAGTTGTTCCATTTACTGATCCACTTGAAGTGCCATTAGTAGTAATGGCATTAACAGGTGCTGCAGGAGAATTGGAGTTTCCACTGTTGTTGCTCACAACTGTTTTTGTGCCACCCTTAGCTTCTTTAAACTTCTCTGCAAACTAATTGTTACAAGAGGTAAAAGTTAAGACTTAATATGAGAGCTGCGGCTGAAAGCTTTAATGAACAGTATTACAGCCCTTTGCTTCAAAGCAGGATTGGGCAATCTATAGTCAGAGTTTAAACTTTCATTCCTGACTTCATTCAGTTTGTTGAATGACTTGGTACCCCCATGGTTCCAACACAGGACTTTTCACTCCTAGGAGTGATCACTAAGAAATTTCTCCTTACAATCACTGCATGTTGTCAAGAGTAAAAGAGATGAGAAGAGAGAAAACTGACTGCAATAAAATACCATCCTGCACAGAAGTAATAGCTTTATTCCAAGCCACTTCTTGCTAAAGAAACCAGAATAAGATTCAGAACTTCTGCAGTATTGTATGCTGAGTTGACCTTCCAAAGTGGCTGTTGTGAAAACTCTAACACATATAATAGTAAATTACACTATGGCTTTTACTTAGAAATCTAAAGCCAACAAAAAATGGGGAGCAGACTTAGTTTCCCTAACCTTGTTGAGTTCAGCTTCTGATGGAAATCCTAATCCAAACACAGTGTTTGCCCTGGGATCTGACCACTGACCAAACTTCTGTGATGTCTTAGTAAATGTCATGTTTGCTAATACAGTACTGTTGATAATTGCCTGAAAAGGAATAACAAAAACCTTTTATTATCTTGGCACACCAAAGTAAACCTGAAAAAGAATATTGATACTCTATGTCACATACAAATCTACTTTCCTATAAAATCTCCCTGAATTCTCTCACCAGGAAGGAACATTTGATAAAATTTGACTTTGATGGGTTAGGACATGACACATAACCTTTCTTCAAGAAATTCATCAGTTTGAGCATTTGGAAGAAAAATATATAATAAGGTAGTTAAAGGTGCTTAAATTAGGATCATAACACCTGTGAGGTTTGGGAGGGGGGCCTATCATGTATTTGTGTCCTATGGGTTGAGGAGGTGGAAATCCTCCTTGTTTGTTTTTACTTGAAGATATGTATAAAAATATCCATTGAAACTAAATCTAGCCAGGTTGTCATGACACACAAACATTTTCAAATGAGCCCTCAGGTTATGCTATTTGGAGTGTCATGTGAGTAAATTTCATCATACAACTATCACACGAAAAAATACCAAATAAATCATTACTTCAAAGGAGACAGTTTGATTCAGTTTCCAGTTTCCAATAATGACCAAAAGCAGCTCAATCAATACAGTATTCACACATTCATAGTTGAAAACATATTTGACTTCAATTTTGTTAACATCATAAAAGTGCAAAAACGATGACAATTTACAAATAACTGGCTTCATCGTTATCCTCGTCAAACATTAATTTACAAATTTGAGTTCACACGGAACGTTGTACCTTGTAACATCAATACGTACATGCATTAAAAATAACCAAAAAGTCCATTGTGAAGTAAATTAGTGGAAGCAAAATGAAGCCTAACGCACAATTAATTTTAAAGCAATGAGCTCAACTTTTCGTTTCCGTTTTTTAAAAATTTTCAATTCAAAATCGTGAAACCGTAACGTAATAAAATGTTTACATGCCGAATTTTATTGTTCCATTCATCATCAAGGCTTCAAATGAGTTGATAAATTACCTTAACTCCCAATTTTTAATTACGCGTTTTCTCAAACGGAGAGATGAGAGAAAAATTTATGCAAGCATTAATTCATAGACACACGACGTCTACATGCAAAATAGGCAAAAAAAAAACAAACTAGCCTTTGACAAGGCTTCTTGTTACGCATTACATTTGCTGCACTTCAGGAATGCATAAAATTTATTTCCTTGTCGAGTGATTACACTAAATTTACAAGATTACAACTTCAAAAAGCTACTCCAAAGCGCTTGTTGTCTAGCAATCAAAACTTCTGTATTTTTTCTGAAAATATATAGTTTCAGTCGGGAGACAATTAATTGTGGGACACTTCAGTTCTGGCTAGTTGCCATATTGTTCGAAGCGACTAAACTGACTTCCTTCATAACAGGAAAATACAACAAAACTTCAACCAAAGAAACTTCCTTTGTGAAAACTTCGCACCAAACAGTCTCCAGCAATAATTGTCCATGATTAGTGAACAAGAAATGACTGGGATTAACAAGATATCACAACGCAGTTGTTTCTAAGAATAGCGAATAAATAAAGATTTACTTGATAAACACAAGGCGACCTATCTCGCGAGAAACGCTATTTTCTCACCTTCGTGCCATCAACAGATATGATTCGGTGTGTTCCTTGGTTAGGATCATAGTAAAATGATACAGTTACCGCCTGCTTGGAACACGGTAGCCAGCTCTTTTTCGTTGCAGGATCAATCTGGAATACATGGGCCCGTGTCGAAAATACCGGTTGCTCCCTGTAGAGGAAATACATCGATACGAAATCAAAATATACTCCCGTTTAAATTATGACCACTTTCTGAAGTAAAAAAAAAGACCAGTTTACCCCATGGATAAATAAGCTATTTTCTCGCGGCAATATCCTATCGAAGCTCAGTTTACTGCAAGATGTTCTTCATATTCATGTCAACTGATCTTATTCACACTCTGTGTCTAGGTAACCGCGCCAGCAACTTGGATTCCACTTTAACGGATGTTTACAAATTTAGGAGTTTCGAAATATTTTAGGAAAAGGACATCAACTTAGCAAAATCGAAAAGAAAATATGCAAATTTAACTAACTTCTAAACTCCCTGCTTTTAATTTTTCTCATAAAAGCGAAAATTTTTTTATTACAAATGCAAAAGATTTTACCTGTGATAATATTTATTTTTTCCAACTTTGCAGCCAAATTTTATATTATTTATATTGTGTGCAAGCAAAGGAACAAAACACAAAAGCTTTGTAAGAAGACCGACAACAAGTCAGAGATAAAAAATAGCCTCACACGAGAAAAATGACAGAGTTATTCCTAATAAAAATGAGTGCTTTCCTCTCTTTTTTGGCAGCTCTTGGTCATAAAATATGATTTTCTCGAAATTCACACGAGGGAAGGAAATTACTCGTTGATATATATTGGAATTAGTTTCAACATTTTCCATCAATGTCTGTCAGGAAAACACTATAGAAAGGAAATAAAGAGTCTAAAAAAACAATGATCTGTAAGTTTACAGACTGATAAAACTTATGACCATTGAAAATAGACGAGAATAGAAAATGATTTTTTAAAAATGATAAAATTCCCGATTTAGTTTTATATAACGTAGCCAAGATTTTTTTGGTTTCGACAGTATATTTATCTACTGTGATATTTTTGACAACCTTAATGGCAACACGCAAATATTGCAAAGGCACTGAGAGAGATAATTTAATCTTTACGCTACTATTGTGACCTCCAGCGCTGAAAACACTTAATAATTTTACGTCATTCAACTCGAGTTGTAGATGTCATTATACAAAACTCTGAGCTAATATCTGTGACCAGAAGACCAGTGTTTCTCCTTTTGAGCTAGTCTATAACTAGGAGACTTGTGCTTTTCGAATTTGAAGCGTACCTTCGACTGAAAATTGAAGAAAATTCTTGAATTATCAATCGAGTTGAGCTGATTAATGGTAGAGCTGAGAACTTATTTTAAGGCGGCAATCCGTACGGAATTCTTTTGAATTTATAATCATTTTAATCGTTCTCTAATCAATCCGTATTTATCTGAGGATCAATTATACTTATCTAATATAATATTCAGATCGGTATCTCTACGAATTAAGTAATGCGATCTCAACCGCTGCATGTTTAAAGCTATATTTTAAAAACAAAGCTATTTTGAGTTTTGACTGGAGTTCGCAGAAACTGCAAGTACCCAACCTAACTCAAAAACAGTACACTTGCACAATTCTAAGGCTAAACTAGCTGTGTTGCCAGTCAACCAAGCGGTTGAGAAAGTATGGAGTACTTCATTTTTATGACTGAACATTATGCAAAATTGGTAATTTAAACAAATAGAAAAACTTTGAGTTGAGCGTCTGTGTGCAATTTAAAATGGAAATCAATTTGGCTCAACCCCAATCTTTTCTGTTCAGCAAAATAACAGTTCTCCGATAAAGCAGCCTGTTTAACCAAAACAAATCGTAAAGACGTGACCTCAACCATGTATACAGAAACATTTTACCGTCGATAGAAAGGTGCAAGTTTGCAAGTATGTGAATTTAACTGACCGGTGCCAAAAAAGCAAACAAAAACTGCTGGAACTCGTCGTAAAATACCAAAATTTAGTGGGTAATCCCACCAAACAGGACAAAAACTTATCTAGTTCTTACTCTGGTCTTGGAAGATTGTGCTGGAAGTCCATGGCTGCCCCATTCAAATCCGTGAATTGGCTGGGAGGGTCGAACACGATTTCCAACGGCTCCTTGTGCGAAAGACTCAAACGCGAGCGAACTTGTTTAAACATTTTGACGTTTTGGCCGGCTTTTTTGTGTAATTCAGATTATTGACGGCGTTCAAAGCAAACAGTCTTTTTGTATTTGTTTCCTTAAACTGAAATTTTTGTCAATCAATCTCTAATGAGAGTAAATGATACTCTTGTGAGCTTGAGTCAGCTAATGCTGTTGTTGAGGAGTTGAAAAAGTTTCGGGCAACTTTTCTCAAATTTTTCAAGCGTCGTCAAGCGACATACCTATCATTATAACTCACTTAGCTCTCTGTTAAGCATATAAACAACTCAGACGTGCGTTAAAGAGTGCATGAAACGGAAGGGTCATTGAGCTGCTGGAATTCTTTTGTTAGATGAATAAAAGAGATTTCGCAATTCATTCGTTTAATTACCATAACACAAAAAGACTTATCAACAACTCTTTCAATATCAGAAAACAACCCCTAGACGAAGCAGTTCAGGTTTGCATGCTCGAAAGCTTTTATCTGCCGACGTGTTTAGTGATACAGATAACAAGCTTTTTTACAGATTATTGCGTCAGGGCATGATATTCTGTTTATTTCTAATTTCGTTTTTCTCTAAGCCTGAAAGGAAGCTAGGTAATGGCTTTGGAATTTCCTAAGCGACTACCCGCTGGTCAAAAGCCCCGCAGAAACTTTGTCTTCCGTGTTTTGTTGCTCATGATAAAAAACATTAGTCACAAAAAATGAGAAAAACTGCTTTAGTTTTCTGCTAAAGTTTTTCAGTGTGCAATAAATGCCGTATCAACATCCGTTGAAGTAGAAAATGTTAAAGGGACCCAAACCGTTTCAGACCTCTCTCGTGCATAGTCAAAGGACTACAAAGTCTGGGTCAAATCCTTCGTGTGATTTATTTACTCGGCTTAATGGTCTGCTGGTTTCCAGGATGGACTCAGGTGGCAAGGTGTTTCCTGTAATAGTCTTGGGAAGTAATTCCGAAGGTAACAGCAGATACTTCTTGAAAATATGCCGACCACTAAAAAAAAAGGAACTATGAAAGATAGTTTAAAAAAAGTTATGGATATTGACCTGCGGAGTAATTTTCACAGAGTTTTCGGCAAACCGTCAAGAAACTGTCTAGCGAAGAACAAGTAGAAACGGTCATGGACTCAAGCAGCCAAGATACCAAGAAACAGTTGAAAAAAGAGCGAAATAGAGGCAAGCTGAAATGAGCCAGAAATTGTGAGTAATAAAAATTATCGAGATGAAAGAAAAGCAATTGTAACACTGTAGCTTATGAACCTTAACACCGTCAAACCTCAAACATTCAACTATTCATCTCTACCCTTATTTCTATTCAAACCGTCTCTGCATTGATTTGAGCACGGATACAGAGTTCTGTATTTCTAACAGATTGCTATAGTGTTGGCACCTTGTTCCAGCCCTTTCTTCATTGCAATCGAGTCAGGGCGCTACTTACTGATGCAACCATGCAACGGTAGCTCGAAAATGCATACAGGACGCACAGGCATCAGCCGGCCACTCACACCACTTAAAAATGGATTCCACGTTGCTGTGCGTCTGTTCAGTGATAGATCACAGATGACGTCAAACTGAACCGAAACGTGGCACACGAGGCGCAGCTAAGTGTGTCAGTAATGTACTTATTGCATTTAGACGTCATCTGTAGTCTATTACGTTACGGAAACATGGAATCTATTTGTTTTAGAAGGTAAAAAAACAAAATGTAGTTAATAAAGACGCCATCTATGCGTTTGACCTCCAATAGATCAAAGTTAAAGTAATGGGCTCCTGGTAAGAACCAGTTAAGAGGCATCGGTGTATAATTCAACTTATCATATCACGTATAAATCATCATATCTTAACCATGTCTCTAAGCCTTTAATATAGAGAATGGAAACTATATTCTTCTTCACTTTGCAATATATTTTGGGGAGGTTCGAACCGTAGGTAAAAATCGCATCGCCTCCCCTCCCCCCACAGTCATACCTTAGACGCCTTGGAAATTATATTCTTGCCCCCTTTGCAATATATCTCAGAGCACTTCGAACTGTAGGGGAAAATAGCATCGGCCTCCTCCTCATCGGCCTCCTCCTCATCCCCCTTCCCCTCCCCCCACGATCATTCCTTAGACCCCTTTTACTCTGCTCATTTTTCATAACAGGATCACGCACAGAATCGCGTGAGAAAGATAATTGATGTCTTCTCCAAATTAATCAGAAGACTTGTTCCACTTCAACTGTGTTTTTAGTCACGTACATTGATGTTTACTAAAGTGAATAATTCCGGGTCCAAGTTAGAGGCTGACACAATTAAAAAAAATATCGAAAATCGTCGAAAAAGGAAGAATAAAAAGAAAGAAAAAAAATTCTTGTTTTTCAAGAATGTGTAAGAAAAAGAAGTGCGTTGTAATGGTCGAAATTTGGGGGACGAGAATATAGAGGATATTACACAGGGGAGGAGATTTGAATTTTATGTTTGAGTGGCAAGAACAATATCTCGTGATTGTTCCCGGATGTCGTGGTCGTATTGAAAACACTCGTACCTTGAGTCGTTACGCGTTCATTTAAATTTTTTTAACACTGAAAACGACCCCAGATACGAGAAAAAAAAATGGCAAAAATTACCTAAGCAACCGAATTAAAACTTACTCCACTGCAAACTTCCTAGGCAAATAGAGCAGTAAATTTCTTTCATTGATCTTATTCCACATCTTTTCAACATGCCTATCAAGACGACTTGACTCATCGCAGTATATACTCAACTTAAGCAGTTGAGAAATAAGGCCTGAAAAAAAAAAAATTCAGGCCTGAACGGGAATCGAACCCATGACCTCTGCGATACCGGTGCAGCGCTCTAACCAACTGAGCTATCAAGCCAACTGGGAGCTGGTCAATTGTGAGTTCGTTATATACCCGTAGATGGAGAAGGTGTGATAAGAATACATGAAAGTCATATAGTTGTACTGCGGAAAATACATACTTCTGTAAGACTCTCAAATATACAACTGTTTATATTTACATGCATTGAATCTTTCTCCTTTGTTGAAGTTTCCCTCAAATTAAGAAGAATTGCCTCGAGTAAGTGGGTTGATTTCTGTTTTGTTAGAATTTTTAAAATAACTGGGCTCAAGGGCCGTTATCAAACACTGGTCCAATTAAGAATTGAATAATTTAGGTGATTACTCAAGAAAAATACTAACACACGTTAAACGGTTCACGAAGCCCTCGGGTGTTACGGCAGCTGTTGTTTTAAAATAAAGTATATATTTCTTTAAAAGTGAAGAAATATTTTCTTGATATAAAGATCGACAGTGCAGAGCCACACGAATATCTTAAATCAAGAGCACCGTTCCCCGAATATATTTGAATTGTTTCCTGAGTATTCCGATCTCGCTGGTTAATCGATTAATTTTTGCTGACATTTTTTGATAAGACATTATTTCCGCTCTTCATTTTAAATATTGCTCAATTTTTCAATTGACCTAATTTTCCTTTTTGCCTAATTGGTGGAAGTTTCATCCAGGTTTTTCTGGCACGCCATTTCTAAACTGGCTTTCTTTAATTTCCACTGAGGGATGCACAAAAGATATGCAGAAATGACATAGTGTAGCTATGCTAATATAACGATCTATAGAACATTAGCTTGTAATAAATCTGAATGTTAAGGTCTGAATAATCAACCTTGTATAATATTAGCCTTTTTTTTCTTTTTTTTTTTGATAATGGAAGGCCTTTATATGCATGCTCTTGATCTGTACATTATTGTTTGATCAGCTTTAAGGTCCCGGGGTCCGTTTGTAGTGATGTGGCAGCAATGTTTTCAATTAAAAATAAAATCTCTACGTCAGTGTGAACTGCCAAAATTAAAAATTGTATCAGAAAACACATGCACAGATAAGTAACCTGGAGACGATGCAGCCTAAATGAGTTTGTAAAGCAACGAATAATTTATCTCATGAAGAAATTACATGATGAAGTGGTAGGATGTCTTAGTGATATTTTGAATCTCGAAAAATGCAGAATATTTATTATAATCAAAGCTGTCGACTACAGGGTCGGGTGGGAAGGTAGAATGTGTGGCTTATTACCCACAGGTCACTTCGATCTATCACTATTGTAAACTGGTCAACACGGCCATATTGGCTAAACAGGAAAGGAGTTAATGGTACTTTTCTCGTGACCGGCCGTCGTCTCTGCTTTTTTAGTTCTTTTTCGGTTGAAAATGGCAACCAGAAGAACAGGGCAGTTAGTTCAACGCAGTACAGCTTCGAGCGGAATAATGCCAGAAGATAACCCTGACATCGAAGGAAACGAAGGTTACGAAAGCGACGGGGAATCTGGTGATAGGAAAGAGACTAGACTCACTCTGATGGAAGAAGTGCTTCTGTTGGGACTAAAAGACAAAGAGGTAGTCTTTTTAAAACTGTTCTTGGTGTAAATTTTTTTAGGTCTTTGTTAACGGAGAGTTTCACTTCTCCAATTAGGGTTACACGTCGTTTTGGAATGACTGTATTTCTTCGGGCTTGCGTGGATGTATGATGATTGAACTGGGTCTTAGAGGAAGAATTGAACTCGAGAAAACGGGAATGCGACGGAAAAGCTTGCTTAACAGACGTGTTCTTTTCAAGAATGATAATCTAACGGGTGATGTTTTGCTGGACGAGGCCTTGAAACATATTAAAGAAACTGATCCGCCTGATACGGCGCAAAACTGGATAGAACTTCTTAGTGGTAAGTCGATTGTAGTTTATTAGACGAAACACCATCACATTATTTATGCCATATTCTTAGAGAGGTTCGATTTTCTCGCCATAACTCAAATACATTTAACTTTGTGTTTCGAGCTTACGCTGTAGCTATCGTATGTTTTATAATCACAGCCGCGTAAAACAACTCAGTTTGTGTTCTGGCGATGACAATGACAAATAATTTATCTGTTTTTTTTTTCCGTGACGATCTACGGTTTGTGTGTCAGGCGTTGTGTTTTGAGATTCACGGCCTCTTTAACCCTGTAGAAGCCTGGAAGGTTTCTCCAAAAAAGCTGAATTCTTTTAGGTCATATGGTAATGAGATCTGTTGGCCCTGGAGATATTTTAACGTGTCACTATTTAGCATATTGCTGTTTATAATCAAATATTCACCCGGGAGTAAGTTTTCTAATATGATTTATCCATGGGATACCTTAACTTTTGGGATAGAACTGTAGCTACTTTGGCCATTGCTACAGAATTAGGTTTTCGATAGAAAGACATTAGTGCGTGCTTGTTTCTGTCTGAAACCACAGTACCATACACGTTAAACGTTGCCACCATTTGTTTATTTTATGGTTTAAATTGTGTTATTAGTACCCCTTTTATTCTACGATGTAGTGGTAAAGAATGTATGCTTGGTGGAATTCTAAGTTGTGTAAGATTTGTAGATATCTCGCCTTAAGCCCTATGTTTCAAGTTGTCCTTTTTTCAAATGTTTTTTCTTGTAACCAGAAGTGCTGCAGTTGTCCAGTTCAATTTTGAACTTCCTAACAATAGTTATCCTAGAAATAAAACGATATTAAGGGTCTAGAGAGTCTCCTATACTCACTCCTAGGTGTGAACAAAAAAAAGAATGTCTCTGCTCAATGGCAATACACCAATACACTTCAAAGCATAATCTTTATGAGAAGAAAGAAAAAGATCAGCAAGGGTGAACTGTTTCATTAATACAAAATTTTCACGGCTAAAGCTACACAAACTGTACAGTAGACAGTGCTGAGAATTGGTATTTAGATATTACTAGTAAAAGCTGTAGCAATTTAACAATGTAAACTGTACAGTAGACAGTGCTAAGTGCCAAGTAAACAGTGGTACATTTTTCAAAGCCTCTTGATAAATTTTGGGCTAAAGAGTGCTTCTGTACCACACAATAGATTTTGTTCGTTTATAAAGAATAGTTTGAAAAATTTACTTTAGAGAAAAAATGGCTTGGTCATACATATTTTTACAAGAAGCAGTTTTTTAGTTCTAAAATGTTTTAGATTGAGATTTTTGTGGAAATACCTTTGAGACCTTCCACTGTTCTTTCTTTGACAGGTGAGACTTGGAACCCTCTGAAGCTTAGATATCAACTGAGAAATGTCCGTGAACGTCTGGCAAAGAATCTTGTGGAAAAAGGTGTTCTTACAACTGAGAAACAGAATTTCCTCCTGTTTGACATGACTACCCACCCTCTTGTAGATTCTGTTTCCAAACAAAGAGTAGTACGCAAAGTGCAGGAGGCTGTTTTATCAAAATGGGTGAATGATCCTCATCGAATGGATAAGAGGACTTTGTCGCTTATCTATCTTGCTCACTCCTCTGATGTTCTGGAAAATGCATTTGCTCCATTGTCAGATGACGATTATGAACTAGCAATGAAACGTGTTAAGGACCTTTTAGATCTTGAACCAGAAGAACAAGCACAGAAACCAAATGCTAATGAGGTCATGTGGTGTGTTATTTCTGCATTTATTAAATAAAGCACTGTGGGTAAATGTAGGTAGGATTCATCTGGTGCATAAAATCACTTTTCACAGACATTTGTTGCTTGAAGGAGTTCTGCCATGATATTTCAATCTATTATCTCCATCACACAATATTGCCTTCAGCATCAGAGAAGTCACAAAATATTAGTGTGATGAAATAGAAAAATACCTATGTGGGAAGAGTAATGGATCATGAACAAGGATGGTGAAACCAGATAATCTCCTGTACATGCTCAGCATAAACTTTTGATTGGGCACAAACTATGGCATAACTCCTTGAAGTAAGCAACTCAGAGAACATGGAAATGTGCTCAAGCCATTCTCTTTTTTTTCTTTCATTTAGGTATTCATTCATTGTTTCAAAATTAGTGTAGGATAGCTGGGTTGCATTATAATTGCTTACCCAAAGCTGAGTACTCTTGAACATGAAAAGCTGTTTGCTCTCTTTGTGTCCTCTGTCAAAGGGCTTATATACACACAAGTAATGAACACTTTCTTGTTGGTCTAGGATTAGTCATGTAAGGTAGTTGAAGGTACAGTTGAGGACAGTAATTGGGGCCAAAGGAATGGATTTTAAGAAAGGAATTGAGTGTTTTTTAGTCTTGTGTTGTTTCTGTTTATTATGAACTTCTAGCATACTTCATGGATGTTTTAAATGATTAATTTGGATATTTGTCAGAAAAAATATACACATCAGGGACTTTGTGTAATGTTTCATAGATAAGCTGAACAATCACGATTGAAGTATTGTTATTTTTAATACTATTAATTGTAAAAATACATTGTTCATACTAATTAATACCTAATAAATAGCTGAGTAATATCGTATTTAGCTCTTCCTGTATACATTCAAAGCCAGTGGGGAATAATTTAAAGGGAACATTGTAATTATTATACCTGAGATCATTAACAAGCAACAGAGTAGCAGCATTTCTGTTTTACCCTGTTGGTGATAGGTATTCAAGACAGCTGGTATGTAGTTTGCTATTAGAATATGAGGACAGAGAGGAGATTCAGATGGGCTTGTTAAAGGGAAAGCTATGATATATAGAGTGTATATGTCTGGAAGAGGTTTGATCCATAAGAGTACAAAGCAATTGCCTTCTAAAAATTCTCCTTCCCCTACAGAAACTCTCTTCTGCCACAGAAATTGTGGAAGAGCACTGTAGAATTGTCATATTTATGTCTGGAAATTATGACTTGAACTTGATAGAAACCTTCACATTACTGATTTTTTGACAGATGTAAAGACCCAGAGAATGGCTTTTTCGTTTTGCATTCTTAAATATCAATGCTTCGAGAAACTGTTGATGTTCTGGCTAAGTTTTTGGAAAACCATAAGAGTTTTCAGTCATTTTGATATCTGTTAGAGAAGAGCTAACCGTAATCAATAACTACAGTATTGTTAGCTGTCCCTAACTATTAAGCTGTTGAATTGGTGTTTTAGGATTTAAGTCAGCCAAGTACTAACCTTGATAAGAACAAAAAATATTATAGTAGAATTCTTGCAAAAAATTAAAGACTTTTTGTCTTTGCCAGACTTCTAAAGGTTATTCCTTGTGGATTTATCCAGTAGAAGAAAAAGTAAATGTTGATTTCTCTTCACCAGTTCTGGGAAGAGTTATGTAACTTTGTAGCCTGTGAAAAGAGATGCATTCCTTCTCTAATAGGTTGGCATGCAGAGCAGGAGCAGTTTTGGTGAGCAAATGCATGTTACTATTGAGGTGAAGCTGGTAGCTTGCCATCTTATGAAGTTTTACAACGGCAAAAGGCTGTGGAGAGAAAGAAACTTGTACCAAGGGGGTGAGGATGGTCAAAAGGAAAGAGAGCGAAGGGGAAGGGCCAAATGCTGGGGAAGCGGGGGTAACCTGGCAATGGAGATAAGCTCAAGCTGAATGACAAACTCTTTCGGCAAGGGAAATTTTTCCCTTGCTTATCCTGGAAGAATCACAGTTAGGATGTCAGGCTAGATCAGCCTCCTAAAGGAATACAACAATAATCACGAATACAAAATCTAAAAAATTAAATAATTTTATTTACAGCTATTCATTGATAAGATGTACAATATTTGGCACAGATGAAATGCTTGTACCCAGCACAAACCCTTAGTTGATCATAATATAAATTTCTCTCTCACAGATTATATTATTACTGAAATGACCAATGAAATAACGAGGTAACACTTTAGTCCGAATAAATTATAACTAATGCTTTGAGAACTAATGTAAAAAGTGCTACCTTTTCTTTCAAAAGCACGTTGACATGTATCCATCTGATTGCATATGGTTGGGCACTTCTCTCAGAAAGTATATACAATTGAAATTAGTCCTATCGTGTAGTTAAGACATCTATAAAAATTACGAAGATCTCACATGGTAAATTTTTTATTGGAATCAGCGAAAGTCAACATTTAAATTACAGTAAAACAAATAAATTGTTGACTTTGTATCAATTAGATTTTCAGTACTAAATGCAGTAGATCAGTAGATGCAGTATTCTACCTCTTACTCTAATGTCACGGCAAAACGTTTCACCCAAACAACCTACCAGCAACGACGTGCATATGCACCCACTTAGGCCCGATATAGGTAAGCTTGGTGATTGGTTAAAAATATCTGAACTGCTGGAATCAATCAAAGCCAGAACGTTTCCCAGCCAATCAGGTTCTGAAATAGATTGCTTTTCAATGGAGTGTGGTGAACCAAATCATACGCTATCAAAACTACCAATCAGATTAAGGTGAACAGTGCCATAAACCTTGTGGTAGGCATGTACAGCATGAAGCACGAATAAAACTCGAGCAAAACAAGTTGGTTTTCGTTTTGAATCTGATTGTTTGAGAGGTTGGCGGGAGTTTTCTGGACCAAACAGGCAAGCGAGGTGAGGTAAACTTATGGTATTTCAGATTAATTTCGGTAATCAATTAAATAATGTTGTTGAGTTCAATTGTGAACAAGGTTTCTTCTCTTTTCGCGCACTAGGCGCGTCTTGTAATTTCTGACCGTGCGGTTTGTTTGATTCTTTCCCGCATTCGTGCTACGATTGGCCAGCTGTGTAAATAAATAACAGCCACGCCTTGTGTTATTTCCGTCTTATCTTCATAACTACGGGTCCGTATGGCAATTTTCTAATCAGCTCAAGTACATCCACATTCGCCATGTATGCAACCTTTTGTCCATTCACTTCGATGATTTCGTCCCCAGGCTTCAGAGCACCACTCCGCCCGGCCACGCTTTCCTTGAACACATACCTCACATGAATCGGAGCATCACCATAGAGCGAATCCTGACCCCCACCCAAAGAGAACCCTAATCCAGAGGCCCCCTTTTCGAGCGTTAATTCGGTCACAGAGGGCCCATGAGGCACTTTTTGCAGTCTTATCGGTCCACCATTGGAGAAGAATCTCTTCTTTAGACGATCGAAGGTGGAGTGTTCTCCATTATGTTTCACCACATCTAATGGAATTTTCTCTAGGGTTGGCGGTGTAGTATTGTTTGAGTTGGCCATGTTTTTCTTCTTAGTCAATTCTTCCTTCGTAGGCCAAGCATCCGAATCAGAGGTAATTTCTTTGTTAGGACTTTTGTTTCGAAGAAGAGTCATCGCTTTAGATTGTTGTCTGTGTCCTAATGGCCGGCTTACTACAAGAGTAACCCGCTCAGGAGTGTTTTTGAGAAGAGTTAAGGCTTCTAAATTTGTCAATCCTTTGAAGGACTTGCCGTTGACAGACAATAGGATATCTCCCTTCTTGATATGTCCATTGTCAGCTGTGACACTGTTGGAGAGAATTTGCCGCACCTAAAAAAAAAGAGACGGTCGGAAAGAGCTCACGATTTTACTACCACATGGCTTATAGAGCTAACTTAAAGCACTCTAAGGTTCCAAAAAATTTATTTATCTCATTGACAGTCCACCGTGTAACAAAGAGTGACAACGACAAGGCTTTTTAAGCTCTAGCTCTAGCTCTAGCCGGCGCCCGCCAGCACGTCACTTGCACCGAGACAGGGAATAACGGAAGAGGGAAGGAATGAATTAAGACGGTAAAGTGTCACACTCTGCAAAAGGAGATACAGAAAAGAGTGGAGTATGGAAAAAGGTCGATAGAAGGCGGGCGTGAGGAAGGGAACACAGTAACCAGAAAAATAAGGAGATGAGGAGAAAGGAGTGCTGTAGGAAAAGAAGAACCAGAAGTGCCAGGGAAAAAAGAAGGAGAACGATAAGGCTGTTAAGGAGGAATTAGAAAACCATACGCGAGAATACAGAATTATAATAAACAAGGCGTTCATGAGGAAGCAACGAACAAAGGTTAACGTGTTATTCAGATTGGCCAACAAAAGTTTTCGAGTAAGAAACAAGAAAGTGCGAGATGAGAGGGGTGATACTAGGAACGACATTGATACTCACCATGATGTCATCATGAGGTGTGTCCACTCCCCCAGTGACACTCAGTCCCAAGCCTGCATGGCCATTTTTCAAGAGTTCTACGGTAAACACCTTAGCGTCGTCACTGCTGACCGCCCAAGTGACGCTCTTAGTGACAGGTTTGACTTCCTCTTCATCCTCGGTTGTCGTGGAGTCATACTCACCAGGAATACCATCAATAATAGTCACAGGAACGTCATCCTGACGAAGGGTCAGTGTCGGGCTCTCTGGCTCCAGGTAGGCGGGGATGTAGTCATCAGAATCATCAAACGAACCAGATGGAGAGGCCGGAGAGGAATCATTATTAAATGACGCCCCAAAGGACGAAAGGCTTATCAATGACTTAGGGCGTTGGCCCCTGTCAAGAGGTGGGCTTAGGGGCAGATCTGACGCAGTCTTTGAAATTGTGCTCGATTCACGGGCGGAGGAGACGATAGGTTCTTCAGCATCTGGTACACGCCTTCCCTCTGCCACTAGTTCAATATTATCACTTCCATTATCCTTCTTTCTTGCCACAGTGAGTTTCACCAGGGGTGGTGTGTTCTTAAGAATGTTCAAAGCCTCACTATGAGTTACTCCCACAAGACAATTATCGTTGACCTGTAACAGTTGGTCTCCAACTCTGAGTCGGTTGCAGTTGGCGGCTGGAGAGTTGGGCTGAATATTTTTTATATACAGCATGCCTAGATGGGTGTCCAGACCTCCCACGACCATTAAGCCAATAGATTTCTGTTCTTTAAGAAGCTGTAATCAAGGAAAAATAAATCAATTAGCCATCTTCGCATTGCTGATTTAAAAGATTGAACAAAGTTAGTGTCCGTCATTAAACACCGATTTCATTTTCCTAAGGTAATAGTTTTGCTTTATCACACACCAAGCATTTTCCACGTTCACAACACAAGAAAGAAATTACTTAAACCAATCCCTACTTTAAACTCGGAAATGGTTAAAAGCCATTTTCGAGTTGTTATTTCGACCCAAATTTCACTCCTTCCATCCATTACCCTGTCACTCCTTCTTCCATTCCTGTTAACTTTTTGAAAATAAGATTTCGATCCACGTAACAGCAAAGATTACTTTTTATGACAAATTGAACCTTTACAATAGCGATACTCACCTGCACCTCTAGTATTCCTTCCTCAACATCCTCCTCCTGGTTCCTGCTGTCGATAAGCTGCTGAAGGTTTCCGGTGTGCCAGTAATCCGGCTGCCCAACTTTTCCTCCAGACGCTTCACTTGTGAGTGAGTCGGCAAGAAGCTGAGGTAAAGAGGACGACCTTCTACGGAAAAAAGGAGGGGGACGCTTGGTAACAGGAGTTGATCGCTTCGTCTCCACATCAATAATAGAGGGACGCTGCATAGGAACGTCTCCAGCAGAGAAACTAGCACTTCTAGCCACTTTATTACCAGGCAAAGGTTGGCCCGAATATTCTTGAGTCGAACTGCAAGTATCTTCCCATTCAGAGGAAACGTCTGAACTATCGAAGTCGTCGGTACTATGTGCATTCACCTCATGACTGACATTCTGTGTAACAACTGGTTCTGCTCCTTGTGACAATTGTGGATAATCATTGTATTCATTCAGGAGAATTTGTGAAGGTGATGGATCAGTGTTTTGTTCCCATATCTCAGGGTTATTCAAATCTTCATTTTTGTCAACTTCCTGAGCGTTCTGTCTTGACAGTGTAAGCTTGTAGGCGTTACCAGTAGTGTTCAGGTTCAGGTCAGTAGGGACTGGAGGTAACGGTTTGGTTTTTCGAGGCTCTTCATTGTGCAGTGCTGGCGCAACTACATCATAAGTGTCCTCTGCAGCACCCTGTTCCGCTGGAAATACGTCCTCTCGTTTTTTACTTTTACCGAGAACAGGAATTGGAGGTAAAGGTTTGGCAGTAGGTGCACCAGTTGTTCTTGGCAGGTCTTCGTTTCCACAATCAATGCTCTTGTTTTGAACGAGCAAATCTATGGGCGGAGGTGCTGGCTTAAAATTAGGAGGACCCGGGGATACGGGAGAATCTCCTGTGGTATCATTCTGTACAGTGGCTGGCTTCAAAGATAAAGGCGGTGGGGGAGGTTTGAATCTAGGAGGACCCGGTGAATTGGGACAATGTGGTGCTGTACTAAAGTCGTCCTTCTCAGCAAGGCTTGAACTGGCTTGTACTGCCAGCGGAGGTGGTACAGCCTTAAAATTTGGTGGACCAGGCGATGGCAAAACATTACTGTCCTCAATGGCTTTAACTTCAGTGTCAGAGTCAAGATCCTCAGTTATTAATGGTGACGTTTTCATTCTTTCTTTGCTAATTTTCTGTTTAAGTTCGTCCATAGTTTCTTGTTGTTGTCTACTGTGGGTACCGACAGACTTCAGGAAAGTGGGCTTTTTTGGAACAGGAGGTTTATAAGGAGATTTCGTTGGCAAGTTATCTTTGACGGCTTTACGCTCCTCATATTCAGCTGTTATCACGGCGCTAGTGTTCGGTTGTTTTTCACGTTTCGGGGAAGGTGGCCTGTTTGCAAGGGATGTATCCACACCCGCATAAACATGAGATTCCGTCACATCATCATCGTCAGTGAACAAACTTACACCTTCAATATCAATTTCATATTCCTTCTCTTCATGATCCAAATCAGCATTCTCACTGCAAGATTCATCTTGTTCTATTGAACTGCCATCTTCAGCTTGTTGAAAATTTATTTCATTTGTCGCCACTTCAGGCCTCATGTCTTCGTCTTTTGTTGTCAACACACCAAATTTGTTGTTGTTGTTCCTTTCTACATAGTTTTTCATCTGTGTGGATAGATCACTTGATTTAAAAGTAGATGGCAATGTTTGTGAGAGAAATTTAGTTTCATTGAATATTGGTTTTTCAACGTCTTCATGAACCGGGTCTTTTTCCCCAGCATCTTTCTTTTGTTTACCCAAAGGATCCTTTTTTGTCGTCGGTGGAGGGAGAGGTGGACTGGACCTCCTTGATCTGGAAAATAATCCTCTTGGAGGTGACACAGATCGACTCCTGTTCTCTCTATCCTTTGGCTTATCTCGGTTCTTGCTTCTACTTCTACTGCGAAAGCCAAACAGCTTCTTGGTCCAGGATCGCGATCTTTCACGTCCGACATGATTGGCGTCAAATGAGGTGTCCGGTGATTGCAGATGGTCGGGATCAGCTTTTTTGTCCTTACCTTTATGACCTCTTGAGAACAGTTTCTTCGATGTCTTCTCCTTCACTGGAGACGATAGTCTTTCTTGTTCTTTCTTGAGTTTCTGCGTTGATTCTTGTGGCGGAGAAGTTGCTCTAAGTTTAACATCAGGCTTAGAGGGAAGCACAGGTATACCCCCTGGAAGTGATTTTCGAGGGGCGCCACTCGTCTTACCAGGAGGTCTTGAAGGGATAGGAGGAGCTGGCCTCCTTTGCTTAGTGAAATTCGCTGCCGAATCTTCACCTTTAGTTGGTTGCTTGAGTAGCCTATCTTTTGGTTTGAAATGTGTTGCGTTGCTTTCTGTTCGCCCTTTCAAATCAAGTGGAGGATAATGAAGTTCTGACTCTGGATTTGCTTCTGTCGAATTGATCGACGAACTTAAGTTCATGGGTTCCAAATCAGGTATTCCACCAGAGCCCGTGTCTGAAGATTCCTCTAGTGATGAAAAGGCGATGTTGGTCTGGCCTAGGCCTTCTGTTGACATCATAGAATAGGTGTGGCCATGTGTCTCTTGTGACGTATTAACTGTTGATCCTTCCTTACTTTGTGAGGATTTTGTGTCCAGATTTGACATTTCCGTGGACAATGATGGTGGCTTGGAGGATGGTGAGCTTCCTCCTTCACTGTCCTGCTCACTGCCAGAGTGTGACAAATCTTCTAGAGTCAATATCTGATCCAAGAAAGCAAGCTCTGCTTCTGCTGCTCCCGCCTCTGACCAAAGCTCCATTTCTGGAGGCAAAGGGGGTGGGGACATTGCATCTGACGAATCTGTGACCGCAACTTCATCTTCACGAGGAGTAACATCTTGCTTCAAAGAACCGTCTGCTGCGTGGTCTGTCTCGTGTACAACAGGGAATTTAACGGACACGACTCTAAATTCAGGTATGGATCCTTCAGCCTCCATCTCTATCACATTTCTTCGAAAAGACTTCTTCTTTTTCTTTGGAGAGGATTGAGATGCATGCACAGATGTTGATTTGGCTTTATCTCCTTCAGAGGCTGAATGCCCTGGACTGGTTTTAACTTTCACAGCTTGTAAACCATCTCCAAAACTTTCCAAACTTTCCATTGTGAGAGGTGAAATCCTCGGTGGAGGGGGGGCTGGGGGTAAGCTTTCCATGTCATCTTCGGGTGGCTCATCATGCGTCAATGAATGGGCTTGATTATCATCGCTTGAAGTTATAGGAGCAACAAAATCCACCTGACTTGGGTAAGCTGGCGATTCGTGGAGTTCATCGCCTTTACCAGAGGAACCAGATTGCTCCGATGTTTTGCTTCCTCTTTTTGATCTGATTGGCAAGGATAATGTCCTTTTCTTGGAATTCTTTCGTTCTGGTTTGACAGGGTGTGGTAGAGGACTGGTGATGTGTGTAAGTTGTGTCTCTCCACCTGACGATGGGATCGATTTATCAGATTCAACAGACCAGCTAGATGACATGTTGACTTGAGAGCGAGGTGGTGGAGGTGCAGGAGGAAGACTCGACATGTCATCATCTAAATCATCCAGTAGCTGAATAGGCGCGTCACTAAAAGCATCTGGTATACCAAATATGGAAGTATGTTCATGAGAGGGGGAAGATAATCCAGATTCTGCCATAAGATTCGTGCTTTCAAGATTTGGTAAATGACTTGATGATTCCCGATCAAACCAACAAGAAAGAAGTGGCGACGAAGAAGTCGAGGAAACTGTGTCCTGACTAATAACTTGTCTTCTTGGTTTAGGAGGTGGCGGACCACTAGGTAAGCTTGGGAGACTTTCAAGCTCGTCATCAAACAAACTTGGTGGCTTGATTGGACTTTTATCCTGTCCATTCCACGACAGGGACTCCAAAGCAGCTGCATCTTGCACAAAAGAATTGTTCATGAGCTCCAAGGGTTCTTCTTTATGAATGCTTTCGTTTCCTATATTATCTCCAAACAATCTAGGAGGTTTCATGGGTGCCTGTTGTTTTAAGTTCTCAGTAAGCTGTTTCTGCTTTTCTTGTGAACCGGATGGTATATCAGAATTGCCATTAAAATACTCCTTCTTCTGAACAGGATATGAGGGGGGTGATTGTGCATCTTGACTGAATAGCTGCGGAGGCTGTGGTGCTACTGTGTTTGCTTCCTCCACTTCAGAATCGAAAGATAACGCAGATTCAAGATTTTCGTCAACAAAGTCTTCAAAATTGGCTGGTGGGTTCAAAGATAAGTTTTCTACAATGTCTTCCGTTAACAGTTCAGGTACTTCACCTGAATAATCTTCTTCTTCTTCTGCGTCATCTGTCGGTAATGGTGGAGGAGGACTAGATGGAGGAAGATCATCAAATTCAGTTCCTTCCAGTTCACTGCCTTCGCAACCTTCTGCTGCAATTAACTCATCAGTAAGCTCTTGGGACAGAGTTATAGAAGTAACACTTTCTTCAGTATCTGGTATATGATTTGTTGTAGGTAAGTTTGAAACTGGTCCACTAAAAGTTTTTGATGTTTTCAGGGAGATAAGCTCACTAGAGATGTCCACCCAAGGTGTGTAGGCTGCCACACTTGACAAAACATCTGGTACAGATTCCTGGTCTGCTGAGCTCATTTTGTCAGGTATCTCGTCAAGTTCACCCTTTTCCTTCTGAGATGAGACTGTCTCCTCAAGTAATTCTGTCGGCTTCGGTGGTTTAGGTCCGGCTTGGGCCACAATTCTCACATCTCCCCTTGGGCAGTTCTTGATCATATTTTGGACATCTTCAAAGGCCATTCCTTCTAGGGGGGTCTCGTTAATGGACAAAAGAAAATCTCCAACCCTGAAATGAAAAGCAGACAAGACGCTTTCGTAACCTACACGTGCTAGTATATGATATAATGCAGGGGTGAATTTCCGCAGTACAGTGATTTATCGATATCCTAAAACTACCTATTTCTACCTTGAGCATTCACAAACCATTTTCACCTATCGCAAGCAAGTAAAGGGATTTATCTTATTTTGCTTTGTTCCTGCTGCAAAAAAAAAAACGTCTTAAGTAAGCAGAGAAAAGCAAGCAGCAAACAGTGCGCCATGTGAAACAAAACAAATTATGATAAACAGTCCTTCTTCAGTTTCTCATTATTCTTACCTGATATTCCCATCTTTTCCTACTAGGCCAAATGATGAAACATCTGACACAATGACTTTCCCCTCCTCTGTTAGGTCCACTTTAAAGCCAAGGTTTCTAAACTTCTTCTGATAGATAATAGCAAATGGAACATTCTCATCTCTTCTACCAGCAACTGGTTTCACATCAACGTCTATTTTGTGTTTAATGATAGATGGTGTTGTCATTTTCTTCGTATTGGGGCCTTTAACCGGGGAAAGAAGACCTTTATCGACTCCAAATTTAGGTTTAGCTGAAAGTTTTTCCAAATCCAGGTTTTGTTGTTCGTGGCCACTTTCCTCTGCAGGAGATCCTGTACTCGTCTCCAACAATTTCTCTGAAAAAGTGTCCTTTGTTTTCATAGTCTCTGATGGTAAACTAGGTTTGCAATTTCCTGACAACGACGTAGCTTCTGTGCTGGTAGTTTGTCCAGATATAAACTCATCATCGTTTTCGTTTGTATTCAAATCGTTGCAAGCATCAAGCAAAGACTGAAAATCCCAACCCGTACCCGTTTTATTACCACGGAAACAAGCTTGGTTAATACTGGATTCTGGTGAGATCTCGTCGTCTTGTATGTTGTTGCTTTCATGGCGATCAGCCCTGAAGGGGTCTTGCTCCAGGAATTCCTTCATTCTTGGACTAAGAATAGGCGGTGGAGAAACAACGGGAATGGGTGATAAAGGCAAGACATCGTCAACTGGTGGTGGAACTGGTGGAGGAGGGGGAGAAAACGATGGAAGAGCAATAGACAGATCGTTCTCTAAAAGATCGTCTGCATCCAGTAATGGCGGGGGTGGCGGTGAAGAAGGCAGTTCTGGTATATCCTCTTCAATATTTCTATCTTCATTACTTCTTGAATGAGGTTCATCTTGACTTTCTAATTTTTTCAGTTCCCTGCTCCACTGAGACTTGCTAGGAGATACAGCTTTTTCCGCGCAGGGCAACGTTTTGGCCTCTTCTCTCCTCGACGACGATGATAGCTCACCGTGTATTCCGCTGTCTTGAGCCAAAGTATAATTTTGACCAGATGATAAATCGGACTTCCATTCACTAACAGGACTTGAAACTCTCTCCTGAGGATCTTCTCCTTCCCGTAATATCACAAACGTGACAAGTTCGGTTGGCTTCTTGAGCAACTGCAATGCCATCGAGTGAGTGACACCCTTCAAGGACACGCCATTTACTGAAACAAGTTTATCGCCAGTTTGTAGCTGTCCATCTGAAGCACACACCATACCAGATTGTAGTCTACGAATCTGGAAAAAGGCCACAACATACCTTAAATACCAACCTTAACTCGCGGGGAAAACACTGATCTAACTGGGAGGCAAACTATTTTCGTGAAACACTTTGCTCTGGATTCCTTAATTCTTCTACATTTTTATAGCTGTAAAACTCGAATTCGAAGCCATTAGCTAACAAAATCATACGCATTTGGTGCTACTTTCTTTTTAAGCCATGGACATGTACGGGACATAAAACAGGATTCACAGAGAAAATAGTTAGTGCTAAAGGCTTAAAACAGCGGTTAAGCTGCACACGCACAGTTTTTCTGATTGAATATGGGCAGTGAGAGTACGAAGCATGGTAAGTATCACCTGTCTTCCGAAATCATTAACAATCATGTACACTGATAACAGTTCCACTGCTATTACCTGGAAATATCCCTTAAGGTTCCCATAGCTTGGGACCAAAGAAAGACCAAGCGTGGAGTTAACTTCCTTCTTTATGTTTATTTCCACTTTCCTGTAGCCAGACGGAATTATCAGATTGTCCCCCAATTGGTCCTTAACTTTCTCTGAATTCTTATTTGTTAAGTATTTGCTTGTGCTGATGACATCTGCGACTGGTTTAATCTGTTCTTTAAACGGTGATTTTTTAGTACTTCGTGCTTCTTCTTCTTCGTTCTTCTTACTTCTCTCCTGTTTGTCAGAGCTTCTTACATCTTTAATTCCATTATGGTCTTTTTTCTCTGCAATATATTCTTTACGTGGAGTATCGCTTTCATTTTTCGCCTTTACACGCCCGGAGGATGGTACTTCATCAGTTTTGTCAGATGAAGGTGACCTTTCTTCCTGTGTCCCAGGTTTAACTTTACCCCTACGACTCGACCTTCGCTTACTATCCGGAGGTTTGGGAAGAGGCGTAAGGTCTTGTGGGACAGTTTTGTCTGATGGCTCATTACTCTTGTTTGCTCTTTGATTAGAGTCCATTCCCTGGGGACTCATCTTGGACCTTCTAATTTTCATTTGTGTTGAACTTGGTAGATCTCTGAAGATCTTGATCACATCTTCTTGGTCCATTCCTCTGAGGTGGGTGCCATTGACTGCGATAATTTGATCTCCTTAAAAAAATCATATCATCAGTAAACTTGTCTACTCACGCTCAAACGTCAGCTTTAGACACCCTTTACGGTGGCTAATTAACATTTTCAATTCAGTTGATAAAACCAAATTACGTATAGGATCTGTTTCGGACTGTCTTCCAAGTCTTCATCTTAAAGTTGTGTTCTTTCCTTTTCCATTTCAAGGTCTCTTTATAACAACTATATTTAAGGGCTATCTTTATCCAGGGGAAACCTCCATTCGGGAGTCACAAATATTGATTTATCCGAAGATAATTTCACTTTAATCTGTGTTCAAGTCCTCTTTACAAGGGACACATCCTACTGAAAGTAGAAGCCTTGGTGTATCAATTCTACGTACCAGAGTGATCTGCACTTACCCTGACAGGCACAAAATTTCATGCCGTGTAGTTTACTGAAGATAGTTCTCTAAGTTTGTAATTTTTGGAATTTGAACGATGAAAATCATTGAAAAGAATCATACTTACCGAGTTTTAGCCCCACTCCCCTAGAGCCTCTTGCCAAAGCAGCAGATCCTCCTTCAGTTACACTTTTAATTGACACGCCCTCAGCTATGGTGTTCCCACGAGACTTGTCGACTGTGACACCCATGCCCAGTCCACCTACCAAGAAAAAAAACCACAGTGGTGAGTTGAGATTCTCCTTGGAAAGTTTTGATGAGCCTCTCTATTCGAAGTTTATCTGAGGACTTGGCTTACCAGTAGGTTGCTTTATAATTGTGTAAATGTCTTCCAGAAATTCGGCAGAATCTGTGATAATAAATAATTGAACACGACATGGTCAGAAAAAAGTTCATATCATTAATAATAAACACATAAATTATTTTGCAATTGGTCTTATGACCTGTTTAGTTGGCATATAAAGGGAAGGCAAGAGGGAAGATGCAAAGGGAATGCAGGGAACAACAGTTGTGATACCAGTGATCACACTTGGCACTCAATTTGATTATCCCTTCGTTCACCATTTTGTTCTCTGGTTACAAATGCTACTGGTCCTATCACAAGAAGACGCTTTAACCTCAAATGTGACTTATCTTTATTTCAACAGTTGTTTGTCTAAGTTAATTATTTTTTTAAGATGAATACTTCAGGTGCCTTCAAAATAAGTCTTACCAGGTTCATGAGTGAAAACATCGTCGTCTGACTCTTGAACTGTTTGAGACTGATAGGAAAATGGAACAGAAATATTAAACTGGAAAACTAAGTTTCAATACTAAATGTTCATGTTTCCTTTCAGGCTTTGTATAGTACTATATTGTAAAGTATTTTGGTCCCTGTAAAGAGAAACAATAACTTATAAGACAGACGTCATAATTTACTAATTAGTGACAATAATAAGGGTTCAGAGAGACAATCACCATTCATTAAACATTTACCTTCTTTTTCTTGTTTTGTTCGACAGAGTGTGGAATGAGGAGATCACAAGATGAGGAAAGACTTGCCAAATTGCCTGAGATGTAAAAAACAAATGAAACGCAAAGAAAAAGTAAATTAAGGGAATAACCTACAGATAAGCAGGACATGAAAAACATGTGCAGGACCATCAGTTACAAATGTTCTCATCCAAAAGGAGTACCATTTTCTGATGCATGCCTCATGCACATCTATGATTATTGGCAAGACTTAACAGTAACTCTAATGTTCAGAAACGTGGATAACCTTTATAAGCAGACATTCTACAGAGGTTTGATCACAGTATTTTAGGTATTGTTGTCCTTCAGCAGTTTACTTGTTTTCACCTTGAGTTTGCACTGCCTCCTTGTGTATTTTCGTTCTTTCTGAGTTGTGATTACCCTGGCTTTGGTTCTCCAACACTCAAATGCAAAGTGCACTATTATACATCTGTAGCTAACAGTTGATCAGGGCTTAAATTGCCTAATAATAAACCATCCACTGATTAAAGCCTCCACACCCTAGAACATTAGTATGCAAATTCTCCATACAGTTCTCTATACATTTCCTAGGGTCCTAACAAGGTGAACAAGCTTTACAGGCAAAAGCTGCTTAGTTGATGATCATTTCCTTTATTCTCCTGACCTTAATGTTTGATTCAGGGGTGATATTATGAGGAGAAATATGATGCTGGTCACTCTAGGTGTGAAAGGGTTCAAACCACTCACCACAAGACTCAGAGCTTTCGGATGCACCAGAGAGTGTTGACGCAGTTCCTGAACTCTTTGATTTCCCTGACATCTTTTTATCCAGGAACTGACGCTCACTTTGAAGCTTTGTGAGTTCATCGTTAAGTTGTAGAGGTAACTTGTCAGATGCATTGTTCTGCACAACTTTAAAATATACTTTTCCTGGAGGAGTTTTATCCAGAATGTTGTATATATTTTCAACTGACAGTCCTTCTAGTTTCTTGTCATTAACTTCAAGGAGTTGATCACCTTTTCTGTAAATAAAAATAAAAAAGAATTGAGGAAACTTCAAATTGTGAGCACTAAAACTTCCTGTAATTATAAGTTAACACCATCAGGAAATACCCAATTAAGGTGTTATGTTACAGTTTTTTCCAAAGTTATTTTCAGCCAGCCATAGGAAAAAAAACAGTAACCAGCAAAAGGTTGAGATTTGTCGCAGATCAAGACAAATATTTTATTGTTTTGCCTGATTTAAGTAGCTGACCTTCTGCTGACGTCAATGGAGGGTTCAGTTAAAACAAATAGACAATTCACCTCAATCTCCCATCATTATCTGCCGGTGTTCCTTGAATAATGCATTGAACAAAGATTCCAGGTATCTGAGTCGATGGATGTTGTTCTCCCAGACCAATTCCCAAGCTGCTTCCAGGTTCTGTAGGCCCAAATAAGATCAACTGATTCACAAGCCGCTGAACAAATAAATGAATTTGGTTCTAAGGGCATTACATGCCTCATTATTATTGGGTGCTACTTCAAAGTAGTATGGCCTATGTTCTGCTGATAATTGTAGGGCAGAACAAGTTTACTTCATGAACAAAAATGAAATACAGGGGAATGTCCTCTACATCTGAATCAAACTTTATTCAGAGAATTCTTTAGTCTTGATTGCCTAATAATATAATTCTAAGTGTATCTTTCAGTTTGTATGTGCATTATGATTGGTCAATTTAGTGGGCTGCATTTAACTGTAAAGCCCTCTATATTCAGAAATACTGTAAAGTACAGAAATTTGTCTTTTTCTTCCTGATTTATAACCCATGTGCATCGGGCTTGGGCCATAAATCCAAGTGGGAACACTTGCTCTGTAACTCAAAGTACAGACCAAGAAAACAAGCCTAGTGATGGGTAACGATGATAATCTCTAGTGAGGTGAATTCAAAAGTGACAATTTTTTTGTGTGTGCTCATAATAAATCATTGTCTTACATGCTTAGATAATGCCCTGTGAAGTTTGACCTTGCTCTTGAATAATATAATTACCATAAACTGAGAAAAATATATCTATCAATTACCCCTTTAACAGAATATTTTTCCAACAAAATATTTATGAACCAATTATCAGTCAAAAATTTTAGAATTGGACATAAAATTTTGTTCTTTCATAATCATTTCAATGATTATTTCTGATACAACAAACAATCTGCAGCTAACCTATAATTACTAAATTTAAATCTCTCACAGAGCATTTAGACTAATATCCTTCAGAGAAATTATCAACCATGGAATGAAACTTAAATGTGTATAATTTTGGAACTAATTTATAGATGTTTTTTAAAATAATAATTAAGGGTCTAAAGAATAAGTTATTCTTGTTGAAAGTGTTGAGGAATTAAAACACAATAACACAATTATTTTGTGGAAGCTTGGATCACAAATCAAAAGTTATCTTCAACAAAACTGTAAATTCACAAGTACTAAAGGATATGCAGACAAAAACAAAATTAATACACACCTTTATAAAGAACAATTTCATTGATCTTGTCTTTCTGGCTTCGTTTTTGACGCAGCTTTCGAAACATTGTTGGAGATGATGAATTGCTGGAGCTGGTTGACTCTGCTGTCACATCTCTGCTGTTTCGACGAGATCTTCCTGGCGAATTTCTGGGTGTTGTAAATGTTGATACACTTGGAGCTCCAGGACTGTTTCTCCGCACTTTCAAAGTTACAATTCCTCGGCGAAGATTCTACAAACCAAGGATACTATTTACTGCTACAGAGAGTATTGTCAGTATAACTTTCACCTGGTGAGTAAACTTTAGTAATGGATAGCACAACAGATTGAGAAGCTTAAAATAGGAACTATTTTATTCTCCAACAATTTGAACTTGAACTGCTAATTGAAAGTCAGAACAAAGTTGCCAAAAATGGTATATTTTTGAAACAAATTCTCAACAATGAGGATTTTAAACTGTGACTCTGAATGAATTGATAAAGTTTTCCTCTGTGTTCAATCTGTGTTAGCAATATTCTTTTGTTTGCTTTGATAAAGCACTTGATCAATAACCCAGGGGCAGGTGAACATTGTACTGTTTAATATTTAATCATAAATAGAAGCATTTGAAAGCCCACAGTCAGAAAGATATCTTGTGTCATTGAACATAAAGAATAAGTGATTTGTCAAATATTTTAGCTGTGCTCAAATCCCCAGATTTTCACAGTTATTTTTTTAACTTTCTATTTTAATTAAAGAGACAATTTCACACATTACCCATTGTAGTAATGCATTCAATTAAGCCATGGAGAATTTATTTTTCTCCAGGAACAAACAAATGACTTTATTTTGTTGGAATTGTGAACAATAGCCAGCAATTTTCATGTAAATTTATCCCCAAACATAAGAAGATATATCATATCAAATTTTTGAGTAAGCAATACTTACTTGAGTTTATATTACGTGTGAAAATGATTAACTTGGATTCAGTGATCAGAGAATTTGAACAAATCAGTACTTTTTGGGGGGATGATCAGGTTACTTTTCATCAATATAAAGTTTTCCAATTGTAGTAAAATAAAGTTGCTTCTTGCTGATTTTCAAACTAACTTTTGGCTATGAAGAAAAGATAGCTTAAATTTATTTTTTCCAATATCATGTCAACTTTGGACTGATAAATTTGGAAAATAAAAAACTTGGCCTAACATTTTTAAATAAGTGAAATATTTGATAAACACTTAATTTAGTGAATTCAATTCAATAATAAAAGTAATCTTCAGAAACTCATAACAATGTTTGAAGTTTAAACATTTATCAGAAACAATTCTAGTGAGTGTTTAGCAAAAATAATTCTTGATTTGTCTTTAAATAGACAAAAAGGTAGTATTTTGTCAGCTAGAATTAACAAAAAATTATCTCAACTTTTCCTAAAGTCAGATAAATCATCTCTCTCAAACAGAACGATATAATATCAACTTTTAAGCTATTGATTAACAGAAAAAAATATCATTTTGTTATTTGTAGTTACCTTCATTAACACAACGTGATGAACTAGCTTAAATCTACTTTTTATGTTGCTATAATTACTGGGTATGGGACAAATTAAGTAATCATGTTATAATCTTTTAATTTTTTATCAAATCTCTCCTGTATTCTGAGAATTCTATCAACTTACACTGGTTATACAACCCAAAATAATCACAGATGAGTTCAAGCATTTGAGAGTAACCTCTTAAGCTATTCACTCCAAAGGGCTCAATCTCAATTTCCACACTGTTGAGAAAACATTTCTCAAAACCTTAGCTAAAAAAATCTGGTATCAAATCAAACAGTATCCACTAGTTGATAGTTTTTCTTTGTTTGGTCACCTTTCTGCTTGAAAATGTAGTGATATCGAAAGAATTCTGTTTTGGTCACCTCTAGGAGTGAAAGGGTCAAAACTTGCCTGTTTTGACCTCTGAAAGATTTAAACTCTATTTTATTCTTTACCTTAAAGGTGTCCAGGGCTTGTTGATGAGTGAACCCTTCAAAAGATGTTTCATTGACTGATAACACCTCATCACCTTTGATTTGATAGCAATAAACAAAAAAGATTAATTTGGTAGGCAGATTATTAATTGAACCCTTTAACTCCCAGATCAAATTTGTAATTTTCCTTACTGTCAGCAAAACAATTCTTATAATTTTTAGTTTGGAGAATTTAGTATTGGATCAACTAATTATCTCCAAATTGATATATTTTCTTTATTCTCATCACTTATCTGGTTGATATTGTATTGATATTGTAAGGAGAAATTCTGTCTTGGTCACTCATGGGAGTTAAAGGGTGAAATAAAAAACAAAATTATACTGTAACAGTATTTGAATAACCTTCCAAAGTTGTTGGGGTGAGAATTTGAAAATTACTTTAAAATCCAATTTTCTAAAAATTCCTCTTCGAGAATGAATAACAAGTTACCTTTTCTCATCCTTCCATCAGCTTCTGCTGCTCCACCAGGGAGAATATTCCGTACATGCACAGCCATATCACCATGAGGTGAGCCTTTTCCTCCAACAATAGTGAACCCAAGACCTTTTCCATTCATTCCCTTTACCAGAACAATGGTAACAACTTCCTCTTTCATGGTTTTACTGGTTCTTCTTGGTGAGATCTCATTACTCCCCTTTTTCTTTGCTTGGGGCGAGTCCCGATCATTACTACCCACAAAATTTCGGGGTGTGGGCATAGCTTTAGTCATTACATTAGCAGGGGGATCCCCCAGATATCGTGCAGAGAAAGCAATTCCCATACCTCCTGGAGACTGAGGTCTTGGCAGGGAAGGTGAAATTTGACCAGGTTCTAGGCGCATTCCGCTTTTTGTTGGTTTTTCTTTAGAAGGTGAATTATTCAAGAAAAGGTTTTGTGAATTTCTCTTTTTTGAGGCATCTATAATTGGAGGGGATAGAGATGGTAGCTTTCCTAATAAAGATTTTGTTGAAGACCCCTTGGAGAGTGGTTTATCCTCTAAAGTAACTGGCTCACTTTCTAAGCTTTCTTCTCCTTTTGAAAGTAAGACATCCTTTGTGTCTGACTTTCCTTGTCCATTAGAACCATCAGATGAGGAAGACCAGTGTCTGCCATTAATCAGCTCTTGTTCATTTCCATTTAACAGAGCATGATTTCCTTCATTATGTGACTTATCCTGCAAGTCAGTTTCTCCAATTTGATTATCTTTCTGTGGATTTAAATTTTCTACTATTTTTGAAGGACTACTTTCCATTGATTGTTGCAAAACTTTATCTTGTGACTTTGTGGTCCCTTTTTCAAACTTTTTATCTGCTTCCTTGAATTTCTTTCCCATGTGATCAGAGGACATTTTTCTTCCTTTCTGCACTAAACTTTCTGCAGATTTTGCTTGAGGAAGGCTTTTTGAACCCTGCATTCCAGCTCTATCTGTTACATTATCCAAAGAACTTTTTTTCAATCTTGACGCCATTGCCTTCTTCTCCAAAGTAGACCCCCTTACCTTTGAGAAAACAGAAATAAAACTTTAGCACTTGTGATAATGGTTTGCAGTATTCAGATTACATCATACTTAATACAGAGTCTCTCTGCCAGGGAACTTTTCCTGAGAATATTGTTTGTTACCTGAGTTGAAATGACTAGTTGAATCAGCTTTGGTGATGCTCTTAGTAAGTCAACAGCCTCCTGTTGTGTTACTCCTATTAAGCTGTGGCCATTGATCCATAACAGCTCATCACCCTCTTTAAGGCGACCATCCCTATATACAAAGAAATCGATTTTCAGTTAAAATTAAACTTTCTTTATTAGTAATATCATAAAAGTTGATCATTTACTCAGAGTAATGTTGTGGATTAAAACAACAATTCCTCTTGGAATTATTTAAAACTAGGTTGATTTTTGTTTTTCTCTATTAAGACTGACTTTAAGAAAATTGATGACACTTTAAAGATTAAAATTTGGTGATTAAGAGCAGATTTCTCCCATTCAGTTCACCAACTTTATCATGTTAACTTAAAACTTTCCTTGTAATGCACATATTGTTCTGTTTCTGTTGTTTGTTTTGTCCAATCAGCATTTTGTTACACACTTTAAATTTAACTTAATTTGTACTTTGTATCATTCCAAACTGAAGATGACAGAAGGACTGTTGAAATATGTTTTTTGTTATCTTAAAAGTGTCGTTAATTTTCTTAAAGTCATTACATATCTGCTTCTATCCAGACCTATTTAAGAATGATAATAGTTCATCTTGAAAAAAAGGAAAAAAGGAAAATACAAACTACTATCTATAACTATATATAACATCTATAAAATAAGGCATCTATTTTCCTTACTTTACAATAATATATAATTTTAACTATTTGTATGACTCAAATGCAGCTCGGGTAGTTATCATTTGTATGTAATGCAATGTGTAAATCTCAACTTCTACCCCTGTTGTTTACTTAAATTTACATTTATGGGAAGAAATATAATACAAATGATAAATATCAGAGGGTTAATTTTTTAGGGTTAAACTGCTTTAAATCTGACCTCCATTCTTACCTAAATTATTGGGTTGTAAGCGCATGCAATATTGAATTTGGTTTTTAGACATTTAGTTTTTAGATATTTAGTTTTTAGATATTTAGTTTTTAGATATTTAGTTTTTAGATATTTAGTTTTTAGATATTTAGTTTTTAGACATTTAGTTTTTAGATATTTAGTTCTTAGTCTATTTAGTTTTTTGTCTTGGCTGTCACTGATTTGTTTTCTTGAGTCAAAGTTTGAAATATTGCATCTGCAAGAATCCAAGACTGTTTATTTATACTACATAACACTGATTTACATGCAACTAAGTATTTTCTGATTAATATAAAAATATTGAGTACATCATCATGAAACAATGACGTCTTAACTTTGTGCTTGAACTAGGTCAAGGTCAGGTTTAAATACTTTGCAATCAATTCTTTGAAAAATGAAGTTGCTGAAATCAAATTCAAAACTCTGAATTCCTGTAAATTTTTAATTATTGGATGGTACATTTACCCCATCATTTTCCAAAACAAGCTCAACTAACAGTTACCATACTTAATTTTGATATTAACATGTCAATTGAAGGTTTCTCTGTAAAAAAAGGTTGATTTTTTTGTTAATCTGATAAATTATAGAAAAATTGTACTCTCTTGGTGTCAAACCTAAAAATCATGCACAAATGAATGTAAAATTTGAATTACTATAAAAGTTTAAAAATTCAATTAACTTTTGGAATCTCATGCCACACTTGGTTTAAACTGTAAACCACTACTGACAGTTACATTAATCAATACAAGTGAAATACTGTACCTTGCTGCAGCTCCACCAGGGCTCACATCAGACACAAAGACACCCTTCTCTCTTGTTTCATGGTTGAGTTTCATCAATATTTGTACTCCAAGTCCGCGGCTATCCTTTAAAATATGTATCTTCTTTACTCTATTTTTCTGCAATAAAATATCAAGTATACAACACTCTTACAGAATTGTCAAAAAATGCATGGCATGAAAACAATATAATAAATTATCTAAAATACAAACGTTTGTTGTTTTACATAACAATTTCATATCACTTTCAGACATGATAAAGGAAATATGAAATAGTTTTAGGTTGGTGGATGTACCCAATTTTTCAGTAATTTTATTGAAGTCTTTAAATATCTGCATACAGTGTATACCATACTTTAGGCAGCAAAATATGTCTTTGCTTTAACTTCATAAATTATTTGGTGCAATAAGTTATTAATGACAGGATGTTGTTTAATTTACTAATATTGTTATTGCTCAGAATATCAATTATTTTCCTGCATGTGCACCAATTGTAAAGTGAGTGTAGTAACAAGTTATAATGAGTGAAAGTTAAATTCTGTATATAGTACTGAGCTTCACTGGCCTGTAATATCCACATTCTCCCTTAATGAGCCAATATCTCATTTTTCTTGACATAAGTATGACTATATCTAAAAAAAATTACCCCTTGAAGAGACACTAGTCTGTTACAGGTTACATTAATTCCTGCTTTCAGTCAGGGTAAGCAATAACATAGGGACACTTATTACTAACAGTACACGTTTGAGGCTAGCACTTTCCGAATAAATGTTCTAGACCCAGGGGTAACAGTTGATGGTGTAGTCTACTTGTCCAGGTGAGTGTAAACAAGAAAAGGCCTCTATTATAGCAGATGATAAGGTCAAAACATCAGTCACTATTGCTGACGACAATCCCTCTCAGCACCTCTTCCACAAGCACAATCAGACTACCTGTTCAACAGTTATTACTTTTATCAAATCTAAAGTTAGGAATCGTATAAAGCTGCAAGGATGAACACATCTCAAAATTGACTGATTAAAATATTTAAAATTCTCTGTTTTGAATATCTAAGATCAAGCACTTTCACCAATCTGTTAATTGCAGGTGATAAATGGTAAATTATTTTTCTGCTCTTGATCTGCAAAAGAATTTTAAAAATTTCACAGTAGAAAAGAAGGAATTAAAATCCTATTGAAGTTGACTTTTGTATTTCAAACTCAAATCAATCTTTAGATAATTTTTTTTTAAAACAAACATTTATAACAGTAATAGAACAAAATTACTCTTCTGCCTTGTTGATGGTAGGGTCAAACTTGAGTAAGTCAAAATAAAAATTTGTTGCATTTAACTTACAGATCCAGAACTCTCAGAAATGTTTTCAAGTCTTGGAACAACACCATTCTTTACAGGTGTAATGTTTCTCCCAGCAGGACCACGGAGAACTTTCATTTTTAATTTTCCACTCCTCAATGCACTTCCTAAGTACCACCTGAAACAAATCACTCAAATTAATATTAAATACGCGTTTATAATTCAAATATCAGCTTATCTCAAAACCGAGACGTTTAAAAATATTGTTTGTGAATAGCAAATGAAATACACAACAAAATCATCTTTTCTAATTTTAGCGACACTATTTCAGTGATTTCTCTTATGGAAATTACTGTTTAAAGGCTGAATTTGAAAGGAGAAAAGAAATTATTAATTAATGGCCTTCTTTGTAGTCTAGTTCTTATCACGCGTTGAACGCAAATGCCAAGAAAAGTATGCTAAGTACAGAAACACCTTTCTCGGTTTGCGATAAAAAACGTAAACAAAGAGGTCACACAATGCAAGCCAATACAACACAAATAAATGGCGCTAAAACGATCCCTATTTCAAAACAACAGACAATCATCCTCTACACCACCATTGGTACTGATATTCTGGCGTTTAAGTTCAGTGAATAAATGATTTAATGTCGGACAATTCGCAAGATTGCATTCTGATAAAGCGCAATGGCCCTAAATCGCTGATTTCAGATTCTAATAGTACACCCAAGGGAGAAATGGTTATAGATGATACAAACTTTTGAATACAGCTTTGTAAACAAGCCTGACTATGACGGCGTTAATTCATTTACGCTTCCTTACATGAAAAAAGTACCTGTTGCGGTTTTTTATAAACTTTGATGAACATTACGAGTTTTACCTTGCTCGCTCCAGGCTTGCTTTAGATAGATCGCGTCCATTTATTTCCATTACTCTATCTCCAACTTCCAACATTCCATCCCGTTTTGCTCTACTATCCGGCAATAAATCAGCGATTCGTATATTTCCCAAAGCAGTTCTTGCACGGCTTGGGCTGCAAGGATCTTTATTTTCAAGGACGACTCCAAAATCTCCCGAGCACTCATCAAATTCGAACGTTCTAATGTCGCCTGCTCCATCCATGTCTCCGTTTTGAAGCGTATCTTCGGCCGCGGAAGCCTTCTTTGATCGCGGAGAAAAAGCATCTGAAGAAGAAACCTTACCTTCAGTCATGGTATTCACGGTCAAAACACTAGTAAAATTGTCTTTCTTGTTTTCCTGCGGTGAACATTCCTCCCATTTTTCCCGTCTTCGCAACCGAATCACAGTAGCCAAGTTTGAGCTCGTCTGCCACAAATCTAGGTCACACCAAACTTTTCATCTTTTAAATTCACACTATAAATTTCCCGATGAAAAGCATACTTTAAGGTGAAATTTTTTCTCAATAGCTGTAAGGATTAAACGTTTCTATGAACTTCCTTCGTTTCTATTTGTACCGTCTTTTATAAGTTTCCACATTTGAATCACATCGTCATGACGTCATGCATATAAAGCACTCCTCCCCCGTGAATATGTATTTCTGTTTTGTTTGGCACGTTTCGGTTTTCTGTTTAAAGGATAAAACATTGTAATTCCAAGCAATGCGAGCGGTCAACCTTAAGAAATAATTTTTCTAAAGCAGATATCGCAAAATGATACGTTCGTTTCACTTGATTAAATCATGCAAAAATCTGCACCCTACTGGGGCAGGGGAGCATATGATGGACCCCTCTGAAGAGGCTCTCTGTCGGGTACTGTCGTCTGGGTCAAGTTTAGCCTCTCGTGAGATACACAAGTTTAGAGATCACGTTTGACCTTTCAAACTAATTTAAAGTACTTTTTTTCGTAAAACAATTGATTTCAAAATGAAAAGGAGTCCGATTACACCCTATTGTGTAGCTTCATGACGCGGCCTACTCTCTCTGTGTCGAACTAAATAGGAACGGTAGTAGCAAGAAAAGAAACGCGCGAGTCAGTAGACACATAACCTCCGTCTTTCCCTCGCGCGTGCTGCACTCGCGCCAAGTCGAGCGCCCGTCACGCATGATATATTAACCATGACGGAACCTTGAGACCGTGTTGAATATGTCTTTACCAACGCCTCGGGTCACGAAAAGGTATGCGGACCAACAAAAAATTGAGCTTAGCCCTTAGCTAACTAACCTAGACCGGTATTGACGAAATTACACAATTAAACTGACCAATTAATGGGCAGGTTTCTAAACAAAACTTTGGTGCTACGTTGGTTAGGGTACCACAAGATCATTTGCCTTTGTCAACTGAGTCGATAATCATAGAGAGTTTCTAAGCTGACGTCTCGAGCGCTAGCCCTTCGTCAGAGCGAAATGACGCCTAACGGCCGAAACGTAACCTTTATAAGTTCTTTCCTGACCAATAAACAGTATAAACTCAGTTGATAAAACCAACGTAACCTGCCAATTTAAGACTTAGTCGAACCAAACTGTGACGCTGCCAATTTAACGGCCTAAGTGATTTAGGAAGTGGGTGAACATACCCAAAACAAAATTAAAAATAATTTAAACTGATAGGTAGTCTAGGAAAGAGAACCCGACAGAAGCTTAGTTGTCTGAGGTAAAATGTCATTTACCGTTGCCTTTCGCCACCTCCTGTCCCAAAGAGCAGCTGGTTCTGTGAAACAGATATGAGCCTCAAGACTTAGGCCCTGGCAAAGTCAAAACAAGAGACGAAAGGATTCTAATCCATCTTCTCAATGAATGAACGACCAACCAGAAAGAAGAAACATCAAGAACACGTTTTCCGAATTGAAATTTTATTTTACAGCTCTCAAAATAGGGCTTTACTCCCTGGATTTCATCTTTTCTCGTGCCATCTTCTTCTTGGATACCTTCTTTACCTCTACCTCATCCTCGCCACGAGGAACAACTTGCTCACGTTCAGCAAGGATCATCTCTATGTGGCATGGGGAGCTCATGTAGGCTGCAAAACACAAGGTTGAGTTAGTTTAGGCCTTAAAAGCTAGTTACTACCATAGCATCTTCCTTGAACTTCCATGAATGACCAAGGCAGAATTTCTCCTTACAATATCTATACGTATCAAGCAGACAAGCAATGAGAATAAAGAAATATAAAATAATGGTGGGTTTTTAGTTGATCCAATACCAAACTAGCAGTCCCTTGTTTTCAGTGCTGCAGAAACATGCATTTCTCTGCTAAGACCAGTTGAAGAGAAGTTTACCAAGGGCCAGTTTCTCGAATGTCTTAGTAATTTTGTAGGGCCTGTAGAGCTGATCTGTTTTTATTCAAGATAGGAGTGTCAAAAGTTTTAAAAATTATTCAATAAAAATATCAGCTAGAAAAACACGATGGACTGTTAAGGGTGCCAGAACTGGCTTCTCCATTCTTAAGATTTTGATTTTAAAATACAGCTTCATTAAGTTACCCGCAATTTGGAGAAACAAGCCCCAGGAGTCTGGCACTAATAATCATTATCAGTCCCAGACCCCTTGCAGACCTTTCACCAGCTTGCATTGCTCAAGGCCTCATACTTTCCAGTGGGCAAAGAAAAAATTGCACTGAAGCACTTGTAATGAGGCTACAAATTCTCCAAAACCAGCATCATAAGAAATGTATGGCACATAGTAAGGAGAATCAATCATGAGATCTTAGGAGTGAAGGTGTTATTTCCAAAGGAAAAAGTGTTACTACTCCAATCAAATGGGATACATATATGTTATTTACTCAGTGAGTGGTTTGTACAGAAAAAAAAAAAAAAAGAACAAACCACAAACTCCTAGGCTTTCACCCTTTAACTCCCAAGATCTCATTAGTAATTCTACTTACTGTCTGCCATACAGTTCTTGTGATATTAGTTTTGAGAATTTGGTATTGGATCAACTAATAATCCTCCAAATGATATTCTTCCTAGTTTCCATCACTTGTCTGCTTGATAGTGTATTGATATCATTAGGAGAAATTCTGTCTTGGTCACTTATGGGAGTTAAAGGTTAAAACTGGATATGAAACAACTTTGACTTACGATTGATACGTCCATGGGCTCTGTAGGTTCTCCTCCTCATCTTGGGAGCAGCATTGACTTGTATGTGCTCAACCACCAACGAGTCTACATCCAGTCCCTTGATACAAAAACAAACATGAAGGTCAATTTAGGGAGATTATTATACTGATTACTTATTAAAGTTGAATCACTTAATTATAGAGATGCAGGACTAAAAATTTCCATTAACTGGTCACTAATGCCACTGAAAATTGGGTTAGGCAACCAGAATTCCTGATTAATAACTCAAACATCTTGTTGATGGTTTTTGCAAAAGCCAGCCCTCTAGAAATGTAAAAATTTTTAATTTTTCCAATGTGATTTTATATAATCAGCTGGTGATTGTTCACCAACAACAGGAACATGCCTTTGACAAAGAAACATCTAAAAAACTTCACATTTTCTTATTTCACAGCGAGGCATCAAATAACCAAAAACTCACTTTAAACTCAGCATTGCTCTCAGCATTTTTAAGGAGCTGAAGCAGGATCTCTGCACTCTTCTTTGGCCACCGGCCCTGGGATCCTGGAGACTTCAAGTTCTTGGCCTGAAAATGTACATAATTAATTCACATTGAGTTTCTCAGTCACTACCTCTCCTTAGATCTAGTTAGAAATTCTCCATCACTACTAGCATACATTTCCATGTAAATTAGACAATCCCTTGCTGATAAGTTTTTTCTATTCCCAATACCAGTTCACAAATTGTGAGGAGAGGTTACACTCTAATCAATTCATGGAGCCTAAGGCTTGAAGACAGTCCAGTGATCTGGGCTTATGTAGTCCAAGATATCAGTTTCCTTTTCATAAAGCAGTTCTAAACTGAAACTTGGGACATTGAGCAGCAGCCCCTCTGGTATAAGTTCCTTATAAATAGTCAGTATGTATAATACACTAGTATATCACAAAAAGTCACCACTTCTTAAAGAGCCATTATCCAACTGTTCATTTACATAAGACAAGGCCAATAGAAAGGATCATGCATGATATGGATTTCCTTGGTTGATAAGTCAGTTATTACTTCTACCAATAGTAGATTGATATATCAGAACATCAAGACATTAGCTGACAGTTGATCGTTAACCAATCAATGGGTAAGCATGGGCCAGCCATTTTTTGATAACTAATTGGCTATCAGCAAGTATAGAGCTCATCTATCAACCACATATTGGATGAAACATCACAACCAAGGCCATAATAAGCCATAGTAAGCATAGTAAGAGACCACAGTAAGCTTAGGGGTTGAGTGGAAGCTTCTAATGAGAGTGTTACAAGAATAGTAGACTCTAAGTTCTTCAGTATACCAAGCAGTTATACCATGATATGTTTGTCCAAGAAAGTTTAAATCACATGGTACATGCGAATGGTAAGTATTCCAGTATTATGGGTGACATGTCATACATACCTGAGCTTTACGTCCCACGCCACCATTGAATCTTCGGAAGGGAATGATCTGCTTTTTGGCAATAACATCTTTGAGATATCTGTTTGCCTTACGTATGTGCATGCCCTTGATGGCCACAGCCGTCTCGTGTGTGTTCTTGAAGTGCACACGGAGGTTAGAACCTCGTGCTTTACAAGACTTGGTTGGATTCTCAGGATCAGAAGCGTAACGAGTCATCTTGAGTAACCTTTACCTGAAAAACACATCGTGCATCGATATTATGGTTTTCATTTTTGTCTATCCTGCAGGGAAATCAAAGGGGAACTATGTACAAAGCTGCTAGGCTTTCAATTGAATATTACATAATCCCCAAGATAAAACAAAAGAATCTGCAAAAAATGCGGGAATATTTAGAGATGTTTCCCAAAGTTAGCAACTAATTTATTGTAAGGTAACAGCTTTGAGGTAGGATTAACTATCAACGCGATTTTTTTTATTTCCAGCCATATTTCATTTATCTTATTAAGTAGAAGTAGGCTCTGATATCGAAAGTATAGAAATAAGAAGTCTAATCGAAAATAGAAAAGAGGATTGGGGAGATAATTTGAGATTTCAACCACACATCGGAACGAATCTCACCTTCGAAGAGGAAGGCTGAAAGAGGACATATACCCAGAGTTCTTTTCGATAAGACTTCTTCATTACGCAGGCGCATTCATCAAATTCAAAATGGCGTCGGATATTTAATCGTAAGTCGTGAAAACTCTTGGTGGTTTCTTTGGCCCTGTCTTACAGTTCGCGATGTTTTGGGGTGAGTAGATTATTTCATTACTTTCTATAGTTCCTTTGCTATGTAATCAAAACTTAAAAGTGGAGAAATGACTCCACTGAAGTGCAATTTTTCTAACAGCCATAGTTTCGTGCAGGAGTGAGATAAATTATTTGATGAAATACAAACACAATATTCTTTTAAAAATCCACGTTTATTATACAATAGTTATAAATTTTTATAAAGAATCTATAAAGAGTTTTATGACTATTGAGTATATTTAAGGCAAATGCTGCTTCCTTATTGCTCAACTGGCATTTTAGAACGGCCATGGCATGTGATATTTTAACGCGTGGAACATTAATTTGTGAGCAGAAGAAAACATGTACAAACTACCCAAGGTGAAGTCTAGCACGCTTTTTATTAGATACGGTTTAGTTAACAAGATTTCCAAAGCTGTGCTCTTGGAAGGATCATTGAATACCTGAAGGCTCTCTGTTCAGATATCAAGGGTACTTAGCTCTGAAACCTTCAACTTGTAGGAGTGAGTTGAATCTAACTTCACCTTGCGACTCCAGTCTGTTATCTTGCAAAGAGGTTATGAAAAAAGACAAACCCATCAGTTAGAAGGTTTATCTTGATATAAAACCAAATTTACAAGGAAATGTAAGGGGCTCAGGAGGGGAATTACTAGTTGAATCTTAGAAGTTAAACAGATTTGATCAAAGTACAGTTATTCAAGTTGCATTACATCAATAGTTGGTTGGCTGTGGTACCACAACCTTCCCATTAGACAGAGAAATTTATGTTTCATTCCTTAGAGCACACCATGCACCTGTCCATAAAACAGTTTATAGTTCCATTCCTATTTTATTTCCAGGGGTCACTCTTGATTCTGGGAAACGTTACACCCAGACAGTGGAAAAGTCATTCCACTTATCAATGGCTGCTCTGGGCTTTCAGAACTGTTCATCAGTGCCAGTGACAATAATGGTTGAAGTGGATAAAGCTCAGTTTGCATTGTGCACACTGCAGCCTGGCAAAATTCCACAACAGCCTTTAGACTATTGTTTTACAGAAGGAGAAGAGATAACTTTCTTTACAGAAGGCCCCGGGGATGTACATTTAACAGGTTTGTTTTATTTTGAATTCTTATTTTTGATCACCATCATAGTGGCATAATTTGAAATTTTTTAATTTTTTTCTTATGAGATTAAGATCAGGAGACTGATAAAAAGGCAGCTATGATCTTAAAATGCCAAATGTAGATAGAAGTGTGAGACTTCTTGCTTTAGATTTTGCTGGCTTCAGGTGGATTAGAAATTTATCGTACCATGCTCTTGGTTATACATTTTGAGTTTCTGGTTCATATTTAGATGAAGCAAGCATATGCTTGTATTTTCTGTCAAGGGAGCAGGGATGGTTCAGCAATGAGAGTGCTTGCCTCCTACTGCAGTGGCCTATGTTTGATTCCCAAACCTGGTGTCATATGTGGGTTAAGTTTGTGGGTGGTTCTTGTCCTAGCTCCAAAGGGTTTCTTGGGTTACTTCAGGTTACCTCCCTCCACAAAAACCAACATTCCAAATTCCAATGCAACCTGGAACCTGTGGACAAGAAGGTAGCCCAAATGTTAACTCAAGTATAAAAGATCTCAACATGCAACAAGTTTTCCATTAAATTGTTATACTTGATGGACAGGTTATTTAGTGGATGAACCAAATGCTGTGGAATTTGAAGAATCAGATGAGGAAGTATCGGCAGGAAGTGAAAAATCTGCAAGCAACTCTGATTCAGCTGAGGATGATGATGAATCATCCAGTGAGGAAGTGACTCTTGGAGACTTATTTCAAAGTGGAGATTTGATCAGCAGTGATGATGATGATGAGGATGAAGAGAGTGCAGATTTGGACTGGGATCCATCAAAGGATAATCCAAAGAGGAGAAAACCAAGTAAGAAAAGGAAGAAGAAAAAACAGGCTGAGAATTTGGATGAAAACAATATTATATCTCTGATGGATGTTGAACAAACTGAAGTAACTTTGTCAAATTATAGTATGCATGGTGAAAATGAAGGCAGTAATGGAGGGCAAAAAAATACTAAATCTGAAATTGAACTCAGGAAGAAAGAAGGAAACAAGAAAAAGAGGAAAGTGGTTGAAACAGAAAATCAGACAGTTGAAAATGGACTTAAACCAGCTAAAAAACTGAAGAAGAAAGGAAAAAAATCTCAATTAAACTCACCAAACAGTGATGGCAAGACAGAAAAGTCAAAAACTCAAGAAAATAGCAGTGAGCAGACTTCATTAGGTAGTAACTTGCTTACAAAAAACAGTGACACTCAAGTTAAACAAGTAACACAAATAAAAAGGGGAAAGGAGACACAACCAAGTCCTGGGAAACAGAGTGGTCAACCACAAACCACCTTGGTAAGTGTCTATTGATTTATGTTATGGGAAATATTTTGAGAAGCTGTTTTTTCATTATAGTAAACTCACAGGGTCATGGCAGGTCAAAGTAAACATGCAAGGCTGCAAACTTTTGTTTTTCATGTTTTGGAGGTAATCATGAATACAAATTGTCAGCACTTGTGTTTTGGAAAATATATCTGAATATATAATAAGTAATGAAATTGGTAATTCATAAGAATTTATGAGCTTAAGAAAGTAAAGAAAGGATTTTAGTCATGTTTGGCGTTGTGTGTTCAGTTTATTATTGATGTTGACATAGGTTCAATAATCATTGTTACATACCCAGACTTGCACTCAACAGAACGAGCACTGAGATTGGTTGATTCTTGGTCATGTGCCCCTGATCAAATTCAAATGTATCCCAACTGGGATACAATTGCGCAGTTGTAGCCTGTGCACCAAATACAACAGTACATGATTGTTTTAAGGGAAAGTTTAAATATATAACAAAGCACTTAATGTATGGTCCCAAAGGAAACTAGTTAGTTTTGTTTTCCCTTGATTCTTGATGTTTCCCCTGACTTTGTTTTGGGAAATGTCAGGACTGTTGGGAAAACAAAACTAACTAGTTTCCCTCAGGACCATACATTAAGTGTATAATATGTAAGGAATATTTTTCTGCTAAATATGGATGATACGATAGTTCTCAAACTTAACATGCAAGGAAATAGTGTAACAAGGAGATCTTGTATTGTATTATAAGCAGGCAAAGAGGAAAACGCTACCAGGAGGAACTGTGTTTGAAGACATTAAAAAAGGGACAGGACCAATGGCCAAAAGAGGACAGATAGTAAGGATGTCCATGAATATTAATGCTTTATGTGCCATGGTCTTTGCTGACTGTATGTGATCTGCTTACAACACAAACTGTCTCATCATACTGAAATGTTTTAACCCTTTAACTCCCAAGATCTGATTGTTAATTCTCCCCTCTAGCTGCTACACATTTCCGTTTAAATCGGTAACAAGAATTTGGTGTTAGATCAAGATCATTTCTACCTGATATATTTGAGTATTCTCATTACTTGTTTGCTAAATAATGCATGAATATAATAGGGAGAAGTTACATGTTAATCACTTCTAGGAGTTAAAGGGTTAAGCGCAATGTCTATTGATGAAGTTGCAGTAGGTCAGTAGTGATAGTCACAAACACAGAGCAATATGTTGCTGATTCAAGTAAACCACAAGGGAGCACTTGGATTGATCAAAAGAATATTCCATCTATCAGCTGTCTGTGATTTTAAATTAAAGTGTCTGTAGATCTTCCTTTTTGGTTTGTCTTGTTCTTTGTAATTACTATTTTTCATTTCTCGATGGTTCATTTCAACAGGTTCATGTATATTATAAAGGAACTTTAGCAAAGAACAAAAAGCAGTTTGATGCTTGTCTGAGTGGACAGCCACTTTCATTCAGAGTTGGTGCAGGACAGGTCATACAAGGCTGGGATCAGGGTGTCACTGGTAAGTGTTCTAACATTCATACTACCAAGGCAATCCTCCTTTCCCTCTGACGAAAGGCCAATGCAGGGAAACATCAGCTTTTAAACTCTTAGCAGTGGCCAATTTATGTTATCAACTCAATTGATAATACCAAATCACCCAGCCCTCCTTAAATTTGATTTTCGAAGCCTGAAATTTCTTTATGTCAAGTAACTGAGTCAACCAAGGTTGTTCTTTTTCACACAGGAATGCAAGTAGGTGGGAAAAGGAGATTGATAGTACCTCCATCACAAGGGTAGGTTATCGTGTTACAGTATCCTAGAGATCATTATACACCTCTTTCACACATAGCTAACCTATAACACTACTTATTTGATCATATGATGTGAAAATAACTCACACATGCTTTTTGTGAAAAGTAACTACCCTATGTCAACTGTACAGCCATTTTGTTACCAATCAGGTTTGTCACTAAGGGTACCTTTACAGTTTAGCTAACTTGATGTTAAAAGTGGAAATGATGATTGTTGTCACTTTACATTGGGGCACATATCACAATGCTACAAGTGATATCTCCAATGTTACAGCTATTGAAAACTAAGTGACAGCCCTAGCACTGTGTCTTATACAATATTGTGCAGAGCTGATGAGTAAATATGATCGTTATTTGCAGATATGGTCATGAAAAGATAGGACCAATTCCACCCAACAGTACGTTGGAGTTTGAAGTTCAACTTGTGAAACTGCAGTAATATAATTAGCCAACTGTGATGTACTACTGTTAAGCAAATCTGTCTCCTACATTTGCAAACTGAGACCATTTCCACAAATTAGTACGTTGGAGTTTGATGGTCTACTCATGAAACCACAATAATATACTATCAGTACTTATAAATTGCCTAAGACATGCTACTGTCAAGTAAAAATGTGCCTACGTTTACAAACTAGTATTGAATAACACTGGCATGTAAAGGATTCTTGTACCAAAATTAACACATCTTGGGTGTGCATAATAATTTCTTCTTGACCTCAAACCATTAACATTCTGCAAGAGGAGCATCTACACTGGTTACCAGTATTTTAGAATAAGACTGCTTCTTTATCAGTTCAGAGCCAAGCTGCAGAAAGCCGGGGGAAGGACCAGTTCATGTCATTAGTTTTAGCTCAATTTAATTTTATCAGATAATTCCATTTTTAAATATTATTCCTGTGCAAGACTCATGATTGAAAATGTTACCTGTCATATATTCTCACAAAAATTAGTTATCATGTCTTCTTTAAAACATTTATTTGAGCTTTGAAACTTCTTATTGCACATGTACTGTTCTAATATTTTTCCTAAATAAAGAGTATGAGGGACATTTTATTAGTTGATTAAAAAATTTGATAAATGAGTGTCCTAAATTACACAGACAAAATTTTTAGATTTTATGAAGATAATGTCCTTTGAACATTTTTCCCAAAAGCTTTTTGTTAAACATGATTTCAAAGTACTGTCAAAATAGCTTCCTATTGCCAATCAACTTCTTGACCACAACTTGAGTTGGTGTTGTATTTTAAACTTATTTAATGTAATTGGCAAAATTTTCTATCTCTTGGTTCTTATATCCAACCATGGAGAGGTTACTGATGCCATTGTTCAGTAGATTCAAATCATCAAAGCTGGTGAGGCTTGTTAGCGTAGATTGATGATACTGTCACATTGATGTTGTGATAACTGCTAACAGCTAAAATTAAAAATAACCCCATTCTCAACTTTTTTGTTATTATTATAATGTTTTCAATTGCTGTAACAAGCTGAGTCCTTTCCCACTCTCTGAAGTGTTCACTGCCTCATCATCTGCTGTTGATGTACATGTAGTGGTGTCTTCTTTCAGCCCACCATCCTTAGCTTCAAGCAACTGCTTCATCAGCTTATCTCTCTTGGACACGCACTTCCTCGTGAGAGAATGCACAGCATCAACAAAGTGAGTTTGGAAGTCAGAGAGGGCTGTGATACCTTGAAACAACAAATGATGTTATTTTTGAGAAGGAGCTAGGACTTATGTTGCAAAATTTAACATTTCCTAATTTCAGTGAGTTATGCCATGTTTTTGCCACACAGCAAACTATGCTCGCTTTCGTTTTATGCCAAGAATATCATACATCCTTACATGAGAGTTTTAGGTACAAATCTCTAAAACTGAAACCCTAATTTATTTACATGTAAATTAAGGTTTTTGTCTTGCCTGATTGTTCCTTTTCCTTCCTGGGCTGAAGAAGATCCATAGCATCTGATAACTAGGGAGAAGTAAGCAAACACAGTGAGGTAAAGTGACATTGTCAAATACTCTATGAACCCTCAGATTTTTAGATCAGCTCTGCTAGTAATTTCACCCTGTCTCTTTCCTTTTGAATCATTGTTTAAAGGACAAGTGACACAGGAGCAGGAGACACTTTTTACTGTTTTAGACACCATTTGCTGGATTTTAATTAATTTTTCACAGGTTAGCAGGGGATTTAATAAATCCAAACACTTAAGGGTGGAGGTGGGGAAATTGAAGAGAGACAATCTGCAAATTATAGGATTCAGAGGCTGGGGTTAACATCATTGGTTCTCTTAAAAAAAACTTGCACTATACCTGTGATTCATGGTCCTTGAATGAGGACAAAAAAGTTCGCAAATCATCTTCAGAGGCTGTGTCTTTCAGTTTTTTGTAAGCACTGAGTATATCTGTTCAAAACAGGACATGAAAACCATAAATCAACAACTAAAATGGACCCAAAAAATGGAGAACACAAAAAAAAGTTACCTTCCAAAGGCTTACAAAGCAGTTCCATAAAATTTCCTTCAAATGTCTGGTATGCCTCTCTGCCAATAACAAAAAAATATAATAAAATATGTGTAAATTCATTGTTAGAAGTTGTTAAAACCCTTCTCCAAATCATTATTTTTGCTCTGTTAAATAAAGTTTCTGAACTCATACTACAACAGAGCAATTTTACAGCTCGGGCACAACCGCATAAAATTTACCTAACTGCAGATAGCAGGGACTCTGCATAGTCAACCTGGCATTGGTAAACTTGCCGATGAAATGACAGCTCCTCTTTAAGTATTTTTATCTAAAGAGAGGGAATAAAATCATGTTCTTATATCACCTTTCACCAAGAAAAAGGGTTGTATATCACTTTGCTGCTGGATGCAGTGCTTCTTCAGGGGTTTTAGCTAATGATACTGGTATAGGTATTTTTGCTTAGTCTAAACGTGGTGTAAATTAAAACTGGTTTTCATCAGGCATTTGGGATCAAAGAATTTCATGGATACATAGAATGCTTAAGTAAAATTTCAATGGCCAGAGCCAATTTTTAATTCAGACAATAAGAGTATTCTTATTTCTTGACAGTCATTCTCTGCTATGACTTTGCTTGATAGAAACAAGACAAACTATTGTAATGTATGCCATGGGAACCCTAGAAAAGATGCTATTTTGCACTTGGGGACAAAATTATCAGCCATTTACTAAACATACCTCTAGTGACAGTATGTGCTTTGAATAGCTGATTGATTTCATCAAGGCTTGCACAACTGATCTCACCTGTTAACAACACAAAATACATAATCTGCTCATAATAATACAATAAAATACTTACAGTACTTTAGAATTCCCACCAATGTTGTACCTTTTCAGAAATTAAACACCTTTGAGTGACAATTAAGGAATCCAGGACTACAACCCAGTCATAGTCAGTCTTCTAGGTAAAATTACTAAATGTAAATTTCAGGTTTTACAAATGAATCTAATAAAAGCATCTTGACAAAGACTAGATTTACAAGATACACTAGATGGATCAATTTTGATGACTGGATATACCCCTGACATAAATTAACCTACAGGAACACTTGGTATAAATTAGAAAATTGCAGGATGTCAAGAAGAAGTAAAATATGTTTAACTTAAAAAGAGTTAATTCACACTGGTATAAATTAAAATGTAACTGTAGGGTTATTGTTTCATAGTATGATCCTACCTCTTGCTGTTTTTTCCGGCTCAGCTCTGGCATGTGAGACATGATACTCTCTTCTGTGAGATCTTCTCGAATAACCTTCTTTAAGGGAGGCTGCAATGTGAAACAAGAATTTGGATTATTGTAATCCTTATTAATTAGAATTTTACATGTAATTATCACCTGTTAATACCAAAACATCAGAATCTTGGAATGAGCCCAAATTTTTTACTAGCTACCTCTCCCTTTATCCTTTGACTAAGTCACCCACATTCTTCCTTGTTGTTGTGGGTTGCTTGTGATTTGTCTGTGAAAATAGGTTAGGAACACAAACAACTCTCTACAACATGCAAGAATGTGGGTGTGTTGGTAAAAAAGAAAGTGGGAGGGTAGTGAGACAAGAATTTGGGCCCATTCCACAGTTCAATGACTTTTGAAGTAACTAAGAACAGAAATTATACTTATTGTAACCTCAGGGATGGGGGAGGTGAAAAAAGCTGAAAGTGCTCATGAAATTTTGGCTAACAATTTGCCACTGGGGCCATAAAAACTGCACTTCTGTCCAGGCATTTTAATATGTAGGAATTATTGGCGGTCCACAATCAATTATGAGGCCTTCATTGTTGTCTGTTAAGATTCCATTTGTTGCATTTTTAAGGCCCAACAGTGAGCAATTTCACCTTTGACCAACACTTGAGAAATATGTTATTAAAACCCTAGCATGTCAGCTATTAAAGGTACATGTGTAAGAAAGTGATTGTTACTCAACTGGACCTTACCCAGGGTGCAGCAGGATACAGGACAGACAAAGACAACAGGTCCTCACTACAGTCTCTCAGCATGTCTGTCACTGTTGTCACATGACTTGCAAGCCTATCTCTGATTGGCTGTGATATATGTTCACTGATTAAGCTTGCTGGTTGTGAGGATGGCTCAACTGTAAGCATTTCCTTCAGGCAAACCATGTTTTTGTAAAGTTTGCAGAGCTTCGATTCAAGCCTGGACTGAAAATGAAAGGGTTTGAATTGACCATGCATATCAGTTTTGTGAATGAAACTAATGAAACTTGTTGGCATTATTCTAAGAACCCTGTATTACACTTTTTAGACTATACCCTTCTGACTCACTTCAAAAACCAAAAAATTTCTTTCCCTTCCCCTGTTAAAAAAAAAAAAAGGCATAAGAATGTAGATGTTGAACCCAAAAAGGCTTCTGTATTATAATCAAATCCTTTATGATTTCATGAATAGCAAGAAAAATTGCTATTCTTTAATATTCAGGTAAATGAGCCTTACTGACCTCGACAACATGTTCGATAACGAGAGAATTTCCCTCAAAAGCAAGGCTCAGAAAACTAATTTACATGCTCATCAAAGAATAACAAGCATGCTTGCCATCATGAAAGAGGTCCATGTCATCATATTTTTCTATGGAAATACTGGATACAAATCTCTCCTTGTGAATTTAACTTGTGTACTGCCACTTAAGCATCTAATATAAAGGGTTTACAAATGATACCTCACCACATGCTTCAAGTTAAGATGTTCAACTTTTCCACTGCAACAGTCTAACAGGGTAACAGTTTGATCTTCCACAGATTTTGATTGTTTCAAGAAATCATCCATGTATATGGCAGGCAGACAGAGGTCATCAGCCTCAGCACTCTAAGATGACAAACAGTCAACAGAGAATTTTCCTTTAACCTTTTAATACAAGGTAGTTGAACTGTCCTCTCCCACTGAGATTCTACTTTCAACTGAAAAAAAATCGTACTTTTACCTCTTTGTTCTTGTATAAATCAAGTCTTGTTCCCTCTAATCGATATTCCAAATTATGTATATATTCACGTGATACTGTTAAATAATTTGATGGCTCATCTGGTGAGTAAAGACTCCTACAGAATGGACGAAGAAACAAAATAGTAACACTTTTCAGGTACTGAAGCTGTAAAAAACCAAGATCCAATTATTTTCTATGAAAACAAAAAATTTTTCCTCAGACATGTTCACTTAATGTCAAATCAAACTATTCTATTTTAAAATCAAGCCAGACAAAGGCTGATGGATGAAAAGTTTTCCATACCTCAATGTTTCTTTTAAGTTTAGAAGTTTATTTTCAATTTGTAGGAACAAATTTTTTCTGGCTTGCAAAGCACTACCCTGGAGAAGAACCTGTTGACAAAGAATAGGAATAATGTATTTCCACCATAAGAGCCAAATGTTCAAAATTGACAATTTGAGTTCAACTTCACCATTTTAAGGTAGAAGTACCACAACAACTGATAAAGTTGCCTATAGCCAGGGATTGATCAACACTTTCAGAAAAGCAAGTTATTTTATACAGTAAATTAAACCTACTTACTTGTCTCTCTAGTTGTATAACCTGAGATTTAAGTAAGTTTACTCTTCGTTCATCAAATCTCTCCTGTGGTACTTCTTCCACAAGCTGTTTGTAGAGAGACCTGCAAAAAAACTTTGTTTTACCATAAGACTGATTATGTGAGTGTGTAAAATGCCCCTTCACTATAATTTCCACTGGACCAGCCAATCCAATCTTTATCGTGTAATTACCTGATGAATTGCAGCTCTGCTTTGAGTTCATTGTTTTCTTTCTTCAGATGCTGAAAGAGGAGTAATAGAATTTATTTTGACAACTTACATGCATATTCCCCTTGTTCATTTTAAGAAGGTATCAAATGAAAATAATGAATTCAGTGAAACTTGGAGAACTAAAGAACATGCAAGATTCTCTATGGAGAAAATAACAAGACTTGAGAATAATGTACAAATCAGTAAAAAAAATTATTCAGGAAAGGTCTACTAGAAGACCTAGCAAGCAGAGCTGATAGTCATTCAGGGCAGTCTGAGAAAAAAGAGCTTTTGCTGAGCCATCTCTGTTTTTTTTTTTGTTTTGGCACTCAGTAGTTTTTCTAACATTCCATGAATAGCATCCAGTACAGAACTACTCTGTTACTATAACCAATTGGTCTACAAAAACTAAGGATTATAATTCAAGGGTGGACATATTACTGAGGTGGTGGTCTTCTGGTAAATTTCTACTGTATCACCGCACAAACTCTGAAAACTACCACATTGCTGGCTTCTGAAACTACTGATATTAACTTCAATCAAGTGTTGTGACTCCTTTTACTGTCTCACCTCTAACTGTTGCTGGTATTTTTGTAGTTGTCTGTCTCTTACACTTAATGATGTCTGTGTGTCTAAGAGTGTCTTACCAAAGACATTGTCATTTTTGGATTTCTGCTGGAAATCTGATGTGGAGCTACTTGAGGACACTAAAGGCCTTGTCTAGGAGCAATCATTTGACAAGATCCCATTTTAAAATTTCTTAAGTTCCAACAGTTCCTTTGAATCACCACAACCAGACGTCAAGCTACAAATGAACACTGCCATATCTTTCCGAAAAAATTTCAGATAAAGTGTTCATCAATTTGACATGGGTAGTAAAGATCAATTTATTTGGTTTAATCTAAAAGGTAAAGTGAGTATCATATAATTCTATTTAAGAAAAAAGGCGATTAGATCTCCAACCTTCGAAGTGGCATTCCTTGTTTTGTTTACATCACCTGAGTGGCGAGTACTCGATGGCAAATGGCGATGGGAGATCGGAGTTTTTTTCATCGAAAAAAAATTCGAACTACTCTGAAGACAGTAAAATGAAAGTTCTTCTTTCAATCATAAACATAATTAACAGCCTTCGCGCGCCGCCTAAACTATTTTGCTTTTCCACGCTAGTTTTGGCGGTTCAATCGGCCATGTTGTTAGTTGGGAAGGACTGGAAACAAAATAAAGGCCTAGAAAGACTGGAAACTGGCGAGAGAAGGAAAAAAAACTCGGCGAGTCATACCACTTCCGAAGGCCACGAAAGTCGACTCTTTCTTTTTCGGCAGTGTTAGTCGGTGTCTTAACTTTCTTTTTACTGCAAATACATATTGCCTGGACGGTGATAGACTCTTAAGGATGACAAATTGCGAGTAGTCCCTCCATTTTGGCGAAGTCTGTTGCATAAGTCAAGAAGATATCAGTCAGAGTGCGCGAGGAAATTCGCCAAGGAGGGACAGCTCGTTCTATACCCGAAAACCTCTAAAGTACGTTGTTAAAATCGATATTTACGGGAAAAAGGAGCAATGAAGCTTCTGGACGCTCTTCTTTTATGGGAACATGTCAAATTACAGACTTTTCCGCGTTTTCACTGAAATCGTTCTTTAACAAAATCAGGGCAAAGAGAAGGATATAAAAATAAACGTAGAGAAATCATTAGACTATTGGTCATTGACTTTTGATAAATCTGGTGGCTCTTATAAGAGCCGTTTTTTTTCGCTTTTATGATAAACCCACTTAAGCGCGTTCCCCTCGAATTCGGCGGGCGAGCTGGATGTCTTTCGGCATAATAGTAACTCGCTTTGCGTGGATTGCACACAGGTTGGTGTCCTCAAAGAGACCAACAAGGTATGCTTCGCTGGCTTCTTGGAGAGCCATCACTGCTGAGCTCTGGAAACGCAAGTCGGTCTTGAAATCTTGGGCGATTTCACGCACGAGACGCTGGAAAGGCAGTTTGCGGATAAGCAGTTCGGTGGACTTCTGGTAGCGACGAATCTCACGAAGGGCAACAGTTCCAGGCCTGTAACGATGGGGTTTCTTAACACCACCAGTTGCAGGAGCACTCTTTCTGGCGGCTTTTGTGGCAAGCTGTTTACGGGGTGCTTTACCGCCAGTAGATTTACGCGCAGTTTGCTTAGTACGAGCCATGGTCGACGACAAACACTTAGAGAAAGACTAAGAATACCTATGTCTAATGAGAATCACGGTAGAAACTTTATACTTCGCGCCGACTCTCACGATTGGTTCGTTTTCCTCATTTACGATTGGCTTGAATGCCACACACTATAGCAGTGATTGGCCAAAAATAAGAGCCATTCATTGGTTAGCTTATGCAATGTTCGATCCGATTTGCCACGAAGCTCAAAGCTCACATTAAAGTCACCCGGTTTTCGAAGCACTTGACTTCACATGTCCAATATCAGTAGTTATTTGTTATCGTGACTTTTAAAGGTAGAATATAATCCAGTGTTGCACCATGAATCGTTCTCTATATCCCGCCTCGTGTCCTCCAATTGTACACGTTCCTACTTGCATAGTAATGGTTGGTTTGCCGGCGAGAGGTAAAACTTATGTTTCGAGAAAACTAACCAGGTATCTCAACTGGATCGGCGTCAACACCAAGGTATTCAACCTCGGGGAGTACCGCCGCGAAATGGCTGGTGCTCACTGCAAACACTCCTTCTTCGATCCAAGTAATACGGATGGAATGAATGTACGTGAAAAGTGCGCAGAACTCGCCCTGGAAGACATCACAAAATGGCTGAACGACAAGGGACAGGTAGCTATCTTCGATGCTACGAACACCACTCGAGCTAGAAGAAAGAAAGTCACGGATCACCTCACCGCCCATGGCTTTAAGGAATTTTTCGTGGAGTCAGTTTGTGATGACAACGAGATCATTCGTTCCAACATTCTGGAGGTAAAGGTAAACTCCCCTGACTATCAGGGGGTACCCCCAGAAGAGGCTCGCCAAGACTTTGAGGCCCGAATTAATCATTACAACAATTTCTATGAACCTCTCGCTTTGGACCATGATTCTAATATGCCCTTTCTGAAAGTGATTGATGGTGGAAAGCGATTTCTGATGAATAAAGTGGAAGGATATCTGCAGAGTAGGGTAGTTTACTACATCATGAACTTGCATATCACCCCAAGAGCCATCTATCTGTCAAGACATGGTGAAAGCATGATGAACTTGCAAGGGAAGATTGGAGGAGATTCTGATCTCTCTGAGAGGGGCTGGGAGTACAGCAAGGTGCTTGGAAAGTTTGTTAAGGAAAATATGCCAGATGATCTCAAAGTCTGGACCAGTGAAATGAAGCGCACCAATCAGACGGCAAGTGCCATTGACAGACCAATCGAGAAGTGGAAAGCCATTAATGAAATTGATGCAGGTGTATGTGAGGGAATGACATACGAAGAAATACAGGAGCAATTTCCTCAGGCTTTTGCAAAGAGAGATGAAGATAAGTTCCACTATCGCTACGCTCGTGGGGAGTCTTATGAAGATCTTGTGGCCCGGCTAGAACCAGTTATCATGGAGCTGGAGCGGCAGCAGAATGTGCTTGTGATCTGTCACCAAGCTGTAGCCCGTTGCCTACTGGCATACTTTTTAGACCACAGCTCTAATGAGTTACCTTACTTACGTGTTCCACTGCACACCCTCATAAAGCTCACTCCAGTAGCATATGGTTGTCGTGTGGAGAAGATTGATTTGAAGGTTCCAGCTGTAAACACACACAGGGAAAAGCCCAAGGTTGTGACAGTGAGCCGAACCTCTGAGGATGCATTGGAGACTGTTCCCGAACATGAGTGACATTGGTGGAATGATTTCATCTTTCTTTAATGGTATGCCTTTTATTAGTTATCAAGTTTCACATAATCTAGAAAGCTTAAGGCATACAGATGGACATTTTGTGGGTTGCTAAGGGGTTCATTCCATAAGTTCTCAAGAGTGGAGGTATGCTTATTTTAGGAGGCAATCATTGTGGACAAAAATAATGAATTTTGTAATGATTTATCATTGCAGTGTTTTTTATTCTTTATTTTTTTCATTTCTATTCTTCTTGTTATTCTGAATCAGAGAGATACCCTATTTGGTGTAGATAAGTAATAAAATTATTTCAGTGTTATATGTAGGTCTCAGGTTTTTAACCCTTAACTCCCAGACCAAGTTTGTAATTCTCCTTACTGTCAACCATTCAATTCTTATAATGTTAGTGCAGAGAATTTAGTAGTGGATCAACTAATTATCCCTTGACTGATATTTTTCTCTATTCTCTTTACTTCTCTGGTTGATATTGTATTGATACTGTAAGGAGAAATTCTGTCTTGGTCACTCATGGGAGTTAAAGGGTTTAGTGCCTTTCCCTATTCATGAAGCAGGTACAATGTTTGAAATGCCTTGGGTTGTGTAGGGCCAGGGAAGTATTATACTTGATTCATTTGGACAAAATGTTTTTACATGCAACATGTTTTGATACTGACACCTTATTTAATTGTTTAACATGTAGTAAGCATGGTTATTTTGTAAGTTACATTGTATTTTACCAAGCCATGTAGGGGTAAGAAGAAAGTGAGCGATAAGCTAAATGTGTGTTTGTATTACCATATGTCAAACCATCAATTAAAGAATAGGTTATTCCTCTATTATTTGATTTATAATAATTTATCTTGAAGTTTTTAAAACTGCTTCCAATAGCCTTGTCCAAGCATCATATTGATTACATAAGGCCTGCACAAAAGATGAAAACAATGCAAACAAATCCATTAAAATTTCCTGTGTGACCAACAAAAAATCTTATGGGCTTAACAGTTTGTTTCTTTGAAAATCATGCAGTGATCAAAAAAATCAGTCAAAGTATTGGTGTAATAATAATTAATGATTAGTAATATCTGATTTTCTATGTACCCACATATACATGTAGACTGGTATATTTTGGAGTTATAACAATATGAGTTTATAGTCATTCAAATATTCATTGAGGTAATTTATTTTAATGCTGTTAGGATATTAGTTTAGTTAAGCAACCACATATGTGTTGCAGATTATTGAAAACATATCATTATGGTAAATGTTTTTAATCCAAGTACTTGATATTTAACATACATTTGTAAGAGTATATTAGTTGACATGAAGCTGGTAGTTATTCAAATGTTCAATTTCAAATTTAGGGCTAGCTCCTGTTGATCAGGGTGAAATTTATTTAGATAAAATAAAATGTATTTAATTTCACTGAGAAACATTCAGTGTCTAGCTTTTGTCAATAGCATTTTCATAAGGTAGCTCTGACTTATGACCATGTGTACAGTGGATCTGAAGTGAGAAGCTGTTTCATTTTAGTTGCTGCAATATTATCCTTTTAAACTTAATTGGAGGTGGGGTTGCAAATGCAGGATATTGGTCTCGTTTCACACACATTTGAGAAAAATTCAAGCGTCATATATATTTTAAACAGCATTTCATGTGTCACAGGGGAACATTCAAATTTCTCATCTCATGCACAAACAAAGTAAAGCCTTTATACAGGCCCAGGTGGCCCATGGGGCTGGCACTTAGCTCCAGTTTCCTTAGCATGAAGTGGCCAGGAGTATTGCTATTCCCCCCTGGATGGGATGCTAGTCTGTCACAGGGTTACCCCCAGCATATTTGCTGGTACCCATCTGTACACCTGGGTGAAGAGAAGCACTGTGAGAGTAAAGTGTCTTGCCTAAGAACACAACACAATGACCCCAGCTAGGGCTCGAACCCAGACCACTCAATCTGGAGTCAAGGGCACTAACTGTGAGGCCACTGCAAAACCTTACATCTCATGCAAGGTTTCAGGGAAATCATGAGGTTTTCACAAAATGAAAGTAAAAATCATGGGTCACATATACTTCAGGAGGCAAATCACACTTCATGCTGATTCATAAATTCAGTACAAATAAATCCTTTACCACCTTGAAAAGGAACAATAGTGGTGTATGCTAAACACAGATTGGAAAGTAAAACTTGCAGAACTATAATATGTGCCCTACCTTTTTTTTTTAAGTTCTAGAATGTTTTTTTTTTTTCAATTCATTGTCAGTTCAATTTTGCTGCGTGACTTAATTTACAGAAGTGATTCCAGGGAAGACATGGCATCTCTCTACTCCCTTTCAAAGAAAAACCTATCCTCTGTTTTAAACACTTTAAAACTGCTGTTTTTTGTAGATTGTTGGTGTAGGGTGGTGTACAATTTTGCACGTTTTGCATCATTTTATTGTAATTGGGAATAATTCAATCAAAGCATGGAACAAAATGATTATTTATTCAGTATATATCTGTAACTGTGAAACGAGATGACATATGTTCTTATCTTATCGTATTTGAAATACTAAATAAATGATTCTTTAGTTACTTATGAGTTGTGAATCTTGTTAGAGTTTCTGAAAGCCTGATATATATATACCTGAAGCTTGTGGTTTTTTTTACCAGTTCAGCTCCATTAATTAAACCACTGGGTTGTATACTTCCCCACCATTTGCTATCTTTCAAGGGACCTTCGGTGTTTTTGACTTGTGAGGTGGTTTGTTTTGTCTCGTTTAGCTGTGTCGACAATCTAAAATCGTATCTCCATTATCTTCATCATTTAGAATATTTGATCTTCTTCTCGTCATTGGAATGTTGCTTGCGGTCCGAAGCTGTCAAACAAATAAAACTTTGACGCAGTATGCACAAAAAGCACTTTTTTCGAGCTCAAAATACAGATGTGGCAACCACAGAGTACATAAACTGTTTAAAATTCCTTTCACGTATGTGTCCACTCGGTTTATAAGACCCCAACCTGATAAACCCAGGTGTGACGTTACAAAAACCAAGCTACTTCCATGGATAGCGAATTTTTTCAATGTTCCTCTTACGTTTAACCTCGGAGCTTCAGAGGACAGAGGTTTAAGGGGTTTTAGGGTAAAGTACAGGTAAATGCAAGTCACCGATCGCATTCGTTTGGTATTCACCCAGCTTTCAAAAATTTAGATCATTCTTTCATGAGGCATTGGCGCCCCTCGTTAAAATTTACCCCCACGCAGTGCAATTGAAAGGGGGAAATAACATAGATGTGTTTAAATTGGGAAAGCAAATTTTGTAAATTTGTACAAAACGCCTAGGGAAAACAAACTCCAATTATAATAAATCATGAAGGAGGAGAGGACAACAATAATAAATAAAATTATCGCTTTTGTTGGTCATTTCTTTCTTTTCATTTGGTGGCTTCTAAAGAAGCCGTTTTTGTTTTTGTTTTTTTTTTGTTCCTTTACTTCTTAGCTTTTGCTTTGGTCTTCTTCGCTGTCTTCTTTTTAGGTGTAACTCGCTTTTTAGGGCTCTTTGTCTTTTTCTTTGCAGCAGTCTTTGCTGCAGATTTCTTTGCTGCGGTTTTCTTCTTGGCTGGAGACTTTCCCTTCTTAGCTGGAGTCTTCTTTTTCTTTGTGGCTTTCTTAGCGGTTTTCTTTTTCGTTGTTCGCTTCTTAGGCGTGCCAGCCTTCTTTTTGGACTTTTTAGCGACTACCCTCTTTGCTGGTTTCTTCTTTGGCGCAGCAGGTGCTTTTCCAACTTTGAAGGATCCCGATGCACCAGTTCCTTTAGTGTGTATCAGCTTGCCGGTCTGCACGCCGCGCTTCAAAGCTACCTTCAAATGCGAAGATGGATCTCCGGTGATTCTGTTATTTGCTTTGATGTATTTCTCAATGGCCTGCCTCGAAGAACCACCTCGCTCCTTCATCGCAGTTATGGCAGTGACGACCATGTCAATGTACGGTGGATGCGCTGCAGCAGGACGACGAGCTGGTCTCTTTGCCCTTGGATTTTTCGCCTTCTTCATTTTGCCGCCGGGACTTTTCGACCTTGATCTCGAGCGGGATCTTGAGCGTGACCTCGATCTCGATCTGGATCGCGAACGGGATCTTGGTAAAACAACAGACATTTTGATTACTAATGAGGCGGGTGTAAAAAAAGTTGCTCGGAAAGATTTCACGATGCAAGTAGCGTAATTTCATACTCGCGCCAATTTTATTTTAAAAGACCTGACGCCTGAGGGAACAGTCCTCTGTCACGAACCAGATTGAATATCAGAGGCCGACATTTTGGAATTTGTGTTTCTTCCTGAAAGTTTTTAACCGCTTGCTGTTATGCAGAGCTTCGCAAGCAAATGGTAAGTCGGGAAAAATTTAACTATGAGAACTATCTTTTCGTACGTGGTTCCAAAGTTGTCTCCTCTAAATGTATACCTGGGTATTTTTAATATCTTTCTCATCAAGCGAGGTGTCACAAATTAATGTAAATGGTATTTAATGCAAATCATTTAACGACCTCGGTCAGGATACCCTTAAAAACACTATGGGATCAAAAACTGATGATTAGGAAACAAGTTAAGCCAAAAATTAACGACGATAATTTAATTCCAAGTTTCTGTTGGCTGCTGCGAATGCGTGAAACAAAGACAGATTGCACAGTCGCCATTTTGCAATGTCCAGAGGCGCCAGACTTATAGTGAAGAAATGAGGCTCCTTGTCACTTTTCCCCACCTAGATTTTAATGAATTCATGTTTCTATGCTAGTAGCAAAAAACTAAACTGTTTTTGGTGAGATTCTTTCATAATTCAAAGAGTATTTCAGAAAGTGAACTCAGTGAATCCTCTCTGTGTTTTGGTTATAGCCATGCCCAAAGCCCAAGTAAGGAAACAGATTTCCTATAAAATCTCATTCAATTGTGTGTGCCTGATTTGCAAACGGAACTTTGTAAAGAAATGCTTACAAATTTTCTCCTGAGAGAGGGTTCTTAACTCATCGAAAAGAAGTTTTAGCTATACTTTAATGCTGTAAGCTTCGGATTTTGATTCTCATCAGAGTCTTTACTCTCAGTGAATTCCGTTTTCACGGTTGACGCCTGGGTTCCTCATTAGAGGCGCTTTTTCTGATAGTTAAAAGCTTTCCTGTAGTTTAATAAACAAGGTTTGCCAAAACACAGCTCTTGCAAAATGTAGCAGACGACAGTCTTAGTTATCTAAGGGGTTTCAAACTTTATTGATTTATTTAGTCCTTCAGTGTGTCAAGTCAGTACCACCATTTTGGGTGACAAGAGCATGCTTCATCTTGGACCTGTAGCACTTTGTGCCACTTCGCTCTATATTGAAATCACAGAATACATTCTAAAAAGGTTTAATTTATACTATTAATCTTATAAAAACATTTCAGGGCTTCGTCAGAATGGTTGGAGACACTTTTAGTGTTATAAAGAGTATAATCAACCGGTAGTTTTACATACGGCCGTGTAACTTAGACTCACTTTAAACGCGTAGTGATCGATAAAACTCAACCAAGTATTTATTTATCTAAGAACACCCATATCAATAATATCAAACAATAGACAACCTACTGACCGATTGTATATGGTGCCGTTTATAGCAGCTTGATTTTCTTCAAATTGACTATGAAGGTTTTCAGCAATAGCAAACACTGTTTGTATAAATTTGGCGAGAGTAAAAAGTTGATAACAACACTTTGGAACTTCTTCTGTGACGGTCTCATTGATATTGTATCTTACCTTCCTTTCTTTATTATTGGCTTGTTTTGTAATTTATTTTTTTTATATGTGACATCAAGGGAAGATATCCTCTCTCAGGATTTCATCCAATCGCTTTGAAGTTTCAGACTTTTCCGAGATGAAAATTGGAATTTTTTCCTATTTACAAAAGCACAAAAAAATCGTGAGGGAACAGGCGTTTAGGTGGTGCACAGCTGTCTTGACGTTAAAATATATTTCAATCCAGGTATTCCGTTCTCAGAATATTTTCTTTCTGAGCACGTACGCATGTTTTTCTTTCATTTTCCTAAACTGATAGGCTGATGAGGTGCCGTGATAAAGAATGAAACTGAGTTAGTGATGGACAAACACGCAAGACAGTTGTTTTGTCAGAGTGCATTGATGCTGTAAAGGCATCTTTTTTTTTATCTTTTTCTATCGGATTAGGGTCCAACATCGACTGATATATGTTGGAATCTAACGAAATAATTTAGAAAATCAAACGGGAAGCTGTTCTACTGGAAAAAAAATAAAAAGAAAGATGACTAGATCGGGTTCAGGAATTTTCCCATAGGAGTTCCACATACTTTCGGTTTTCACTTCCGCGAAAACATTCTAGGAACTTGAAAGCAAAACATGGACAAAAGGAAACTGCTTCATCCGGTCAGCCAAGCAAGGATCCGTTACTTTAAAGCAGATTCTGAAATATTTCTTCAATATCATTTTAGTAATTTCCCCGCGGAGTTCACTTCTTTATTCTTGAACAGCACCTAGTTTGCCTTACACGATGTGACTTCTTATATAAATACCACTTTTCACAGCGCTGTTTTTATTGCTGACCACTTGTACTGAAGGCTTCGAACAGACTCAACTTGAAGAGTATTATTGTCTGTTTCGCGTTTTTCGTCACCCAGGCCGCTTTCAGATGAATTACTTTTGCTCCTGGGGCTTGTGATTCTGCAGGGGAAAGGTAGATTAATGGTTAGATCTGCAAAAATACACATCTGTCGTGCAATGCGGAATTTTGCGGTAAAGAGGAAATAGATTCTAAGCATCATTCTTCTGGAAACGAAGCAACGTGCCGCTAGCCGTCATGTCCAAACCTCCTAACAAAAAGTTGAACAAACTGAATTTGACTATAGCCCCATCCACTACAGTCCCTGATCCAGTATTACCGTAAGTATATGCTCGATTTTTATCATTTTGTTCTCGTTCCGAGGTCAAATTCCTCCACCCCTGTCTTTTTGTTCATTTGTACATGTCGTGTACGAAATGAGGTTTGTGCTTTCGTCCTTTTCTGCTCTGCAGTAACGATGCTGCCGGCATCGGCTCGCAAAAAGTGGAGGAGATACGAAAGAAATTCGACGAACTGAACTTGGATTCCTTACAGCGCGAGAGGCTGGAGGCGTTTCTAGCTGAAAAGAGGAAAATTGGAGAATTGAACGCAGAGGATTTTGAGAAATTGGCTGAATTAGGCGCAGGAAATGGTGGCGTCGTTACAAAGGTTTTGCACAAGCCGAGCGGTCTGATAATGGCTCGAAAGGTAAGCGAGTGATCAAGAGTATTTGGAACCCAATTTAATTCCCAGCCGTGTCTATTTTCAATTTAACCCGTTTGCTTTGCAAATCGTTTTCCACATATCGGTCAGGAATACATTCTCTTGTCATTCCAAGCGGTTTCTGCTCTCTGTCGCACCTATTTCTGAGGAGTCTATGACCTTCAGGAATTTCTGTGCTATTTTTGACCATTTTTCTAAGTAACTCGTGTTTCTTTTCATGTGCAGCTAATTCACTTGGAAATCAAACCAGCTATAAGGAACCAGATCATCAGAGAACTCAAGGTTTTACACGATTGCAACTCCCCCTACATCGTTGGATTTTATGGGGCCTTTTACAGTGATGGAGAAATCTCTATTTGTATGGAACACATGGTACGTTAAAAGATTCGTGCATTCGCGAATGTAATGATCATTGTTGTTTATTGTGTACTTCCCCATTGGAAAACATTGAGAATCTACGCTTGAACTAGCAACATATTCGTCGATTCGAAATTATGTAAAAGCCGAAATACTTTCTCGGAATGGGAACTGATGTATTAATAATTCACCGGTCGTTTGGCCCACGTAGAACGCGAGCAGTATTAGCAACAGCTCGCGGATTTTCACCTAGCGGTACAAAATGGGCTGGATGTTGAGCGCTCGTCTGTACCATTTATGAATAGGTCGAGTTTTCAAAGTCAAAGTAAAGAAAGCGTGGCTCGATGCGTTCATTAGGAGCTTCTTACGTTGATAAGTTTACTTTTCGTCTCGAGGTCTGTCAGTTGAGGATAACAGGCACTCTAAACCATAGTTGATGGCGGCTTTTCGATCGATCTTATATTTATGCTTTGCGCTGTTCTGCAAAATGCAAATAGGATCAGTTCAGTTATCGCCTGGGCCACTCAGAAAGCAAATTAAAGCGTTTTTTTATCTTTTATATTTTTGGAGATAAATCGCTACTTCTGCAGCATTTAATTATCCCTTAAAGTAGCTGAATTCAATTTAATTTGGAACATCAAGAATTTCCCTTGCAGGAACATGACCCTGCAAACATGGTTATTTCTTTATTGATTAAATTATTCGGTTTGGTTTGGCTTTCGCAAACCAAATTCTTTCCAGGACTGGAATTATTTTAGTGCGCGTAACAGTATCTTGTTTTCACTCTAATATTGTTTATTATCATTGTGATCAAGCACTGCACAGTTGTGTTTTCTGGGCAGGATTGGTTTGCATTTTAGCTCTCCAACTCTCTCACCTGCAAACGGACTGATTTGCATATTTAAATACTGTTTTGTCTTCTTCTCTAAATTACACACTTCAGGCTTAAATTTTTCTGATTAGTAAATTGCACAGTTGAAAATTACCTTGTGCTAATGTCAAGTGCGTGTCATAATTCTGAGGATTTAGGCAGAGGATCTGATCCCTTTTAAATTTTTTTGTTGTTTGTGTTTCTCATGATGCCCAGATTGGGTGGCTATTAGTTGGGTAACATTTGAAAAAAAGTGGATCTCATCTTAGCAAACACATATTTGTGGTTGTTTGTTTATTGGTGTCACGTTGTGGACTATCCTCTGAAAACAAGATACAGCTGGTAACCACTGAGTTAAGAATTTTTTTTTTGTGGGAACAAAAAACCTTTGTACCTTATTACTGGACAACAAAATAATTTTTTTCAAGAAAAACCAAGGTTAAGCTGCTTTTAGACAGACCAAATGAAAAGGTGTATTAGTATGGTCTAACCATGACATATTATTCAGACAAGCCTTTGTTTGGTACAATCATGTCTTTGCTTTAGTGGAGGTGTGGGTTCATCAATTTTCAATTGATCTTTTCCAGTCAAGAACAAGAAAATCTAACTTTCAGTGTAGACTGCAAGTTGCCCTTTCCATTCTTATGGAGTGTATTGAAAAGATGGAAGGCATTTCTTAACTGCCTAGGAAATTATTGTATAGATAAGCTCACTTTTTCAGTTTGTATCTGTAGCATACTTCAGCTTTGAAAAATATCCCAGCTTGAGTTCAAGGTCAACATAACTTATCAGCAGTTAAAGAGTAAAGGGAAGATGCCCATATGGTTGGTTTGAGGTATAACCAGAAGGCAGAAGGTGACCTACTTTGCCCAGCAGTCAGTTAACATTTTGGCATATAAGAGTGTCTGGCATGTAATTTCTCATTAAAGAGTCTATTCATTTTAACCCTTTTTGATTCCCAGAAGTGACCAAGGCCTACTTTCTCTTTACAATATCAATACAATGTCTAGCCATCAAAGTGTGAGAATTTAGAGAAATATCAATTAGGGGATTATCATTTGATCTAAACCTAAATTTTCAGAAACTAAAATTATAAGCAATGTACACTAGTCAGTGTGGAAAATTAAGAAAGAAATCTGGGTGGTAAAAGGTTTAAAGCTGAAAGGCAATGAGTGGAAAACATATTAACTAGCAGTATTATTTGATTTAATATCAAATTCTTGGAGCAAAAATTTTAAGAAAGGTATGGTAGTTAGAGCCAAGAACTAATATTTATCTCTTGGAAGTGAAAGTTTTAATGAGGTGAAATAATTATCTTATTGATCTTGTATTCAGGATGGTGGTTCCCTGGATCAAATATTGAAAAAGGCTGATCTAGTACCTGAGGATATTTTGGGAGTTATCACAATTGCTGTAAGAACTAGCTGATATATTATATATAGCAGATAGTAGAGCAATTGACCATTTGTAGTCCAGGATTAATGTACGTAGTATTACCTCTAGGATAAGCAAAAACTTGAATTTTGAGAAAGGGGAAGTTTATGGTCAAAACTGTGCTGCAGCCATCAAGCTGAAAAAGAAAAAAAAAATGTAAAATCCAGCTTTATGTATGGGGCTGGATTGAAATTTCAGGTTATCTTGGACTGTGCAGAAAGAGCAGGGAAAGCCACATGCACAAAAGGGAATCCTTTTTTCTGTGGAATGTTAGACATGTTTCTCTCTATGTATTGTATTTGTCTGGCTATTAATTTCTGTTCAAACAAGACTTTGCATACGCAGGGCTCCAAGATTAATTTCTGGGTTGTGAAATATGTTTCTTACCCAGGTGTCAGTTGTATAAAAATTGTTCTCTTACAGGTTTTAAAAGGCTTAAGCTACCTTAGAGAAAACCACAGTATTATACACAGAGGTAGGTATTATAACCATGGTAAATTGTTATTGGTGCAAAATTGCATGTTCCATCCAGAAGGCAACATCCTCTTACTAATGAGTGCTGTAGTTTACATCTATTTAATAATATAATTATATAAGATAGGCAGATAATTAACATTTGATTGATTTTGTTACTACTTAATTAAGAGTGCAATGGATTTATTACCATACTGCAAGTTTTTTTCAGTGATGAGGTTGAATGATTATGCTTTACTACTTTTGAGCAGGATTGTTTGATGCTTCTACTACATTCAGTCAAACCTGTATTAAGCAGCACCATATTAAGCAATCACCCTGTATTAAGCTGTTGGTAGTTTAAGTCCCAAAATCTTTTCCCATGAATTGCTGTAATTTTCACCTCAAGCCTGAAATACAGACAGGCCCAACAGCCTGTTTGAACAGTCATTTAAAGTGGAACCACACAAATGAAACTCAGAGTAATCTTTCAAGTCATCTCATTCATTCTGTGTTTATCTTCCAAAATCAATGTTAGCACCTTGAGTTAAAATGTCCAAAGGGTATTGAAAATTATCTTCTTTGGATTCTTAGGAAAAATATTATGTACGAACATCATGCGAGTTATTTGCTTGTCAACCTTTATTAAATAGTCACCCCAATGGGCAGCCATTCAACTCGTTTCTTGACAAAGATGTGAATCAAAGCAGTTGAAATATTGCATGCCTTCCATGATAGCTTTCCCTTCATTATTGATAGTGACCCAAAGTTGTGAGACAATCGATTAAATAAATTTAGTTATCATTTTTACAACTAGATAGTTTCACATACTTGTGAGCTCTCTCCGTCCACATCTTAATCTCCTACTAACTGTAACGTTTAGGGGTGTCAGTGAGTCATGAAGTAGAGGGCAAAAACCGTAAAGTAGATGGCAAATTTCATAATTACCAGCTCTTATTGAAACTTCTGAACATGTGTGATTGCTGCCTCTAAAAGCTGAAATTATTGGAATGTATGAAGCCCAATTTTTCACATTATTTACCTAATGTGATTTACCTATCATAGTGGAACCATATTCTTGCCTCCTAACAAATTTAGGCATGTTCGTCAAATTCAATAGTGTAATCTGGTAAATTTGTGGAATACTCCAACTTCATAAACTTGTTCAAAGTAGTGTGATCATCACAACAAGTGTTCCTTTTTGTTAATCAGATGTGAAGCCCTCAAATATTTTAGTAAACTCCCGTGGTGAAATCAAGCTCTGTGACTTTGGAGTTAGTGGACAGTTAATTGACTCAATGGCAAATTCTTTTGTTGGCACACGATCTTACATGTCGGTAAGGAGAATATGTTGATAAGTGAATGGTAGTTTTGGTATTATGTACTAAAAGAAATTACATGTTTCTAACCTTTATACCTCCTTGGAATGACCAATGAGTAATTTCTCCTTACCATATCAATAGCATTTCAACCAAAGAGGTGACAATGAGAGAGAAAATATCATCTGGGGGATATTGTTTGATTCAAGACCAAATTCTCATAGCTAGAATTATGATAAGTGTATAGCACACTGTTAGGTGAATTGACAGTGAGATTTTGGGAGTGAAAGGGTTAAAATGTAACAGTTAAAATCCAACATGGAAGCTAAGAAAACAAGAAAACAATCCATAGACAAGTTAAACTGAGGTGGAAAATGCATGATAAGGAAGGCTTAAAGATGTTTCTGATACTTGAAAGGAGATACATGGTACATGTATGTCATTCATAGTTTGAGTAAGTTCTGTAACCTAGAAAATTTCCTTTTAATCAAATAAACCTTAGAGATTATTTTGTCCAAGTGCATGAACTCTGAAAAGTAAGAATAAGCCATGAAAAGAGAACTTAAGATACAGAAGATTCACCTTATTTGCAATTAATCTTTGACATTTTTAATTCTCAGCCTGAAAGACTTCAAGGAGCTAACTACACAGTTCAATCTGACATTTGGAGTTTTGGATTATCATTGATTGAGATGGCAATTGGAAGGTATCCAATTCCACCACCTGAAGAAAACCAAAAAAGCACAAGTCCATCACATCTAAAGAGAATACCTCCAGGAACAAGGCCACCCAGTGGTGTGAGCAATGATGCAAGGCCAATGGCGATATTTGAATTACTGGACTATATTGTGAATGAGGTGATGCCAAAAGTCTTAACAGTAAACTGATGAAAGTCGTGTGAATCAATTTTTAAGGAATTTATCTTGCGAGTTAGTTAGAGGATGTGCATAAAATTTGTGTAAACAGAGTAAGCAAGTTGAATTGCTTTTCTTCCCTCCATTGTTCTGACTAACCAAATGTTTGAGTAACATATTGGTTGATCAGTTTGATCTCCTAATAATATCTTTGGAGAAGCGTGCATTTCTGTGTTGATGTAAAGTTTGCAGCAAGTTCAGGATTGCTGCATTGTGTAATCATCTCCTTTACTGCTGGGAAAATCTTTGTAGAAACTATGGTATATTATTGAAGAATGGTATATTATTGTCACTGAAGTTATACATTTTTGTTCTTTATTGGATAGCCTCCTCCCCAGCTACCACCAGAGCAATTTTCAGAAGAGTTTTGTGAGTTTGTCAACAAATGGTAGGCAATGTTTCCCACACTCTTCCATATGATAGTTATGAATGATAGTTATTGTCAAACTTGGACATAAATGTTAAGGGGAGTAAGTTGTGGTATATCCAGATGCACTGGAGATCAGGACATTCTAGAAAACAGCTAAATCTCACAGTAATCTATTTCAATCTGTTTCAGTCTTGTTAAGAATCCTTCAGAAAGAGCTAACCTCAAAGTGTTAATGGTAAGTTCTGTATGCTATGGAAAACATTTATTTTAAAATAAACTTGGAACTTTTCTTAGGAATTTTACAATAGCATCATGATTTTACCTTTTGAAATGGCAGCAAACCTCACCTTCAGTATGGCATGTAAAGGCAGCATTGAGTTCCAAACAGAAAAGTGAATAATTCATGGCCTGTATGAGGGGTAACAGGTGATGGGTGAGCATCCTATCCAGAGATTGGGCTTATAAGGCAGATTTGTGGTTACACAATTTTACTGTAGAACATTTTGCCAAAGAAGGGAACAACCTAGAAACATAAACTTCCCCCTCTACATTTGAAACTCTGCTGGGTCTTTCATCTAACCAGTTACTTTGCCCAAATATGAAACTGAAGGACTTAACCCTTTATGCCCCAAAATCAGTATACACTTTCTCCATGGTGCTCTCTGTACATTTCCTATAGTACTGAGAAAATTTATTTAACAATCAAGAACCTCTCAAGTTGGTTATTATTTCTTTTATCATCATGACCTTACTGTTTGCCTCAAGAGTGATACAGTGGAGTGAAACTGGATGCTAGTCACTCTTAGAGATTAAAGGGTTAAGGCTACTTTATTTTTAAAAAGGTGGAAAACCAAAAGTGTCACTAATAGCCCCATCCAGAAATTTATGTGTTATACTTTTTACCAGTACTGTTTATGAATTAAGCTGTAAGTTGGACAAAGGTTGCTTTCTTTTTTACTCTGGTGCTGGTGAGATATTTGGTGGTTGAGTGATGTGTTATTTTGTTCATGTTGAGTGGAGTCTACATTGGTTTTAAAATGGGACTGATTTCCAGAATAAAAGAGGGTTGCCTCAAAGCAAAATCATCTAGTTGAAAAAGCCTTAAAGACCACTGCTCTTTTACTCTGTCTTATTCTTCCAGGATCATGTCTTCATCAAGATATCTGAGTCAAAAAAGGTGGATTTTGCTGGCTGGGTTTGTTCAGTTGCTGGTCTATAGCAAGTGACTGGTTGCAATGCTTACTGATGAAAATGAAATGAATTGGAGTATTGGCACAGAACAAGCTTAGTACTCTTATTTAACTTGCATCAAGAAAATGACGGAATACATGAAAAGGTCTTATATGCATTGGAATCTATTAATTGTGGTGTGTATTGGATTCAGAGCAGCGAAAAACTGCCTTGGTTTGGGAGGGAATGTAAACAAGTTGCAGCCTCTTGGAGATGCAAACAATTATCAGAGTTCTTCAGGTATAGAGATTTCCACTACCCTGTAACTGGACGCCTTTGCATTGCAACAGTGCTGTTTACCAGGGAGTGCTGAGGAACTAAATGAAGATCTCAAAATCCTAGATAAGGCAATGATAGGATGGGACCAAGAGGGGTGGAGTTGGGCTAGGTGTTACATGTCCCCAGTCACCCCATCCTATCAGTCATAACTCTAGTTGCATGAAAAATAAGTGGATTTCTTTCTAATAATGTGATTATTGTATATTATTAGCTTTTTGGTGTATGCTGTAATTTCTTACTTTAGTTTTATTGAGGTACTATTCAAGGGTCACATTTAAATTGTTAAAAAAAAAGGATGTAAAATCCTAATTGTAACCTCCTCCCTTAAGAGGTATTCCTTGATAGGCGTTCTCATTTGTAAGTACACCTACGTTCTTACCCCCTTAGTCTACATGCTCCCTCAATTAGATCACATTTGCACAATAGTTAGAACAAGTCGAGAATGGAGCAAGATTTTTCATCAAATTCTTCTCACCCAGTTCTCCAAAATGTGCAGAGCTGTGATTAACTATGTGAAGAACTGAGAAGGAATTCTCAATTTTTTTTTCCTATTTTCTTTCTATTTTTTTTTTTTTTTTTTAATTACAGATTTCTTTAATTTGGCCAGATTGAAAAGGTTGATTGATTTTTCCCTCACTCAAGTCTTAGAGTGGAAAAATTACTCCCTAGAAGTGAGCTTACTTTAAAGGCGCTGAAATATTGTATAAGCTCGGAGATAATTAAAAAGGATGTTACAAGAATGACTGTCGTAGGAATCAGATATGACAGTTGCTGTACTAAATCATAAATTACTTTTTTTTTTGCATCGTCGTGGAGGACATAATAGTCGTCACATAATAGGGAGACTTCTCAGAAACATAGCTATTGGTACAAATGCATGCACATGCAGAGTTCCAATCTACACCTGACTCTTTTCAAAGAGGTTGGGAAGAAGTGCTCGAGTCCCACGTTCTTGAGAGAACAGGGGCCTGTTTCTGGAGAGAGGAAGTCTCTTTATGACCCCGAAAAAGCAGTTCTTTTATTTCTGTCTTTCGTTCAATTTGACAGTTTTGAAAAGCAAACGGGAAATTTCTGGATAGGAAACAAAATGAAATGTTTAAATCTTTTTTAGCTAAAGCCTTGACTGTTTTCCTTACATTTGAATTGCAAGATATTACTTTGGGTCTGTATAATTACCTTTCCACGTGACGCCAACATTCTGTGATGGAGCACTTTAATGAGAGCATTTGGTGGTTTAGTCAACTGTAGATACATTGAGTTTGCATGCTTCGGTAAATATGAGATACAAATGTAACTCCCTGTAAACGAGGAGACATTATAACTATTGAAATTTCTTAAATTTTTGTTTATTCTGACGTCTTTATATTGCATTTGTTGGACTTTTTTATTGCTTATTCTGAACCTAATCAATTTAATTTTACATTGTCACAATTTCGAATGTCTAAACTTACCAATTTGCGACCTTGCCCCAAAATATAGCCAAGATCATGGGCAATGATGTCTGTGATTTAGGTTATCATTTTATGTTGTTCATTATTAGTTCTCAAGTTCAAAACTGCAGAAGATATTCTTTAGAGAGCCAAACTTCAGGGGACAATCAATGATGTTTTTTCTACAGAAATGAAAACTCGAGGACAGTGTGGAGTTATTTCTCGTTTAACTTTGGGCAAACCTTTACGTTCTGTTACCTTCGACTGATCTTTCTTTTTAATGATGCGAAGGTTCAAAACTTGTTACCCCTTTCAAAATTTTCACAAATGTTTAAAGTATGATATTTTTTTGCTAGGAGTGAATTTTGGTTCATAACAACGACACAGGAATGGCTTTCAGCCATTATACTAAAAGTAGGCCGACTGTCGACTGAGATGAAGCAAAAAACAAATTCAGTGGATGAGGTCCATTGAAGAGGACTGGTTGCTTGGTTGAAAAGCAAGTGAATTGTACACTGTCTGTATTGCCTCTAAATGCCCTTTGATTCCTGGGCTGAAGCATTGGCTGCTCAATGCTGCGACAATTTGTGATTGCATATTATTTGAAACATGTAAACTTTCAGCGTTTGGTGAGATAAATTTTTTAGTACGAATGATCAGTTGAACTGGTTAGAAATATAGGGAGGGAGGGGCTCAGGGAGAGGCTCATCCTACACCAGACCAATCGCATACCCCTCTTTGTAGTCCCCTGCGTAGTTCATTGGTACAAACAAACCTGTTTTCAATCTCAACAAAGCAAAGCAAATTGGATGTTACGTCATTTTTGGCTGACCTCGGAATGCAATCAATGTACTGTCGTATGGAGTAAATGGGAAGAAAAGTAAACACTATGCACTATCGTTTTAACCAAATATTCCAATTTCATAACTATGAGTGCAAACTGTTGAGGGGTAACCGGTTTTAGTTTGGAAAAACCCTAGGGATCAAGGTTTCTATGCACTATTAGTAAACTATCTGCCGCAAGATTACAGAAAAACGTCACATGCATCATTACAGACCAATTTATATCAATGTTTGGAAGAGTAAGCGTTCTTTTGGGTAAAAAGGCATTCTGAGAGTTTGCGACACTATCGCCAGATGGCCAGTGGAAGTAATCAAGACCCTTTTCGAAATTTGGCTGACCTCGGAATGCAATCAATGTACTGCCGTATGGAGTAAAAGAGAAGAAAATTCAACACTATGCAATATCGTTTTAGCCAAATATTTGGTGTTCTTGACTAAGAATGCAAACTTTAAAGGGGTAACCGGTTTTAGTTTGAAATTACAAGCGTCCAGTAATAACTGAATAGGGAAGAAAAAGAGTTCAGACTCTCGATTTCCATCCATTTTCTTCTCTAATCATCTTGGTTCCACATATCCCGATGTAATCACTCTATTTATTGAAGTATTTCATCAGGTGTAATTGCGGTGGAAGCAATTAAAATAACTGAATCACGGGCCTTCTTTTGATACTTCAGCAACTCAGAGGGATCAAGGTTTCCATGCACTATTAGTAAACTGTCTGCCGCAAAATAACGGAAAAGCGTCACATGCATCATTATAGACCTATATATATCAATGTTTGAAAGAGTCGGCGTTCTTTTGGGTAAAAAGGCATTCTGAGAGTTTGTGACACTAAGGCCAGGTGGCCCGTGGAAGTAATCAAGACCCTTTTCGAAATCGTGGGAAAATACACTAAAAATACGACGAAAGACTCGATACGACCTTGAATGAAATTTAACTATAGTTTTGGACCGTAAGCATGATGGAAGACGCCTCGGTTCATTTTTAGGTTCAGGAGACCATTTAAAGGCGAGTTGGGGGATGAGTTGACCGGAGAGGAAAAAACAATTTGGAGTTATCGCCTATTTAACCCCAGCATTAATAAAGTTAAGAGATTTAAACGGTCTGATGGTTCCATCAATCAGAACCGGGTTCTTCGGACTGTGATGTATTTACAAGAAGTCTTCGTCGTATTTTCAACCTCAGTCAGCGCTACATAACCGGGTTCAGTGAAAACAAGGTAAGAAAAGAACATTTAAGGTTTAACTGTAAAAGTTACATTACTCTGAGGTTTCAGACAGGTTTTACCGGGTCCGTTTGGAATTTAAAAGATCAGTGCACTTACGTTCGACTCGGCTAATTTCGTTCACAATCATAATTTGTAATTGCTTGACTACTCTATGGGATTGACGATAGAAATTTATTCAAGAGACGTTTCAGTGAGCCAACCAAGCACATTCCTATCGATTGTAGAGGAATTTCAAAGTTATGAGACATGGCAATATTTGTTGACGCACCAAGGTCTGTAATTTCCGCTTTCACTCAGAATGCGCGGAAATTGCACTTAAATGTTACATACCCGTACAGGGTGAGGTCTTTGGACGATTTCTGTGTCACTATGTAGCTGCTTTTCATTTAAAACGAGGCAAATATCTGGCAGTTTGAGGAATGATCATTTAAGTGCAAGTAACATTTCGAAACATGCCGTGTTGTCGTGTTCGGACCTGTCCAAACTTCGTGAATAGTTAACATTCAATTTGGTCAACGGTCACTTCGTGAATTACCATTAAATTTCATTTCCGCTTGCTTTAAGAACTTTTAAGGTATTCCAAAAGATCCTCTGTCGATTACTTATGGAGTCATTCTTGCTCAGGTTCAACTAATGTAGTTCTAAGATTCCAAGTTATGAGACATGGCAATATTTGTTGACGCACCAAGGTCTGTAATTTCCGCTTTCACTCAGAATGCGTGGAAATTGCACTTAAATGTTTAATACCCGTACAGGGTGAGGTCTTTGGACGATTTCTGTGTCACTATGTAGCTGCTTTTCATTTAAAACGAGGCAAATATCTGGCAGTTTGAGGAATGATCATTTAAGTGCAAGTAACATTTCGAAACATGCCGTGTTGTCGTGTTCGGACCTGTCCAAACTTCGTGAATAGTTAACATTCAATTTGGTCAACGGTCACTTCGTGAATTACCATTAAATTTCATTTACGCTTGCTTTAAGAACTTTTAAGGTATTCCAAAAGATCCTCTGTCGATTACTTATGGAGTCATTCTTGCTCAGGTTCAACTAATGTAGTTCTAAGATTCCAAGTGCTGATTATTTATTTAAGACGGAACCATGGAAAGTACAGTAAGCTTTTTGTTTTATCATTTTTATGAATCTCTTGGAATTCTGTCTCTAGCTTGAAAGGTGTGACATTCGCTCAATTGCGAGTTGGAAAGAATATAAGAGTTTGATCGCTACTTGAAAGTATGCTCATTCTGAAATTACCCGAAGGGCGTAAATCAATTGTACAGTTGTGGTCACAGTACAGAGAAAAAGCTCTGCACGTGAGTTTAACAATTTATACATCTCAGCGCCCTCGGCAAAATATCAACATACTCAGTCAACCAAATCTGCGTGGTCTGAGAACAGGAAAACCGACCACGAGTTGTTTATGTTCCTGTTTTAAACTCAATAGGGTGAAGAACGCGACAAACAAAAGATTTCACGAGCAGAAAAAGCAGAGCAAAAGCTTCGCACGCGTGTTAAAAACTTTGTACACCTCTTAAACACCATCTTTCGGTCACCAACATTTGTCTTGTCTGACAACGGGAACACACTATTTAGAACTCAACGCCGCTTACACATGTCACATGGTATGCTGAAGTCGAGGTCTGGCGTCGTTAGAGATAGTAGAGACCTCCAGCCATTTGCTAAATTATTGAGATAAATACCGATTCCTTTTTAATCGACCTTTTCTTTTCCGTCGTTGACCGGACTGCTTAAAGTACTTAGTGCCTCAGTCGTGCTTGATACATACGGGTCTCGAAGACACAAAAACATGATCAAATTTTATTTCACATCAGGGCAATTCTCAACCTGAGCTAATCGTTATTGGTACAGCTTGAAATAATAAAAATACCCCTGGCGGGATTCCCCGACCATGGCTGGTCTAACGGTGTGCTAAGAGTACATATGACATCACATTCAAACTGAAAAGTAGACGCAAAGTGAATAAAATGCTGTTTATCTGAATGTTGTTCATCTAAAACTCACAATTAATAAATAAAAGACTACTTGTCCACTTTTCATTTTGTACGCTAGGAGGGGTGTCTTAGAAATAAAACAGGCAGCAGGCCTCATCCCAAGGCCCCTACTCAGCTTTTTATGAAAATAAGATAAGACTGCATGCATAGCCAAGTATACTTCGTTGAGAACTCAAAACTATCTGCCGCTTCCGCTTCTCTTTTTCGGAATATAACAGAAAAGCGTCACATGCATCGATATTGACCAATATATATCAATGTTTGAAAGAGTCAGCGTCCTTTAATTTTTGGGTAAAAAGGCAGTCTGAGAGTTTGTGACAATAAGGCCAGGTGGCCCGTAGAAATAATCAAGAGCCTTTCGAAAACGTGGGAAAATATACTAAAAATACGACGAAAGACCCAAACTCAATACGGCCTTGAATGAAATTTAACTATAGTTTGAATCGTAAGCATGATGGAAGAAGCCTCAGTTGATTTCTAAGTTTAGGGGACCGTTTAAAGGCGAGTTGGGAGATGATTTGACCGGAGAGGTAAAAATAATTTGGAGTTATCGCCCGTTTTCGGCTACGTCTTAACCCCTGCAATGATCAAATGAAGAGATTTAAACGCTTTGATGGCTCCATCAATCAGATCAGTTTACAGATCTGATTGAGGAAGCGACCAATCAGAACCGTGTTCGTCGAGTTGCGATGCATTTACAAACATTCTTCAACGTATTTTCAACCTTTCAATCAGCGCTACATAGCCGGGTTCAGTAAGAACAAGGTAGGAAAAGAACATTTAAAGTTTAACTGTGAAGATAAACATTACTCTGAGGTTTCCGACAGGTTTTACCGGGTCCGTTTGAAAATGAAAGGGTCAGAGCGCCTACGTTCGCCTCGGCGAATTTCGATCACAATCGTAATTTGTATTTGCTTGACTTCTCTCTAAGGTTGATGATAGGAATTTATTCAAGAGACGTTTTAATGAGCCAACTAAGCACGTTCATATCGATTGTAGAGAAATTTCAAAGTTATGAGACATGACAACATTTGTTAACGCATCAAGGGTTATTATTTCCGCTTTCGCTCAGAATCTGTGGAAATTACAATTAAATGTTTAATACCCGTACAGGGTGAGGTCTTTGGACGATTTCTGTGTCACTATGTAGCTGCTTTTCATTTAAAACGAGGCAAATATCTGGTAGTTTGAAGGATGATCATTTAAGTGTAAGTATCATGTCGAAAAATGCCGTGTTGTCGTGTCTGGACTTGTCCAAACTTCGTGAATAGTTAACATTCAATTTGGTCAATGCAGATCAACGGTCACTTCCTAAGAACAATTAAATTTCATTTACGCTTGGTTTAAGAACTGTTAAGGTATTCCAACAGATCTTCTGTCGATTAATTATGGAGTCATTCTTGCTCATTAATCCGGTTTAACAAACGTAGTTCTAAGATTCCAAGTGCTGATTATTTAGCTAAGACGGAACCGTGGAAAGTACAGTAAGCTTGTTGTTTTATCATTTTTACGAACCTGTTGGAATTCTGTCTCTAGCTTGAAAGACTTGACATTCGTTCAATTACGAGTTGGAAAGAATATAAGAGTTTGATCGCTACTTGAAAGTATGCTAACTCTGAAATTACTCGAATGGCGCAAATCAATTGCACAATTGTGCTCACAGTACAGAGAAAAAGCTCTGCACGTGAGTTTAACAATTTGTACATCTCAGCGCCCTCGGCAAAATATCAACGTACACAGTCGACCAAATCTGCGTGGTCTGAGAACAGGAAAACCGACCACGAGTTGTTTATGTTTCTGTTTTAAACTCAATAGGGTGAAGAACGCGACAAACAAAAGATTTCACGAGCAGAAAAAGCAGAGCAGAAGCTTCGCACGCGTGTTAAAAACTTTGTACACCTCTTAAACACCATCTTTCGGTCACCAACATTTGTCTTGTCTTATAACGGGAACACACTATCCAGAACTCAACGCCGCTTACATATGTCACATGGTATGCTGAAGTCGAGGTCTGGCGTCGTTAGAGATAGTAGAGACCTCCAGCCATTTGCTAAATTATTGAGATAAATACCGATTCCTTTTTAATCGACCTTTTCTTTTCCGTCGTTGACCGGACTGCTTAAAGTACTTAGTGCCTCAGTCGTGGCTGATACATACGGGTCTCGAAGACACAAAAACATGATCAAATTTTATTTCACATCGGGGCAATTCTCAACCTGAGCTAATCGTTATTGGTACAGCTTGAAATAATAAAAATACCCCTGGCGGGATTCCCCGACCATGGCTGGTCTAACGCTGTGCTAAGAGTACATATGACATCACATTCAAACTGAAAAGTAGACGCCAAAGTGATTAAAATGCTGTTTATCTGAATGTTGTTCATCTAAAACTCACAATTAATAAATAAAAGACTACTTGTCCAACCGTGTTCGTCGAGTTGCGATGTACTTACAAATATTCTTCAACGTATTTTCAACCTTTCAGTCAGCGCTACATAGCCGGGTTCAGTGAAAACAAGGTAAGGAAAGAACATTTAAGGTTTAACTGTGAAGGTGACATTACTCTGAGGTTTCCGACAGGTTTTACCGGGTCCGTTTGGAAATAAAAGGGTCAGAGCGCCTACGTTCGACTCGGCGAATTTCGATCACAATCGTAATTTGTATTTGCTTGACTTCTCTCTAAGGTTGATGATAGAAATTTATTCAAGAGACGTTTTAATGAGCCAACTAAGCACGTTCATATCGATTGTAGAGGAATTTCAAAGTTATAAGACATGACAACATTTGTTGACGCATCAAGGATTATTATTTCCGCTTTCGCTCAGAATCTGTGCAAATTACACTTAAATGTTAAATACCCGTACAGGGTGAGGTCTTTGGACGATTTCTGTGTCACTATGTAGCTCCTTTTCATTTGAAACGAGGCAAATATCTGGCAGTTTGAGGAATGATCATTTAAGTGTAAGTAACATGTCGAAACATGCCGTGTTGTCGTGTCTGGACCTGTCCAAACGTCGTGAATAGTTAACATTAAATTTGGTCAATGCAGATCAACGGTCACTTCGTTAATTACCATTAAATTTCATTTACGCTTGGTTTAAGAACTTTTAAGGTATTCCAACAGATCTTCTGTCGATTAATTATGGAGTCATTCTTGCTCATTAATCCGGTTTAACTAACGTAGTTCTAAGATTCCAAGTGCTGATTATTTAGTTAAGACGGAACCGTGGAAAGTACAGTAAGCTTGTTGTTTTAGCTTTCTTACGAATCTGTTGGAATTCTGACATTCGTTCAATTACGAGTTGGAAAGAATATGAGAGTTTGATCGCCACTTGAAAGTATGCTAATTTTGAAAATAACCGATGGACGTATATCAATAGCGCAGTTGTGGTCACAGTACGACCTTTAGCAAACCATGACGGCGACGGAGACAGCAACGAGAACACGACGAAACAAAATATTTCACGAGAAAAAGCTCTGCGCATGCGTTTAACAATTTGTACATCTCAGCGCCCTCGGCAAAATATCAACATATACAGTCACCCAAATCTGCGTGGTCTGAGAACAGGAAAACCGACCACAAGTTGTTTATGTTTCTGTTTTAAACTCAATAGGGTGAAGAACGCGACAAACAAAAGATTTCACGAGCAGAAAAAGCAGAGCAAAAGCTTCGCACGTGTGTCTTGTCTGAGAACGGGAACACACTATTTAGAACTCAACGCCGTTTACACATGTCACATGTTATGCTGAAGATTGTAGAGATCTCCTCCCATTCGCTAAATTATTGAGATAAATACCGATTCCTTTTTTAATCGACCTTTTCCTCTCCGTCATTGGCTGGACTGCTTAAGGTACTTAGTGCCTCAGTCGTGCTTGATACATACGGGTCTCGAAGACACAAAAACGTGGTCAAATTTCATTTCACCTCGGGGCAATTCTCAACTTGAGTGAATCGTTATTGGTACAGCTTGAAATAATGAAAATGCCTCTGATGGGATCCCCCGACCATAGCTGGTCTAACAGTGTGCTAAGTGTACATATGACATCACATTCAAACTGAAAAGTCGACGCCAAAGTGATTTACATGTTGTTCATCTAAAACTCGCAATTAATAAATAAAAGACTACTTGTTCAGTTTTCGTTTCGTACGCTAAAAGGGGTGTCATAGAAATAACACGGGCAGCAGGCCTCATCCCAAGGCCCCTACTCAGCTTTTTATGAAAATAAAAAATAAGACTGCATGCATAACCAGGTACATTTCGTTGAGAACTCAAAACTTTCTCTCACAGATGGATGGGCGACCAGATCCACCTGCTGGAACACCAACTCAAGAAAGTAATCCAGGAATCCTGGAACCTTCAGGTCAAGATCTGTCGTTTTTTAATTTAAGATATCTTTTTAACAAGTAAAACTGGCAATAACTTAATTGTTGGATGATATACTCTTATTTGGCTGGTATATACACTTTACAAGGATAGAGCCGGAAATAGCCAGCAAAAGATGAGCAGGCTTTTAAGTGGCCACCGGCAAGGAAAAAAAATTAGATAAGAAGGTGACGCCCTAGAAAATGGATGTGAAAAGGGAAGGATGAGAATATATAACAATAGTAAGACAGGCAAGATAAGATTAAAGAGGAATAGCGAGAATGTGTAGTGAGAGAACAGGAAGACAGCTTGAGTATAGCTGTTATTTGATGACATAACATCTCAGCTGGTTTCTGGTTTCAGGTGGGTCATCAAAACCAGTTGAGGAAACTTCAGCAGGTATTTTCTCCTTCTGATGCTGTTTCTCTTATCCATCATTTTCTGTTTATGGAAATTGTGGCATGTATCTGTGAGGTTTAACCTATCTTCCATTGCAATACTTTGCATTGACTTACAGGAATCGATAGAAAATTGTCTCTTCTCCCCCAAACGGTGCCGCATTTCGTCAATCGCGAAACAGAATGCGACGAAATCAGAAAATACCTTTCTCCACAGCACAATTGCAGATGCCTTCTCATACATGGTGCCACTGGTATAGGGAAGACGACCGTGGCGACGAAAGTGGCAAACGACATACTGAATTCTGACGGACGTACCGTGGTGATCTACGTTAACTGTAGAAACATAAAACTTTCCCATGATTTTGCTGAGAAGGCTCTTCAGCAAGTATATCACGCACCTGTGGAGAATCCAATACCTGAGCTGAAAAATCGCTTGAAAAGCCAAGATTTCTTCACCATTTTGCTATTGGATAATTTTGAATTTATACTTAATTTGGATGACAGAATGCAGCTCCCTGAAAATGAATTGTCACTCCAACAGAACAACCCATCTGAGGAAGGATCGAAGATTAAGAATCTTATCAATGAAATTTTAATGGTTGCAGGCAAAGTCAAGCTTCTCCTCACCTCTTCAGAGAAAGTTTGTTTTCCGGAAGCAGGTCAAGAAATGGTTCATCTGTCACCTTTTAAGCCAGAAGAATCCGTTAAGCTTTTGAAAAGAGTGTGGAAGGATAGGCAAGTCAATATAACTCAAGCACATGACTTGTCAGAGATTTGCAGCGGTATTCCCTTGGTCCTTTACACCCTGGCCTCCTACCACAGTAACCTGCCAAGTCTCTTGGAAGAGATGAGATGTCCTTCGCCTCAAGAAAAATTCGATTTCTTGAGAAAGATTCAAACGGTATCAGCGGATAAAAAGATCAACGTTTGTATCGATCATTGCTTCGAGAGGCTTGATTTGATAGAAAAGCATGTCCTCATCAGATTTGCATTACTCAAAAGGCGTTTTTCTCTGTCTGAGGCAGTGAAAATATTTCAGTCAACGGAGATGAGTGCGTCTCAACTCAGACGATGTGGACTGGAACTGTCCCGGCGATCACTTTTAGAAGAACACATTATTGGGGATGAATGCTCCTATACCCTCCTTCGAGTAATTCGTGATTATTGTGAAACTAAGGCAATGGAGCAGGAGTTTCGTGAAGTGATCCTAGATGCTCGGAGGATGTTTATCCGCCATTTTTTAACCTTTCTGGAAGACATCTTTAAAATGTTCCTGAGCCAGAACGTGTCAGAAGCTATTGCAGCCTTTCAGAAAGATGAAGCGAATGTCATGCAGCTCGTTGAATGGTGCAAAAATGGTCAAATGGATGAAGAACAAACAAGAAGGTGCATTGATGTTTTCAACAGCGTAACGGAGCTACTGGCGAAGATGATGGGAAAGGCCAAATTTAAAGATGCCTTCAAATCTCTACGAACGAGATGCGAACAGATGGAAGATCAGACGAGACTGAGCGATTGCCTCACATCCTTGGGGCTGAAAGAAGTATTCAGCTGTTCCTGTCCTCCAATTGGTCCGTGTGCTTTACACGCTGAAATAGCCAAAGAATACTTCACGAAGGCTGACCGAATCCAACGTAATCTTGGAGTTAAAAAAGGGAACAGCCGAGCTCAGTGCCTTGCCAAACTTGGTCGATGTCTCGCCACAGAAGGCTTTTTTGAGGAGGCAAAAGAAAAAGTCCAACAGGCAATCAGAATTCGATCGGAAGGACAGGATGACAACGTTATGCTCGGTGCAACGTATAATGATCAGGCAGGTAAGTGCACAAAATGATTAGGTGCCAAATTAATTTGCGGGCACATTGATCATACATTTTGCAAGGCAGTTTGTGGGATCGTATCTTAAGGTTATTTGGAGCATTTGCTTCCATATGAATCTTCAAAATCGATGAATAAAGAGTCACGATCGACAATGCTGTACAGATTGTGGCTTGTGCTCTGAGTGAAAAAAGCAAGAGAAGCATCCTAATCCTCCATTATGATTCTAGCCTATCATTAGTCAAGATTCAATTGAATATCCGTCAGTAATTTAGTCTGGCCCTTGACAGGATCCTTAGAACACTGAGAAAGTGCAAAACTCTGAAATGTATTGAAAATTGTCCTTTGTTTGTAATCAACCACTAGATGCTATCTAGTGGTTGATTATAAACATTACAAGGAACGAGATCCTTCACATGAATTCTAATGCAAAATACTTTAAAGGGGTCACGGCTACTTCAAAATCCTTTCTTTAAGACAACAAAAATTACTTTTACTACCTTTCTTAATTATCTTCATGGTCAGCCGAAAATGACTAAATTGGAATCATTGTATCTTTGGAATTATTGTATTATTGTATCACTTCTTGAAGGAGAGGCATACTTTACATATTCAGTGATAAATCTGTGATTCCCTTGTTAGTGATCCTTTCGCTCGAGGGAAATCATGAGCAGGCAATCAAGGTCAGAGAAGAACGGACGCTACCAATTTACAAAGAAACACTGGATAAACATCCTTTCATGGCAACCATCCTCAACAGTCTGTCAAACAATTATTATGCCCTGGGAGAGTACAACGTTGCCCAGCGATATTCGAAAGAAGCGTTGGAGATTCGGCTCGAGTTACTGAAGGACCATCGAGACACCGCGAAGTCGCTTTTTGACCTTGCGATGGTTCATAAAATGAAGGAAGAATTCGGACCAGCCAAGGATTGTCTTGAAAGATGCGAGGCCATGCAAAAGAAAATATTGGATGAGGGAAACGACGATCTTACAAGGTAAACAACTGTCTATCACTTTAAACTTTGCGTTTCATTAGGGATCCTTTAGGCATGCAGGTGTTGATGAATTAAACATTAACACCTTCATCCACCTCCTTAATTCTTTAATATCACTCTTAATTCTCCTCTCTGGCGGCTTCATATTTCCTTGTGGATTAGTTACAAGAATTTGGTGTTAGATCAAAATAACTTCTACCTGATAAGTTTGAGTATTCTCATTACTTGTTTGCTGGACAATGTGTGGATATTATTGGGAGAAGTTACATGTTAATCACTTCTGGGAGTTAAAGGGTTAAGCATTAAATTTTCCGAGTTTTTGGTTGATGTGCCTTTCCTCGCACAGGACCAGGAACGAATTGGAAGAAGTCAGAGAGCATCTATTGGGAGCCATGCAAGGGAGCTCTTAAAATCCGGTACCAAACTCTGACAGAGAATCTCTTGATGTGAACCGTCTAATCTTGTCCAGTTCTGAGTGTCTTCAAGTGTACCAAGGCAGTACTACTTAGAAGTTCCGCAAGAATGATGATACAGTCACTTCTGCGTGACGTCTCCTCTTAAGCAATCGTCTTAGTTTAAAATGTAGGTAGTTATGGAACATTCTTTCTCCGTCACTGACATCTCCATTTTTGTCGAATTTGAGTCTGTTATGATCATGCATCAGTTACATTAAGCGTTCAGTCATTAACTGCATCAGACTTGAAAACAAGAGCTGAACATTCAAATGATGGTTGTATTCATTATTACATTGAATGTCTTAGGTCAAGTCTCACATCACTGGACCGTTTTAGTTTCTTCGTAATGCTGTAAATAGGTTTGGTTTAAAGAAAGTGCCGTTGTTCTGGACAAGTGAGTCAGGCTATTTCCAGAGATCCTAGCCGGGAAGATTCTTTCTAGGCGTGGTCCTGTCAGTTTAGTGCTAATGATTGTATATATGTATAGGTATTTAGAAACTTTTCGGCTTGTTCTATACTGATTCAATTCAATTTAGAATAGGTGGTATTTCACTAAAAATAAAACAGCAATCACAATTAATGGAGGGTAGCCTATCCAAGACATTCAAGGAATTTTAGATATCTTGCCCGTGTAACGTGTAAGTGTTTTACTGACTTTATAATAATGAGAATGGTAACTGTTAAGTATTGCTGACTTTTATTATACACCATTAGTTTGAGTTAAGAACCCCAAAACAGAATTTGTGATATAGTTGACAGCTTTCAAATTCCCTGTTAACTTTTAAATACATTAACTAACTGAAATAATCAAACAGAGTCAGTAAAACGCCTCAAAAAGACAAGGTTTCTGATAAATAAACAATTGTTGGTTAACATTATATACTGATGAGGCTCGATTCGATAGTTTCTACTACAGACTTCGTGTTCACATTGATTTCGTTCCTTTCTCAGTTAAACCTATCGGCAAAATCATGATCAATGCCTATGAAACCCGTCAGACTTGTTACATATGATCAACCAATAGTGTAAAATAAACTGATCCAGATTTCCAACCACTTAATAACATCAAAAACAGAACCCAGAGTTACAAGTTAAATAGTTTTCTGTGTAATCCTTGCGCTTGCATCATGTTCGCCGCCTAAAGTTATTGTAAGGTGATCGACTTTCCTTCTTGCCCAAGAGCATCATCTGATTTCGTGAGTTTTTCTTTTCCTTCGTTGAGCATGCGTTCCTCTACCTCTTTTATGGTTCTGTTCGAAAAGATCATTGAATTTAAGAGGTCGATTAAAAGATTTTGTGAATACCTCTAGATTTCAGACTGAACACGAGGCAACTGCTTCATCTTACCAGGGCTTATCTCGGTTTCGTTTACGATAATTAGCCAAGAGTAGCTAACACTTACTGGATAGCATGTTGGTCTATCGGTTTCTCACCGTCATAGTCATCCCCATCATCCTCGTTGTCATTATCGTCATCGTCATCGTCATCGTAATTGTCGTCATGGATATCGATGACATCATCTTCGCTGACGATACCTTCGTTATCGATATGATTGTCATTATCATTACCATAACCCCGGGCCTCTCGGTAAGGAGTCGAGGTGTTAACTATATTTGATCATGACGCCTCTTACAGCTTATTGCAAACACTGCAATTTATTTGGAATTTGCAAGAATGAAACCTAGAGGCATTGTTAAGGAAATTTGGAACATTTCACAAGACCAAAGACATAACAATTTTGTTTAGAGGAGGTAAGATCTTTACAGTTTTATGTTCGCTCACACTGAACGTGAACCAACGCAAAAAGGTTTTAGCTGAGAGCTTACTTTAGCTGTAAGGTCTTAAAATCGGAAGCAAGTAAATTCAATTTCCTTTTTTTTTTAGCAAATATGTTTCAGAAAAAAATGTTTCCTAAGCTAGATAAGGACGCAGCCTGTCTTGGTACCAATTGAAATGAGAACGAGTATGTCCCTTAACAAGCTCTCACGTAGCTTACAGGGTTACCGTGTAAACTAACCTTTCAAGCTCGCTGATCATGGTAGGGTCATCCAAAAAACTTTGCATGCTTTCACATTCTCTCAGTTAAGCTTTGGCATCCTTGAATTCTTCCCTTCCCTCACCTAGGGCAGAGTAGTTGCTGGACAGATTGTTCAGGATGGTTGCCGTAAAAGGATGCCGGTCTCCCAAGTGTTTTCTGTATATTTCTAACGTCTCTCCTTCTCTAACTTTTATGGCCTCTTCATGGTTTCCTTCAAGGGAGAGAGCCACTAGACAAAAAGGAAAAAAATTAAAACACTTGTTTTCTGGAAGCAGAAAGAAATATGTTCGTAAGGAAACGAGCTGAAACACTTTCTCAAACTGATAAAGGTGGGGGAATACTCGCAAAGGTGGGAAGAGGCGAACTTGCAGTGAGGTGAAATATCCACAAACCAGAAAAATGTTTATACAACGCTTTGTTGAATTTCCTGTCGGCTTATTCAGCTTGAGAAGAAAGTTTAAGTACGAAACCTCTCCCACTGACACGGACCGATCAGCTGTGATTGTCAAAGTTGCCGGAGGTTCGTCGGCTGAAGCAGTTGGCTGCGCATGATAGGATATCGTCGTCGTTGGAGCTTCCTCTTGAGAGCTGCGGCTTGTCATGGATCTGATATCGATGATAATGCGAAGAGGAGCTGTGATAAAAAGAATTACTTCGGTCAGAATATCATGGTAATCACTTCAACTTCGTCATTCTCTCTGACGAAGGGCTAACGCTCCAAACGTCAGCTTTGAAACTCTTTACGGTGGCAAATTTACGTTATCAGCTCATGCAGTTGTTAATACTAAATTACCCTGTTATACTCTCCAACCGACACAGCAGCACAGTTTTTTCAGAAACTTACTCTTATAATGGCGAAGTAGGCTATATAATTCAATATTCACTGAATTTCTTAAAGTAAAACAATCTCTTCCATAAACTGACCTCCTCCTTCTGCCGCTGAGGAGCCAGCCCGATTTTTCACCACCTCACGAAGCTGTTCAATTTCATTCTCTATTCTATCAAATCGTTCTTTTCCTTCTTCAGAGGAAATTTGAATTTGCCTCTCCACTCGAGCGAACCCTGATGCAAGACTTTCTTTTGTGATCATGTCCTTCTGATACATTTCCTGTAGTTCCTCGGCATTCCTTGCAGCCTCTGGGGTTAAGGGATCATGCCGCAGCCTGTTGATTGCTTCTTCCCATTCCAGTTTTGTTTCTGCGCTGATATGGGAAGCTATACGTAAAAGGACTATTTTGATTTCATCCCAGAGGGAACAAAATTCTGCATCACTCAACTCTCCACTGTGAAACTTATGAATAATATCATTGCGGTAAAACTTAATTCTGATGATGTCTGCCGGTCAAGCTAAAATCACCTCTACCTGGGGGACGATCCCATCCGCTGCACAGAGGAGGTAGTTGCGTCGGACAAAGAGTTTTTAATAGTTGAGAAAGGAGGCTGATGTCAAAGTCTCTTGATTCTCCAAACAATCCTGGTGCTGGATAAACAAGATCATGTTGAGGCTTCAGGAGAACGTGGAATAACTTTTGCTTGGTAGCAAACTCACTCAGTTTGTTGGCGAGACTGCTTGGTGGGTAAAAGGAGTCAAACTGTGCTCTCAATAACTCGGTACCCGCACGCATAATCAGTCGAGAAAGACGCTGATAATTTTCATTTTCACACGTTGAACGGAGCGCTTCGTTAGCTGTGGAAGAAGCAGTCGCCATTTCGTTTGTGTGTCTTTAAGAAGGAGATTTCGCTTCTACAAACAAAACTCTGCACTTAGGTCGTTACTACACATCAGCGGTTCTAATCCTCCTGCAAAAAAAGTTTAAAAGGTCATGCAATATTCTCTGATTTACCATTTGGTGTCAATCGAGAAAGGGTCGTAAGATGGCTTTTTCCTTTTCCTTCGTTGAGTCATTTTCCCGAAATTCGCAGAATGCAAGACAAGAAATTCGCCTCACCCCACGGCACTTAAAGTAGTACAAAAACAAACTCTACATCGATAAACAAGCAATTAAATTTATTTTTTACGAATTACTGAATAAAGTATCTTTAATTATCACATCCTCATTAATTATGGCTTTTCAGCTCAAATGAAAACAAATATTGGAAAAATATAGATTGATTTTCATGAGGGTGTTATAAAAGGCATTACGCAAATCAGCTTGACACTTTCTGAGAATTGGATTCGACAGTTATTTTAATAACACGGTTATATCTTCTTGCTATCAGCTACGTTAGTGAGGCAGGCGTCTTCTTAAAGTGAAATAAGCTAAATGAATAGGCAACAATGGTCTGTAAACGAGAGTTTCGCTTCTCTTTGAAACAAACACTGAGTTTGCTTGTCACCGGCGAGAGTTTAAATAACAACAATGGAATAAATACGTTTATTCCCAGTACATTCCGTTTTCTCGGGCACAATTTCAAAAGTGGGGATGATTGTTTGACAGAGATGGATCACACATGGTGGAACTAAACTTTAGGTCCTGATAGGTTTAGTAAAACTAAAGGCTTACCCCGTCCGCCGATTAGAGGTGGCTGTTTGACAGAAATCTTATCTACAGTAAATATGTGAAGCGAATAGAGTACTTTGGAATTAAAGTCTTCAATAACACAAAGTCACATGAAAAGTTTTTAAGTTTCCGGTCTTAGAAACGTCTTATTTACGCTTATATGAAATTGGGGTTGGTTCTTCTGTCACAGTTTTTACGTAAGAATTTAATTCAAACAACTTAATTCGACCATAAGGTGACATATTCCTAAGATAACAAACCTCGTTACAGGCATGCGGTCAATAACACGGGCTCAAGCGCACGAGGTTTAAAATTCAGCGAAATTTGCGAAAAAAAAAATCAAAGTGCTCTGTGAGCAAACTCGTGAATTGACAGATGACTTACATGTCTTTTTGGATTATGTTTTATGTTATCTAATTTAGGGAATTTTGTGGTTGATTTTCATATTTAGAGTACGAGCAGTAGTTCAGTGTTCGCTTATAATGTAGCAAAGAAACAAAGCGACGTTGGGATAAGAGGGCATTACATGCAAAATTATTCGTTTAGGTGTGGTTTGGTTTTCGTGTTTATCTGTCATTTCGTCAGTCGCCGCCACCTTTTGTCGCTTCAGACAGATAAAAAACATATGACACGAAATGTAATTATCGATTTTGTCCCCAATCTAACGCCATAACAGAAAAAGCTTTTGAATACCCGTAAACTCCGAACGCTTCGGGGTAAGTGATATTTGAATGAATCTTCGGATTGTTTACAAGTTCTGAGATTGTAATTTACAATATTATGAAAAATCGAAGGTTGTTCTGTTATTTCAGTGTGAATCCTCGCACGCCTGCCAGTCGCTGGCGCCGCTCGTTGAAACTGAAACGAAAAAAAAGTGGCATTGCTGTTGAGCGGTAAGCCGGTTTAAGAAAACTGGTCAATTTTATCAGAAAAGGCCAGGAGCAAGAATTACAGACTAAACTGTATCGCGGTGTAGTTCAGAACGGTAAACGTTTTGATTTCATTACACGCACTGTTAATATTAGAGTGGTTTAGCAAGAGGACGGGAACGTCATTTCAGAACGGGAAAGCGCGCGGATAATCTGGACACGACTCTATTTCGACTTCCGGTGTTAAAGTTGCCGTTCTCCCCATCAAGTTCAGGACGTCATTTCCCTGGTTTTCCCGTCGTGATCAAAACGCCTAGGATTTGCGTTAATTGTGCACTTATAAACGAGATAATGCTGTTTGAAATGATTTCAGAACTCATTTCCAGGATAACCGAAAGGAAACACGATCGTCAGCAAGCGATCTAAGATTTTAGGGCTCAGTTACCTTTTGTGATTGAGCGTGGCTTTAAGCAACGTAAGGGCTTTTCTTTGATACATTTCTTAAATCGTGTATGAAAACTCTAAGAACAGGCGCTGTTAATTTCATCGTGAATTAATTCATCAATAAATTAAACTTGCTTCATGTTGAAGTTTATCAAAATGAAACAACACGAAGGTTACCTGCTATATTATTCAGTGTTATTTGTTGTCATTGTCGTTTTAACCGTGATTAAAAAGTGTTCTGCGAATTGAAGTCAGAGATAAAAAAAATTTGAGAATAGCTCGGGTTTGCACTTTTTTATGTCTTTAGTTTTTGATCAGCGCCGGTGAAAACTAAGACAAGAAAGTCATCTACGAAAGAAAATAACAATCAACTTGATTTCGGCACGGCTTTCTAAATCTATTAATTTGATTCAGTCTTGAACGACTTTATTCGTTAAACAAATTAAATGAAACAAAAACAAAATAAAACAGGAACGAAGTCTGATTCCTCAGTCTAACCGTTTCGTTGGTGACTAGTTTGAGTGCATTTCATTCGTTCGTAGTTAAACGGGAACTCATTGTAAACAACTCTATCTCTACACATTTTCGCCATAACTCCTGATAACTCCGTTCAAAATGCAATGCAACTCAAGGTGGTGCTCAAAAGAGGTGTACTGTATTGATTGAGAAGAATATTCAGTAAACAAGAGAAAAAACGGCGAAGATTTCAATTCCAAATTATACTTTACAAAATTATGAAGAAAAACGAGTAGTGCTGAAATCTAGAAGCACGAAACGGAATGACAGCGATACAAATCACAAATCATAGAAAAAAATATTTAGTGGGCCATTCAGCTCTGTCAGTCGGCAGTAGTTTGGACATACATCAAGAAAGAACGAGCCCCTGGTCTACCGGCGGTTTCCCATAGAACTGAATTGACCTATGTATCCCGTACGTTCAATTTGTTACAAAAGCCCTACGAACCTAAAATTTTTATTCCATTATTCATGGTAAACGATTGCACAAACTAGCATGTCCATTTAAAAATTGTACTCAGGAGAGACATCAAATCGATTGTCCCCCTTCTTTTACTCTCTAAAAGAAAGGTTAAGGGATGGGAAAGAATTTCCACTGGGGGTGGGGGAGGCTACAATGGTCTTTTACTTGAATTTTGTGGTATGATGGGATATATTATTACTATATATAATCTTTTCTTGTTAATATAGATGGGTGTCAAATTGCACTCCCAGATCCCCACTTCCTTCAAACTGCTACGTAGTAAAAGGAGGTGTGAATATTAGAGACAAGTAGGGCCAGGGTGTTGCGTCAAAAATTGCGCCTTTTCCCGGACAAGGACGTGGTGTTCTTCATTTTATGAGCTCCTAGTTAAATAAGTCGGTCGCCACAAAATTCAAGTAAAAGGCCATTGTAGCCTCCCCCACCCCCAATGGAAATTCTTACCCACCCTTTAACCTTTCTTAAAGAGGGTCAGAGAAGGGAGGCGATCGATATGGCATTTCTACTGAGTAAAAATTCTTAATGGACATTTCAGTTTAAGAAATCGTTGACTATGAATGGTTTAGAAATGATAGGTTTGTACGGTTTTACTTAACAAATTGAGCGCACGGGATACATAGGTCAGTCTAATTCGAAGAGACACCACTGGGAATCCAGAGGCTCGTTCTTTCTCGATGTATGTCCAAACTATTGCCGACTGACAGAGCTGAATAACGTCTGCGCGGAAGAGACCGCGGAAAACGGATGTTGAGTCATTTGCATGTTTGATTTTCCATTCTATTGATTCGAGGCGTTGTTTCCCTTGCCGCCTTCCTTTTACAGAACAACCCCCAAATAGGAAAATGTCTCGGACGACAACAAAATACCTCGGTTTTAAATGCCAGCTCCTTTTTTCCCCGCAAATTTTGCGTGTGCTTGAGCCCGCGTTATTGACCGCATACCTGTGGCGTAGCTCTTCGTTATTCATCACTGCCTCTGCCGACTTCGATAATGAACGCCCGGTCTCGCAAACATCGCACGGATGGTGTTTAAAGGGGTGTTGTTCAGGACCGTTCAGGTACACTTAACTCCAGTTGAATAGTCTGTTTGTCTTATTGATACTTTAGTGACTTGGAGTGTTAACCACAACCAACACTAAAACGATTTACAGCAACAGTAGCGAGGATACGAATCTTTCGACATCATTCCAAAGGCACCAAGATATCTTACATGATTCGACTGGCTGATCAATTCATATAACAACATTTCTTTTTCAATCATGATGATGATGATGATGCAAAAATTGTATTTGTTTTAAAGGTTCCCGAAGATTACCGTGTGAAGTAATTTCCAGCTTACAAATTTTTATTCTGAAGTTTTGTAGTCCCGACTTGAAAATGACGCAGTGTTTTTCTTACGAAGTTTATTCCCCAAGATGTTTCTATGTCGGATTTAGTTAGCATTACATGGAACTGATAATTTTTCTAATGTGTGTTCGCTTTCAATACGGAGCCCACAAACTTTGTGTGGAAAACAACCAAGACAAATTTCCCAGTCTATGAGATGCTTAAGGTAGGTAACTTAGTTCAAGCGTTTCCGATAGTTTTCTGTCGTATTAATGGAGAATTTTGTAAGATCGTGCTTTGGATCACGATTCGTGACAAAATAGATGGCATCAACTGTCAGATGTCTGACATTAGGTCACTGTTGAGGAGGGAAAAAAACCCCAATTCTAACAATGAAATAAAACAACATAACGCAATAAGGCAAATGTGAAGGTTTTGGCTCTCTATTTGTAATTTTGGCATCGTCGAAAAACATCAGACTCGCTTTACAAGCACGCGTGAATTCGCCAGATTGGAAACATGAGATTTCGTAACTAAACCAAAACCTAGACTGCAAAACTTCGACTATCAAGTTTCGGAACTTTGTTTGTCGAAGTCACTTAAATTTCACAAATCGTCCCTTAACTAGCGCTCGAATTTCATCGCGGAACATCCTAATTCATAATATTATTTTCACTAACACTCACTGCTAGCTGTTAGAACGTACGTTATAATGTTGGGTAATTTACAACGATAAATGTTTGGGGAAAAAAAGTCCCCTTGCTAACGCGTGAATCCATGCGGAACACAAAGACAATTACCCAAACGAGGTCTTTGCTCTTAGAAATATCTCACCTTATTGTCGAATTAAGTTGCTTGAATTAAATTCTTACGCAAAAACTGTGACAGAAGAACCAACCCCAATTTAATATAAGCGTAAACATGACGTTTTCTAAGACCGGAAACTTAAAAACTTTTCATGTGACGTTGTGTTATTGAAGACTTTAATTCCAAAGTACTCTATTCAGAGGTCAAACATCAAGTTCGCAAAATTCACTTCGCATATTTACTGTAGATAAGATCTCTGTTAAACAGCCACCTCTAATTGGCGGACGGGATAAACCTTAAGTCTTACTAAATTTATCAGGACCTGAATATTAGGTTTCATCATGTGTGATCCACCACCATCAAACAATCACACCCACTTTTGAAATAGTACCCGAGAAAACGGAATGTTCTGGGAATAAACGTATTTATTCTATTGTGGTTACTTAAACTCTCGCCGATGACAAGCAGACACAGTGTTTGTTTCAAGGAGAAGCGAAACTCTAGTTTACAGACCATCTTTGCCTATTCGTATAGCTTATTTCATTTTGGGAAGACGATATAACTCGTGTTACTAAGATTACTGTCGAATCCAATTTTCAAAAAGTGTCAAGCTGATTTGCGTAATGCCTTTTTTAACACCCTTACGAAAATCAATCTCTATTTTTCCAGTAATTGTTTTCATTAGAGCTGAAAAGCCATAATTAACGAGGATGTGGTAATTAAAGAGATTCTATTCATTAATTCATAAAAGAATTTAATTTTTTGTTTATCGATGTATAGTTTGTTTTGGTCCTAATTTCGCCGTGGGGTGAAGCGAATTTCTTTTCTTACATTCTGTGAATTTCGGGAAAATGACTTAACGAAGGAAAAGGAAAAAGCCATACTACGGCCCTTTCTCGATTGACACCAAATCGCAAATCAGAGAATATTGCAGGACCTTTTAAACTTTTCTTGCAGGAAGATTAGAACCGCTGATATGTAGTAACGACCCAAGTTCAGTGTTTTGTATGTAGAAGCGAAACCTCCTTCTTGCTGACGCACTAACGAAATGGCGACTGCTAACCAAGTGCTCAGTTCAACGAATGAAAACGAAAATTATCAGCGTCTTTCTCGACTGATTATACGTGCGGGTACCGAGTTATTGAGAGCACTGTTTGACTCCATTTACCCACCAAGAAGTCTTGCTCTTGCCAACAAACTGAGTGATTCTACTACCAGGAAAAAGTTGCGGGACATTCTTCTCAAGCCTCAACGTGATCTTGTTTATCCAGCACCAGGATTGTTCGGAGAATCAAGAGACTTTGACATCAGCCTCCTTTCTCAACTACTAAAAACTCTTTGTCCGACGCAACTACCTCCTCTGGGCAGCGGATGGAATAATCCCCCAAGTACAGGTGATTTTAGCTTGACTGCAGACATCGTCAGAATTAAGTTTTACCGCAATGATATTATTCATAAGTTTCACAGTGGAGAGTTGAGTGATGCAGAATTTTGTTCCCTCTGGGATGAAATCAAAATAGTCCTTTTACGTATAGCTTCCCATATCAGCGCAGAAGCAAAACTGGAATGGGAAGAAGCAATCAACAGGCTGCGGCATGATCCCTTAACCCCAGAGGCTGCAAGGAATGTCGAGGAACTACAGGAAATGTATCAGAAGGACAAAGACACAAAAGAAAGTCTTGCATCAGGGTTCGCTCGAGTGGAGAGGCAAATTCAAATTTCCTCTGAAGAAGGAAAGGAACGATTTGATAGAATGGAGAATGAAATTGAACAGCTTCGTGAAGTGATGAAAAATCGGGCTGGCTCCTCAGCGGCAGAAGGAGGAGGTCAGTTTATGGAAGAGATTGTTTTACTTTAAGAAATTCAGTGAATATTGAATTATATAGCCTACTTCGCCATTATAAGAGTAAGTTTCTGAAAAAAACTGTGCTGCTGTGTCGGTTGGAGAGTATAACAGGGTAATTTAGTATTAACAACTGCATGAGCTGATAACGTGAATTTGCCACCGTAAAGAGTTTCAAAGCTGACGTTTGGAGCGTTAGCCCTTCGTCAGAGAGAATGACGAAGTTGAAGTGATTACCATGATATTCTGACCAAAGTAATTCTTCTTATCACAGCTCCTCTTCGTATTATCATCGATGTCAGATCCATGACAAGCCGCAGCTCTCAAGAGGAAGCTCCAACGACGACGATATCCTCTCATGCGCAGCCAACTGCCTCAGCCGACGAACCTCCGGCAACTTTGACAATCACAGCTGATCGGTCCGTACAAAGAATAGCCTTGGAAATACGTCGACATTACGATTCATCAACAGGTGAGGAAAACGGATTTGTTCAACATCTGGAGGATGTTAACCAAGTCCTTATTGTGAATGTCAATCTCGGTAGCTTGGTGCTAACAGTCAAATGCAGCTCACTGGAAATTCTAGAACGACTCTGGCAAGATTACTCCAGTGGTCATCTCGGTAAAGTAGCTCAAGAATTCCTCGTGAACGAGAGAGTGCTGGAAGATCTTGGACTCGCTGAACTTAAACTCAGGATCGCTATTTCGGAGAAGGATTACCAGGAGGGTCGGAGGCACTTTGCTAAGTGTGCAGGTATAAAACTAATAGCCGCTTGTTTTTTTATTTTTTTGAAGATGATGTTCATTCTCTTTTACCACAGATTGCCAAGCGGTGAGGGAAGGGGATACTAGATTAGACTTCCACAGATAATTTTTTGGCGAGTTATTTAGTCACGCAATTATTGTTTGGTATAAACCTGAGTGAGATCAGGAGTGAAAATTCGGAGGCTACAGGACTTTGCTGTTTAGTGGGTGATGGGAATAAAGTTTATCAGGCCTTCGGTTTGTGGATCCCCATGGACGGAATTCTTACCTGATTCCATTTATTTCAGTCTTGTATTGTCTTTTCCAGGTTCTGATTACTCTGAGGAAACAGAAGGAGGACAAAAAGGAGATGGCAAGGAAGAGGAATACATACCTTCTCAGCATTTCACAGGTATTAAACAGTGTCTTTCATGAATCCATGAATAGCAGTAAAACCTGGGTCACATTGCATTGAAGGGATGCGTGCTCAACAACGAAAAAGAATAACTCACGAAATTAGACGATGCTGGTGGGTAAGGAGGAAAGTCACCTTAAAATATCTTTAGGCGGAGAACATGCTGCAAACGCAAGGATTACACATAAAATTATTTAACTTGTAGCTATGGGTTCTGTTTTTGATGTTATTAAGGAGGAATAACGAGAATTTGTTTTGAAAGAATAGGAAGACAGCGTGAGTAGCTGTTGCTTTAATAAATGATATAACGTTTCAGCTGGTTTCTGGTTTCAGGTGAAACACCAAAACCAGTTGAGGAAACTGTAGCAGGTATTTTCTCCTTCTGATGCTGTTTCTTCTATCCACCATTTTCTGTTTCAGAAGAGACTGAGCGATTGCCTCACATCCTTGGGGCTGAAAGAAGTATTCAGCTGTTCCTGTGTTTCAATTGGTCCGTGTGCTTCACACGCTGAAAGAGCCAAAGAATACTTCACGAAGGCTGACCAAATCCAACGTATTCTTGAAGTTAAAACCGGTAACAGCCGAGCTCAGTGCCTTGCCAAACTTGGTCGATGTCTCGCCAAAGAAGGCTCTTTTGAGGAGGCAAAAGAAAAAGTCCAACAGGCAATCAAAATTCGATCGGAAAGACAGGATGACAACGTTATGCTCGGTGCAACGTATAATGATCAGGCAGGTAAGTGCACAAAATGATTAGGTACCAAATTAATTTGCGAGCGCATTGATCATACATTTTGCAAGGAAGTTTGTGGGATCGTAGTTTTAAGGTTATTTTGAACATTTGCTTCTGTATGAATCTTCAAAACCGATGAATAGAGAGTCACGATTGACAATGCTGTACAGATTGTGGCTTGTGCTCTGAGTGAAAAAAACAAGAGAAGCATTATGATTTTAGCCTTTCATTAGTCAAGAATGAACTTAATAGCCGTCATTCATTTTGTCTAGCCCTTGACAGGATCCTTAGAACATTGAGAAAGAGCAAAACTCTGAAATGTATTGAAAAGTGTCCTTACAATGTTTGCAATCAACCACTAGATAAACGAAATCCTTTACCTGAATTCTAATATATACTACTTTAAAGGGGTTTACGGCCACTTCAAAACTCCTTTCTTTAAGAAAACTAAAATCACTATCACTACCTTTCTTAATTATCTTTACGGTCAGCCGAAAATGACTAAATTGGAATTATTGTATCTTTGGAATTATTGTATTATTGTATCACTTCTTGAAGGAGAAGTATACTTTACATATTCAGTGATAAAACTGTGATTTCCTTGTTAGTGATCCTTTCGCTCGAGGGAAATCATGAGCAGGCAATCAAGGTCAGAGAAGAACAGACGTTACCAATTTACGAAAAAACACTGGGTGATCATCCTTTCACTGCAACCATCCTCAACAGTCTGTCAAACAATTATTATGCCCTGGGAAATTACAAAGCGGCCGAACGATATTCGAAAAAAGCGTTGGAGATTCGGCTCGAGTTACTGAAGGACCATCGAGACACAGCCAAGTCGCTTTTTGACCTTGCGATGGTTCATAAAATGAAGGAAGAATTCAAACTAGCCAAGGATTGTCTTGAAAAATGCGAGGCCATGCAAAAGAAAATATTGGATGAGGGAGACGACGCTCTTAAAAGGTAAACAACTGTGTATCGCTTTATACTTTGTGTTTCGGTTGAGATCCTTTAGGTATACAAGTGTTAATGAATTGGAAATTTGCAGCCATAGGACTTCCCTCACCATGTTTCTTTCCATTCCTTTCGCCCAGTATTTCTTCCTCAAGTATGAAAGACGTTATGGGTCTAAACAGTAGCTATCCGCTAAATATCAAAACTCGATCACATTCCTTGAAAACAACGAGTCTTGTCGCCTCTAAAAGAGACATTTGCCATGGACTCATCCCTTTTAAATAAAACCCTCACCACCTCCTTAAGCATTAAATTTTCCGATTTTGGCTGATGTGCCTTTCCTCGTACAGTACCAGGAAGGAATTGAAAGAAGTAACGAGGCATCTATTGGGAGCCATGCAAGGGAACTCCTAAAATCCGGTACCAAACTCTGACAGAGAATCTCTTGATGTGAACCGTGTAATCTTGTCCAGTTCTGAGTGTCTTCAAGTGTAACAAGGCAGTACTACCTAGAAGTTCCGCAAGAATGATGATACAGCCACTTCTGCGTGGGTCTCCTCGTAAGCAATCGTCTTAGTTTAAAATCGAGGTAATTATGGAACATTCTTTCTCCGTCACTGACATCTCCATTTTTGTCGAATTTGAGTCTGTTATGATCATGCATCAGTCACATAAAACATTCAGTCATTAACTGAATCAGACTTGAAAACAAGAGCTGAAAATTTAAATGATGGTTGCTATCATTATTATAGTGAACGTCCTAGGTCAAGTTTCACTTCACTGGACCGTTTTAGTTTCTTCGTAATGGTGTAAATAGGTGTGGTTTAAAGAAAGTGCCGTTGTTCTGGACAAGTGAGTCTGGCTATTTCCAGAGATCCTAGCCGGGAAGATTCTTTCTAGGCGTAGTCCTTTCAGTTAAGTGCTAACGATTGTATATATGTATAGATATTTAGAAACTTTTCGGCTTGTTCTTTACTGATTCAATTCAATTTAGAATAGGTGGTATTTCACTAAAAAAGAAACAGTAATCGCAATTGATGGAGGGTAGCCTATCCAAGACATTCAAGGAATTTTAGATATCTTGCCCGTGTAACGTGTAAGTGTTTTACTGACTTTATAATAATGAGAATGGTAACGGTTAAGTATTGCTAACTTTTATTATACCCCATTAGTTTGAGTTAAGAACATTAAAACAACATTTGTGATGTTGCTGACAGCTTTTAAATTCCTTGTTAAATTTTAAATAGATTAAAAAACTGAAATAATCCAACAAGGTCAGTAAAACGCCTCAAAAAGACAAGGTTTCTGATAAATAAGTAATTGTTGGTTGACATCATATAATCATGAGGCTCGATTCGATAGTTTCTACTACTGACACGAACGTCCGAAAGGACTCCATCATCCTCGTTCCCAGAAAGGTACAGCAAGACGGAAATTTCGTCTTCAAACGCGAAGCAAGGGCTTTGAAAGAGGACATGGGCGCTGTATGATTTCCTCCGAACTTCGTGTTCGCATTGACTTCGTTCCTTTCTCAGCTAAACCTATCGGCAAATCATGATCCATACCTGTAAAACCCGTCAGACTTGTTTCATACAATTAACCAACAGTGTAAAATAAACTGATCCAGATGTCCAACCACTTCAGTAATAACATCAAAAACAGAACCCAGAGTTACAAGTTTTCTGTGTGATTCTTGTCATTACAGCATGTTCGCCGCCTAAAGTTATTTTAAGGTGACTTTCCTCCTTAACCACCAGCATCATTTGATTTCGTGAGTTTTTCTTTTTCTTCGCTGAGCATGCGTTCCTCTACCTCTTTTATGGTTCTGTTCGAATAGATCATTAGATATAAGAGTTTAATTAAAATATTTTGTGAATACCTCTAGATTTCAGACTGAACACGAGGCAACTGCTTCATCTTGTTAGGGCTTATCCCGGTTTCGTTTGCGATAATTAGCCAAGAGTAACTAACACTTACTGTATAGCATGTCGGTCTATCGGTTCCTCACCGTCACAGTCATCCTCATCATCCTCATTGTCATTATATTCATCGTCATCGTCATTGTCGTCATCGATGTCGATGACGTTATCTTCGATGACGATACCTTCGTTATCGATATGATTGTCATTGTCATTATCATAACCTCGGGCCTCTCGATTCGGAATCGAGGCGTTAACCATATTTGACCATGATGCCTCTTACAGCTGGAATTTGCAAGAATGAAACCTAGAGGCAGTGTTGAGGAAATTTGCAACATTTCACGAGACCAAAGACATAATAATTTTGTTTACAGAAGGTAAGATCTTTACTGTTTTATGTTCGCTCACACTGGACGTGAACAACGCAAAAAGGTTTTAGGGTTAGGTTTTTAGCTGTAAGGTCTTAAAATCGGAAGCAAGTAAATTCAATTTCCTTTGTTTTTAGCAGACTTGTTTCAGACACTGAAAAATGTTTCCCAAGCTAGATAAGGACGCGGCCTGTCGTGGTACCAATAGAAATGAGAAAGAGTATGTCTCTTGACAAGCCCTGAAGCATCGTACAGGGTTACCGTGTAAACTAACCTTTCAAGCTCGCTGATCATGGTAGGGTCATCCAGAACCCCTTGCATGCTTTTTTGAGAACCATCCCGAGATCAAACAGTACGACATCCTCGAGACGTTGAACAAATGTGTTTTCCTCAGCTGTTGATAGATCGTAATGTCGACGTATTTCCAAGCCTATTCTTTGTATGGGCTGATTAGCTGTGATTGTCAAAGTCGCCGGAGGTTCGTCGGCTGAAGCAGTTGGCTGCGGATGAAAGGATTTCGTCGTCGTTGGAGCTTCCTCTCGAGAGCTGCGGCTTGTCATGGATCTGACATCGATGATAATACGAAGAGGAGCTGTGATAAGAAGAATTACTTTGGTCAGAATATCATGGTAATCACTTCAACTTCGTCATTCTCTCTGACGAAGGGCTAACGCTCCAAACGTCAGCTTTGAAACTCTTTACGGTGGCCAATTTACGTTATCAACTCAGTTGATAATACTAAATTACCCTGCTGTACTCTTCCACCGACACAGCAGCACAGTTTTTTCTTCAGAAACTTACTCTTATAATGGCGAAGTAGGCTATATAATTCAATATTCACTGAATTTCTTAAAGTAAGCCAGTCTCTTCCTTAAACCGACCTCCTCCTTCTGCCGATGAAGAGCCAGCCCGTTTGTCACCAATTCGCGAAGCTGTTCATTTTGATTCCCCAGGTCTTGAATTTGCCCCTCCACTCGAGCGAACCCTGATGCAAGACTTTCTTTTGTGATCATGTCTTTCTGATACATTTCCTGTAGTTCCTCGGCATTTCTTGCAGCCTCTGGGGTTAAGGGATCATGCCGCAGCCTGTTGATTGCTTCTTCCCATTCAAGTTTTGTTTCTTCGCTGATATGGGAAGCTATACGTAAAAGGACTATTTTTATTTCATCCCAGAGTGAACAAAATTCTGCATCACTCGACTCTCCGCTGTGAAACTTATGAATATTATCATTGCAGTAAAACTTAATTCTGACGATGTCTGCAGTCGAGCTAAAATCACCTGTACTTGGGGGACAATCCCATCCGCTGCACAGAGGAGGTAGTTGCGTCGGACAAAGAGTTTTTAATAGTAGAGAAAGGAGGCTGATGTCAAAGTCTCTTGATTCTTTAAACAATCCTGGTGCTGTATAAACAAGATCACGTTGAGGCTTGAGAAGAACGTAGCGCAACTTTTGCCTGGTGGCAGACCCACTGAGTTTGTTGCCAATATTTTTCTCTTGGAAGTGAAAGTGTTAATGAGGTGAAATAATTATCTTATTGATTTCGTATTCAGGATGGTGACTCCCTGGATCAAATATTGAAAAAGGCTGATCTAGTACATGAGGATATTTTGGGAGTTATCACAATTGCGGTAAGAACTAGTTTATATTTTATATATATTATGTATAGCAGATAGTAGGACAATTACCTATGTGTAGTCCAGGATTAATGTACACAGTATTACCTCAAGGATAAGAAAAACCTTGAATTTTGAGAAAGGGGAATTTTACGTCCAAAATTATGCTGCAGCCATCAAGGCTGAAAAAAGAAAAGAAAGATGTAAAATCCAGCTTTATTTATGGGATTGGATTCAAATTTAGGTTGTCTTGCACTGTGCAGAGAGAGCAAGGAAAACCACATGCTCAAAAGGTAATCCTCCTTTCTGTGGAATAGTTAGACATGTAACTCTCTATGTATTGTACTTGTCTGGCTATAAATTTCTGTTCAAACAAGACTTTGCATATGCAGGGCTCTAAGATCAATTTTTGGGTTGTGAAATATGTTTCTTACCCAGGTGTCAGTTGTATGAAAATTGTTCTCTTACAGATTTTAAAGGTTTAAGCTACCTTAGAGATAACCACAATATTATACACAGAGGTAGGTGTTGTAACCATGGTAAATTGTTATTGGTACAAAATTGCTTGTTCCATCCAGAAGGCAACATCCTCTTACTAATGAGTGCTGCAGTGTACATCTATTTAATAATATTATTAATGCATTGTACATCTATTTAATAATAATATATAGATTTAGCCAATGATATAATTATATAAGATAAGTGAATGATTAACATTTGATTGTTTTTGTTACCGGTACTACTTAATTAAGAGTGTAATGGATTTATTACCATACTGCAAGTTTTTTTCAGTGATGAGGTTGAATGATTATGCTTTACTACTTTTGAGCAGGATTGTTTGATGCTTCTACTACATTCAGTCAAACCTGTATTAAGCAGCACCATATTAAGCAACCACCCTGTATTAAGCTGTTGGTAGTTTAAGTCCCAAAATCTTTTCCCATGAATTGCTGTAATTTTCACCTCAAGCCTGAAATACAGACAGGCCCAACAGCCTATTTGAACAGTCACTTAAAGCAGAGCCACACAAATAAAACTCAGAGTAACCTTTCAAGTCATTTCATTCATTCTGTGTTTATCTTCCAAAATCAATTTTAGCACCTTAAGTTAAAATGTCCAAAGGGTATTAAAAATTATCTTTCTTCTTTGGATTGTTAGGAAAATATTATGTGCGAACATCATGCAAGTCATTTGCTGGTCACCTTTATTGAACAGTCACCCCACCATTCCCCATGGGTGACCACTTAATACAAATTGGACTGTAGATTGCAATGGGCAACCATCCAACTCATTTCTTGACAAAGATGTGAATCAAAGCAGTTGAGATATTGCATGCCTTCCATGATAGCTTTCCCTTCATTATTGATAGTGACCTAAAGTTGTGAGACAATCGATTAAATAAATTTATTTATCATTTGTACACCCTTGTGAACTGAATTCCTGGTTTTCTGGGAATTCCTAGGAATTCTCAAAAATTCCCAATTATGCAAATAACCCTTGCAAACTGAATTCCCAGTTTTCTGGGAATTCCTAGGAATTCCTAGGAATTCTCAAGAATTCCCAACTATGCAAATAAGCTCTGATTTAAAAAGCTTGGAGTTACTGGGAATTTCTGGGAAAGGAAGACTCCAGTTTTGTGAACACTTGGAATTCCTAGGAATTCTCAGCTATACAAACTACCTATAATTTAAGAAGGGTGGAATTCTTGGGAATTTCTGGGAATTGAATTTGAGGCAATTTAAATACCCTGAGGTCCACATAAATTCTAAGAAATTTTCAATACCTTGAATGTGAAGGTTTTAACAAAAAGAGTAATTTCAGATGCTTAAAACTTTGGCTCAATAAAAGGTATGCTATACAAAATTTACCAAGAGATATACATACATGTATATGTTTATAACTTAAAGATCATGAAATTTATTATCCAAACTAAGTTTTAGTAAATCTCTACATTAATATGGATTTTCTCATGAACCAGTAGTCAATTATGTTAAATGGAATAGTCAATTATGTTAAATGGAATTGTCAATTAACCCAATGTACTCATATCACAGATTTGCTTTCTAACCTCAAAGGATTCTTGGATTCCATGATCATAAAATATCTTTATTGTGATGCAAAATGTCTCATGTTCACTGATGTGCCAAAATCATCAAACATTCATTAGCTGTTTCTTGGTACACAACTTCCACAATAATTACATTGTTATCTACACTTAAAGAACTTTGTTAGTTATGAACTTAAGTTACTTCCCTAACCTACATTACTGGTTGCCTTTGTTAAAAAACCTTGGAACAGTCAAGCTCAGTTGCCTCAAACACTGTCAGAGACTTTTTGCTGACATTTTTATTTTTTGTTGACATTATTTTTTTCTTTCTTCATGATTGTTGTTGCTGTTTTTTTTTCAGTTTTTTTGCTCTGTTTTTGTGACTGATTGCTGTAATCTGTTTTGCTGATTTTATTCTTACAAAACATTTTTGTAAGAGTTCCAATACTTGTGGATCATCCACACACTTTGCAAACATTTGGCATGCAGACAAGACAGAGGTAGTCAATGTTCCCTTTGAGAAAAAACACCTTTTAAATGACGTCTTCAGTTTACTTTATTTGAAACTCTGATCTGAAAATATTTTTAAAACAAGACTTGTTAGTAGCGAGAAGTACAAACCAAGTTTCCTTTCATAACTTAATGTCTTATATGTCACCATCACTGGATCTCCCAAAAAATATTACATCTTTTTATTTTTGGTGCAAAATACAAGTCCTTCTTTATATACAAATGAAAAGTGCAAGTCACACTTCAATGATAACAGCTCTAAAGTTTACTTGTTGTTCTTCTCTGTCTGTCAGCTATCAACAAAATTGTTTTATACTTTGGACAGTGCACAACTATTTGTGGACCAGAGTTCCAACGCACCTCTGTAATCGCATATAGTTACATCTGTCTCTTGTACAAATGTTTCTCCTTTGTAAGACGCACTGGGATCATCTATGTATCTCTTATACTTCCTAATGTGGTATCCTTCTTTTATAAATATGAGGGTAAAAGACGATTTGTAATCGCATTCAAAATTGTGATTGGCTTGTGTTATTTCTCACCTTTGCCATGAACACAGCTCAAGTGAGTTTCGAGTCTTTGTTTCCTCGACAACTTTCTGCCACAAATCGTGCATTTGTAGTGCAATCCATTCTTGTCGATTATTTCTACATAGAGTGAGCTCACATCATTATTTATATCACCAAGGTATCTATCGTCTAGAAGCGTAGAACCGGTCGGAGAAGTCAGAACAAAGTTGTGCACTTTAATTAACACTGCAATCGGCAAGCCAGCGGATTCACTTTGCTAGCCAATGACAAGTCCTAAAAGGTCCACGTGATCATGCCCGTGTCGGAAACAAAGAAGACTCCATTTGGCGCTCATCTTTGAATGTACTTTTCATCGGTTGATCACTTTTCTCAACTGTTTCGCTTAATATAACATTTGTAAAGATAGGTTTTATTGTGGTTCAATGGGAAAACGCGAACAGCGTGAGTGTTGTAAAAGAAAAGAAAATCGTTGGCGCCGTGGAGTTAAAAGAAGGGACAACAGTTGACATACTGACTGGTACAAATAATGGTCGAGTGGCCATCTGTAAAGCTACGATTTTGAAAGTTCGTGGTGAGTAAAAATTACGATATTCGTTACGTGATCAAAATCTTATAAAAGAATAGATGTAACGGGTTGAATTAAGCTTACATAACGCTCGGCGCAACTGAAACTAGAATAATTCTGAGAATCGAATCGGTCACTTGCATGCCGCAGTTTCTTAAGCTTATGCTTTACAATGAAATCAACCTATCAGTAAGGTTTCAAGATTCCTTTAGTCACGTTTGGGAACACTCAAGATTCATAATAGGAACTGTTATTAAACAAACCTTATTACATAAAGAAGCCCTCCTTGGTAAAAACAAAATATTTTATTCAGCCCTCTTTTAATAAAATCTATGGGAGAGATGTACTAACTCCAATATAAAAGTAATTCAATATAAAAGAGATTTCTCAATTTGAGAATCCAATGAATGCCCTTTTCCTTATAGATATCTTAAAGACCTGGTCTGAGCTTTAAATATATATATAGATTTTTTTTTTCAAATTCAGATGTTATGGAATCCGGATACAAAATGGTCAAGCTTCTTGTAGACAACCTCATTCAAGGCCAACTCACTGTGAGCCCAAGGAAAAAAATACAAACAGCAGCTAAGTTTGCAGTTTAGGATAACTTCATTCTAATATATTGTTACAGTTACAACAGGATTTTAATTAAAAAATCAATTTTATTTTACTGTAATTAACCCCTTCACTCCCAAGAGTGCTTGGTTTTCAAATATAATTTAAGATATTGTATTTTATGGAAAAGAATCAACAGATTTTATTCACAATTTGTGTCAAACCAAATTTAATGATTGATTAGGACTATATTATATGAATAGCTGTAATTGAGGATTAAACCGTATGAAGTTTTCAAGAAAAGAAAAATAAATCAAATTCCATCCTAATATTACAACATGTTGATATTAATAATTAATCAAAAATATTTTACATGTAAACCTTAATGAAGCTTGTAAATAAATTTCATTGAATACTTGAATTTTAGCTGGGTTTTTTTTAATTTAAAGTATTTATTTTATATCATTAGCCTCAAATTTTTACTTAAAATTCCCAGTAATTCTTAAACATTCCTAGAAATTCCTAGGAATTTTTTAAATTTACAGCTTTTCAGGGAAAGTCATTGGTGCTCTGAGTGGCTATAGACTTGGAATTTCTGGGAATTTCTGGGAATTTCTAGGAATTTCTAGGTTTTTAGAACCAGAGTTGTTATGGTTGGGAATTCCCAGTCTGAATTTACCGTGAAAATTCACAAAAATCCATTTTGCAAGGGCAACTAGATAGTTTTGCATACCTGTGAGCTCTCTCCGTCCACATCACAATCTCTTACTAACTGTAACATTTATGGTTGTCAGTGAGTTGTGAAGTAGAGGGAAAAAACAGTAAAGTAGATGGCAAATTTCATGATTACCAGCTCTTATTGAAACTTCTGAACATGTGCGATTGCTGCCTCTAAAAGCTGAAATCATTGGAATGTATGAAGCCCAATTTTTTAACATTATTTACCTAGTATGATTTACCTATCATAGTGGAACCATATTCTTGCCTCCTAACAAATTTAGGCATGTCTTGTCAAATTTAATAGTGTAATCCGGTAAAATTGTGGAATACTCCAACTTCATAAACTTGCTCAAAGTAGTGTGATCATCACAACAAGTGTTCCTTTTTGTTAATCAGATGTGAAGCCCTCAAATATTTTAGTAAACTCCCGCAGTGAAATCAAGCTCTGTGACTTTGGAGTCAGTGGACAGTTAATTGACTCAATGGCAAATTCTTTTGTTGGCACACGATCTTACATGTCGGTAAGGAGAATATGTTGATAAGTGAATGGTAGTTTTGGTATTATGTACTAAAAGAAATTACATGTTTCTAACCTTTATACCTCCTTGGAATGACCAATGAGTAATTTCTCCTTACCATATCAATAGCATTTCAACCAAAGAGGTGACAAGGAGAGAGAAAATATCATCTGGGGATATTGTTTGATTCAAGGCCAAATTCTCATAGCTAGAATTATGATAAGTGTATAGCACACTGTTAGGTGAATTGACAGTGAGATTTTGGGAGTGAAAGGGTTAAAATGTAACAGTTAAAATCCAACATGGAAGCTAAGAAAACAAGAAAACAATCCACAGACAAGTTAAACTGAGGTGGAAAATGCATGATAAGGAAGGCTTAAAGATGTTTCTGATACTCGAAAGGAGATACATGGTACATGTATGTCATTCATAGTGAATGAGGTGATGCCAAAAGTCTTAACAGTAAACTGATGAAAGTCGTGTGAATCAATTTTTAAGGAATTTATCTTGCGAGTTAGTTAGAGGATGGCAATTGGAAGGTATCCAATTCCACCACCTGAAGAAAACAAAAAAAAGTCCATCACATTGAGAATTCCAGGAACAAGGCCACCTGTGAGCAATGATGCAAGGCCAATGGCGATATTTGTTACTGGACTATATTGTGAATGAGGTGATGCCAAAAGTCTTAACAGTAAACTGATGAAAGAAAGTTTATCTTGCGAGTTAGTTAGAGGATGTGCATAAAATTTGTGTAAACAGAGTAAGCAAGTTGAATTGCTTTTCTTCCCTCCATTGTTCTGACTAACCAAATGTTTGAGTAACATATTGGTTGATCAGTTTGATCTCCTAATAATATCTTTGGAGAAGCGTGCATTTCTGTGTTGATGTAAAGTTTGCAGCAAGTTCAGGATTGCTGCATTGTGTAATCATCTCCTTTACTGCTGGGAAAATCTTTGTAGAAACTATGGTATATTATTGAAGAATGGTATATTATTGTCACTGAAGTTATACATTTTTGTTCTTTATTGGATAGCCTCCTCCCCAGCTACCACCAGAGCAATTTTCAGAAGAGTTTTGTGAGTTTGTCAACAAATGGTAGGCAATGTTTCCCACACTCTTCCATATGATGGTTATGAATGATAGTTATTGTCAAACTTGGACATAAATGTTTAGGGGAGTAAGTTGTGGTATATCCAGATGCACTGGAGATCAGGACATTCTAGAAAACAGCTAAATCTCACAGTAATCTATTTCAATCTGTTTCAGTCTTGTTAAGAATCCTTCAGAAAGAGCTAACCTCAAAGTGTTAATGGTAAGTTCTGTATGCTATGGAAAACATTTATTTTAAAATAAACTTGGAACTTTTCTTAGGAATTTTACAATAGCATCATGATTTTACCTTTTGAAATGGCAGCAAACCTCACCTTCAGTATGGCATGTAAAGGCAGCATTGAGTTCCAAACAGAAAAGTGAATAATTCATGGCCTGTATGAGGGGTAACAGGTGATGGGTGAGCATCCTATCCAGAGATTGGGCTTATAAGGCAGATTTGTGGTTACACAATTTTACTGTAGAACATTTTGCCAAAGAAGGGAACAACCTAGAAACATAAACTTCCCCCTCTACATTTGAAACTCTGCTGGGTCTTTCATCTAACCAGTTACTTTGCCCAAATATGAAACTGAAGGACTTAACCCTTTATGCCCCAAAATCAGTATACACTTTCTCCATGGTGCTCTGTATACATTTCCTGTAGTACTGAGAAAATTTATTTAACAATCAAGAACCTCTCAAGTTGGTTATTATTTCTTTTATCATCATGACCTTACTGTTTGCCTCAAGAGTGATACAGTGGAGTGAAACTGGATGCTAGTCACTCTTAGAGATTAAAGGGTTAAGGCTACTTTATTTTTAAAAAGGTGGAAAACCAAAAGTGTCACTAATAGCCCCATCCAGAAATTTATGTGTTATACTTTTTACCAGTACTGTTTATGAGATTAGCTGTAAGTTGGACAAAGGTAGTTTTCTTTTTGACTCTGGTGCTGGTGAGATATTTGGTGGTTGAGTGATGTGTTATTTTGTTCATGTTGAGTGGAGTCTACATTGGTTTTAAAATGGGACTGATTTCCAGAATAAAAGAGGGTTGCCTCAAAGCAAAATCATCTAGTTGAAAAAGCCTTAAAGACCACTGCTCTTTTACTCTGTCTTATTCTTCCAGGATCATGTCTTCATCAAGATATCTGAGTCAAAAAAGGTGGATTTTGCTGGCTGGGTTTGTTCAGTTGCTGGTCTATAGCGAGTGACTGGTTGCAATGCTTACTGATGAAAATGAAATGAATTGGAGTATTGGCACAGAACAAGCTTAGTACTCTTATTTAACTTGCATCAAGAAAATGACGGAATACATGAAAAGGTCTTATATGCATTGGAATCTATTAATTGTGGTGTGTATTGGATTCAGAGCAGCGAAAAACTGCCTTGGTTTGGGAGGGAATGTAAACAAGTTGCAGCCTCTTGGAGATGCAAACAATTATCAGAGTTCTTCAGGTATAGAGATTTCCACTACCCTGTAACTGGACGCCTTTGCATTGCAACAGTGCTGTTTACCAGGGAGTGCTGAGGAACTAAATGAAGATCTCAAAATCCTAGATAAGGCAATGATAGGATGGGACCAAGAGGGGTGGAGTTGGGCTAGGTGTTACATGTCCCCAGTCACCCCATCCTATCAGTCATAACTCTAGTTGCATGAAAAATAAGTGGATTTCTTTCTAATAATGTGATTATTGTATATTATTAGCTTTTTGGTGTATGCTGTAATTTCTTACTTTAGTTTTATTGAGGTACTATTCAAGGGTCACATTTAAATTGTTAAAAAAAAAAAGGATGTAAAATCCTAATTGTAACCTCCTCCCTTAAGAGGTATTCCTTGATAGGCGTTCTCATTTGTAAGTACACCTACGTTCTTACCCCCTTAGTCTACATGCTCCCTCAATTAGATCACATTTGCACAATAGTTACAACAAGTCGAGAATGGAGCAAGATTTTTCATCAAATTCTTCTCACCCAGTTCTCCAAAATGTGCAGAGCTGTGATTAACTATGTGAAGAACTGAGAAGGAATTCTCAATTTTTTTTCCTATTTTCTAGTCACAAGAAATTCTTTTTTTTTTTTAATTACAGATTTCTTTAATTTGGCCAGATTGAAAAGGTTGATTGATTTTTCCCTCACTCAAGTCTTAGAGTGGAAAAATTACTCCCTAGAAGTGAGCTTACTTAAAAGGCCCTGAAATATTGTATAAGCTCGGAGATAATTAAAAAGGATGTTACAAGAATGACTGTCGTAGGAATCAGATATGACAGTTGCTGTACTAAATCATAAATTACTTTTTTTTTTGCATCGTCGTGGAGGACATAATAGTCGTCACATAATAGGGAGACTTTTCAGAAACATAGCTATTGGTACAAATGCATGCACATGCAGAGTTCCAATCTACACCTGACTCTTTTCAAAGAGGTTGGGAAGAAGTGCTCGAGTCCCATGTTCTTGAGAGAACAGGGGCTTGTTTCTGGAGAGAGGAAGTCTCTTTATGACCCCGAAAAAGCAGTTCTTTTATTTCTGTCTTTCGTTCAATTTGACAGTTTTGAAAAGCAAACGGGAAATTTCTGGATAGGAAACAAAATGAAATGTTTAAATCTTTTTTAGCTAAAGCCTTGACTGTTTTCCTTACATTTGAATTGCAAGATATTACTTTGGGTCTGTATAATTACCTTTCCACGTGACGCCAACATTCTGTGATGGAGCACTTTAATGAGAGCATTTGGTGGTTTAGTCAACTGTAGATACATTGAGTTTGCATGCTTCGGTAAATATGAGATACAAATGTAACTCCCTGTAAACGAGGAGACATTATAACTATTGAAATTTCTTACTTTTTTGTTTATTCTGACATCTTTATATGCATTTGTTGGACTTTTTTACTGCTTACTCTGAACTTAATCAATTTAATTTTACGTTGTCACAATTTCGAATGTCTAAACTTACCAATTTGCGACCTTGCCCCAAAATATAGCCAAGATCATGGGGAATGATGTCTGTGATTTAGGTTATCATTTTATGTTGTTCATTATTAGTTCTCAAGTTCAAAACTGCAGAAGATATTCTTAAGAGAGCCAAACTTCAGGGGACAATCAATGATGTTTTTTCTACAGAAATGAAAACTCGAGGACAGTGTGGAGTTATTTCTCGTTTAACTTTGGGCAAACCTTTACGTTCTGTTACCTTCGACTGATCTTTCTTTTTAATGATGCGAAGGTTCAAAACTTGTTACCCCTTTCAAAATTTCCACAAATGTTTAAAGTATGATATTTTTTTGCTAGGAGTGAATTTTGGTTCATAACAACGACACAGAAATGGCTTTCAGCCATTATACTAAAAGTAGGCCGACTGTCGACTGAGATGAAGCAAAAAACAAATTCAGTGGATGAGGTCCATTGAAGAGGACTGGTTGCTTGGTTGAAAAGCAAGTGAATTGTACACTGTCTGTATTGCCTCTAAATGCCCTTTGATTCCTGGGCTGAAGCATTGGCTGCTCAATGCTGCGACAATTTGTGATTGCATATTATTTGAAACATGTAAACTTTCAGCGTTTGGTGAGATAAATTTTTTAGTACGAATGATCAGTTGAACTGGTTAGAAATATAGGGGGGAAGGGGCTCAGGGAGAGGCTCATCCTACACCAGACCAATCGCATACCCCTCTTTGTAGTCCCCTGCGTAGTTCATTGGTACAAACAAACCTGTTTTCAATCTCAACAAAGCAAAGCAAATTGGATGTTACGTCATTTTTGGCTGACCTCGGAATGCAATCAATGTACTGCCGTATGGAGTAAAAGAGAAGAAAATTCTGCCGCAAAATAACGGAAAAGCGTCACATGCATCATTATAGACCTATATATATATCAATGTTTGAAAGAGTCGGCGTTCTTTTGGGTAAAAAGGCATTCTGAGAGTTTGTGACACTAAGGCCAGGTGGCCAGTGGAAATAATCAGGACCCTTCTCGAAAACGTGGGAAAATATACTAAAAATACGACGAAAGACCCAAACTCAATAAGGCCTTGAATGAAATTTAACTATAGTTTGGATCGTAAGCATGATGGAAGAAGCCTCAGTTTACTTTTAAGTTTATGGGACCGTTTAAAGGCGAGTTGGGAGATAAGTTGGCCGGAGAGGAAAAAACAATTTGGATTTATGGCCCATTTTCAGTTACGTCTTAACCCCTGCAATAATCAAATGAAGAGATTTATACGCTTTGATGGCTCCATCAATCAGATCAGTTTACAGATCTGATTGAGGAAGCGACGAATCAGAACCGTGTTCGTCGAATTGCGATGCATTTACAAACATTCTTTAACGTATTTTCAACCTTTCAGTCAGCGTTACATTGACGGGTTCAGTAAAAATGATAGCATAGTAATCCACTTAGGATGCCACGTGCAAACCTTTGTGTCAGAAGGCCTCTAAGTGCTAAGAATGGGAATATCAATTCACTGAATGTTTATCTCTGACAGAAACTTAAACGTGTGTAAACGACTAGCATTGTTGAGATCAATAGTTGAGAGGAAGCATTTCTGTTCTCTTCCTTTAACCCTTAAATACTCAAGATCTGATTGTTAATTCTCCCTTCTAGTTGCTACACATTTGTAAATAAGTTATGAGAATTTGATGTAACATTAAGAGAACTTCTGCCTGATAAGTTTCAGTATTATCATCATCTGTTTGTTGGATAGTGTTTGGATATTATAAGGAGAAGTTACGTGAATCAGTCACTTTTGAGAGTTTTTAAATTGTCTAATATTTTGGTCTGATTCTTTCAATGCTGTCATGCCACCTAATAAATTACCATGAGTCGCAAACTGAAATGGTTTTCAATGTATCATGGCATAAGTTGTCCTGGACCAGATGGGTTTCAAAATATTATGACATCTGTTAGTTATAGTTTCCCTCATGGGTTGATAGAAAGAAGGGTTATAATCAAGTGGTTCTACAGGCTCTAGTGTATAGTTTCCCATGAGATACAATGTACAAATGGCAAACTAAAAGACATCTTGGTTAACAAAATGGGAACAACTATAACTGAAGAATATGGTACAACAACAAGTACCACATCAACAATAGCAGCAATAACACATCTCCTCTACCTAGAGGGCTACAGCCTTTGCCTCGCTTTCTAAGCCTTACTGATCAGCTTCTGTGGTACTTCCTGTAATGAGTTCCTCTCAACACGATGTGGCGATATTCTCGTGAAACAACGGGGTAACCGTAAAGCTGAATGAAATTAATCTCAGGTAAATTACGGAGATGGCTCGACCATCCAAGGGCTGAAATCTTTACCATAGTTGCTTCGTGTTTGAAGTCGCTCTGGTTTTGTTCTAGGTCCTGGACATCTGTAAGTAGTTCTCGGTTTTCTCCACTACTCAATGGAAGGACGTATGACATCAGCAAAGTATAAACTTTCGACACTAAGTCGGCTCTAATTCCGCCCGTCGATTTTGAAATGGATTTTAAAATATCCCTGAGATCTTTTGCTCCGAGTTTCTGTATGTCATCTAATGGCGAAATTTCCATAATGTTGTATTAAAGAACCGTTTTGAAGGGAGAAATTGCATTGAAAAGTGCATGGAAAGAAGTGAAATGTCAGCAGATCAGCTGTTTGAAAGAACCACCTGGTCAACCCCAGCCTCGTTATCGTGTGTGCGCGTTTAACTAATCCAATATGGCGCAGGGAACTGTAAAAAGGTCTATTGCGATGCATTTACGAGCATTCTTCAACGTATTTTCAACCTCTCAGTCAGCTCTACATAGCAGGGTTCGGTGAAAACAAGGTAAGGACAGAACATTTAAGGTTTAACTGTGAAGGTGACATTAGGTTTCCGATAGGTTTTACCGGGTCCGTCTGGAATTGAAAGGGTCAGAGCGCCTACGTTCGACTCGGCGAATTTCGATCACAATCGTAATTTGTATTTGCTTGACTTCTCTCTGGGGCTGATGATAGAAATTTATTCAAGAGACGTTTCAATGAGCCAACTAAGCACGTTCATATCGATTGTAGAGGAATTTCAAAGTTATAAGACATGACAACATTTGTTAACGCACCAAGGATTTTTATTTCCGCTTTCGCTTAGAATCCGTGGAAATTACACTTAAATGTTAAATACCCCTACAGGGTTAGGTCTTTGGACGATTTCTGTGTCACTATGTTGCTACTTTTCATTTAAAACGAGGCAAATATCTGGCAGTTTGAGGGATGATCATTTAAGTGTAAGTATCATGTCGAAAGATGCCGTGTTGTTGTGTTTGGAGCTGTCCAAACTTCGTGAATAGTTAACATTCAATTTGGTCTATGCAGATCAACGGTCAGTTTGTTACCATTAAACTTCATTTACGCTTTGTTTAAGAACTTTTGAGGTATTCCAACAGATCTTCTGTCGAATAATGATGGAGTCATTAATCCGGTTTAACTAACGTAGTTCTAAGATTCCAAGTACTGATTATTTATTTAAGACGGAACTGCGAGAAGAACAGTTAGTATATTGTTTTATTATTTTATGATCCTGTTGGAATTCTGTCTCTAGCTTGAAAGACTTGACATTCGTTCAATTACGAGTTGGAAACAATATGACAGTTTCATCGCACCTTGAAAGTATGCTAATTCTGAAAATACCTGAAGGAAGTAAATCAATAGCTCGGTTGTGGTCACAGCACGACCTTAGCAAACCATGACGGCGACGGCGACGAGAACGCGACAAAACAAAACATTTTACGAGCAAAGAAAAAGCTCTGCGCGTGCGTTTAACAATTTGTGCATCTCAGCGCCCTCGGCAAAATATCAACATACACAGTCACCCAAATTTGCGTGGTGAGAGAACAGGAAAACCGACCACGAGTTGTTTATGTTTCTGTTTAAACTCAATAGGGTGAAGAGCGCGGCAAACAAAAGATTTCACGAGCAGAAAAAGCAGAGCAAAAGCTCCGCATGTATGTTAAAAACTTTGTACACCTCTTAAACACCATCTTACAGTCACCAACATTTGTCTTGTCTGACAACGGGAATACACTATTCAAAACTCAACGCCGCTTACACATGTTACATGTTATGCTGAAGTCCAGGTCTGGCGTCGTTAGAGATAGTAGAGATCACCTCCCATTCGCTTAATTATTGAGATAAATACCGATTCCCTTTTTAATCGACCTCATCCTTTCCGTCGTTGAACGGACTGCTTAAGGTACTTGGTGCCTCAGTCGTACGTGGTACATATGGGTCTCGAAGACACAAAAACGTGGTCAAATTTTATTTCACCTCGGGGCAATTTTCAACCCGAGCGAATCGTTATTGGCACAGCTTGAAATAATGAAAATGCCTCTGATGGGATCTCCCTACCATGGCTGGTCTAACAGCGTGCTAGGTGTACACATGACATCACATTCAAACAGAAAAGTCGACGCCAAAGTGATTTACATGCGGTTTATCTGAATGTTGTTCATTTAACACTCACAATTAACAAATCAAAGACTACTTGTCTAGTTTTCGTTCCGCTCGCTTAGAAGGGCGTCTTAGAAATAAAACGGGCAGCAGGCCTCATCCCCAAGGCCCCTACTCAGCTTTTTATGGAAATAAAATAAGACTGCATGCATAACCAGTTATACTTCGTTGAGAACTCAAAACTAACTGCCGCTTCCGCTTCTCTTTTTCGGAATATAACAGAAAAGCGTCACATGCATCGATATTGACCAATACATATCAATGGTTGAAAGAGTCAGTGTTCTTTAATTTTTGGGTAAAAAGGCAGACTTAGAGTTTGTGACACTAAGGCCAGGTGGCCAGTGGAAATAATCAAGACTCCTTTTGAAAACGTGGGAAAATATACTGAAAATACGACGAGAGACCCAAACTCAATACGGCCTTGAATAAAATTTATCTATAGTTTGAACCGTAAGCATGATGGAAGAAGCCTCAGTTTATTTTTAAGTTCAGGAGACAATTTAAAGGCGAGTTGGGAGATGAGTTGACCGGAGAGGTAAAAACAATTGGATTTATGGCCCATTTTCAGTTACGTCTTAACCCCTGCAGTAATCAAATGAAGAGATTTATACGCTCTGATGGCTCCATCAATCAGATCAGTTTACAGATCTGATTGAGGAAGCCATCAATCAGAACCGTGTTCGTCGAATTGCGATGCATTTACAAGCATTCTTCAACGTATTTTCAACCTCTCAGCCAGCGCTACATAGCAGGGTTCAGTGAAAACAAGGTAAGAAAAGAACATTTAAGGTTTAACTGTGAAGGTGAAATTAGGTTTCCGGTTGGTTTTAACGGGTCCATTTGGAATTGAAAGGGTCAGAGCGCCTACGTTCGACTCGGCGAATTTCGATCACAATCGTAATTTGTATTTGCTTGACTTCTCTCAAGGGCTGATGATAGAAATTTAGTTAAGAGACGTTTCAGTGAGCCAGCCAAGCACGTTCATATCGATTGAAGAGGAATTTCAAAGTTATAAGACATGACAACATTTGTTAACGCACCAAGGATTATTATTTCCGCTTTCGCTTAGAATCCGCGGAAATTACACTTAAATGATAAATACCCGCACAGGGTGAGGTCTTTGGACGATTTCTGTGTCACTATGTAGCTGCTTTTCATTTAAAACGAGGCAAATATCTGGCAGTTTGAGGGATGATCATTTAAGTGTAAGTATCATGTCGAAACATGCCGTGTTGTCGTGTCTGGACTTGTCCAAACTTCGTGAATAGTTAACATTCAATTTGGTCAGTGCAGATCAACGGTCAGTTTGTTACCATTAAATTTCGTTTACGCTTGGTTTTAAGAACTTTTGAGGTATCCAACAGATCTTCTGTCGATTAATTATGTAGTCATACTTGCTCATTAATCCGGTTTAACTAACGTAGTTCTAAGATTCTAAGTGCTGATTATTTAGTTTAAGATGGAACTGCAAAAAGAACAGTTAGCTTATTGTTTTATTATTTCATGATTCTGTCGGAATTCTCTCTCTAGCCTGAAAGACTTAACATTCGTTCAATTACGAGTTGGAAACAATATGACAGTTTCATCGCACCTTGAAAGTATGCTAGTTCTGAAAATACCTGAAGGACGTAAATCAATAGCGCAGTTTTGGTCACAGTACGACCTTTAGCAAACTATGACAGCGACGGCAACGAGAACGCGACAAAACAAAATATTTTACGAGAAGAGAAAAAGCTCTGCGCGTGCGTTAAACAATTTGTACATCTCAGCGCCCTTGGCAAAATATCAACATACACAGTCACCCAAATTTGCGTGGTGAGAGAACAGGAAAACCGACCACGAGTTGTTTATGTTTCTGTTTAAACTCAATAGGGTGAAGAGTGCGACAAACTAACAGGGACTCCACATCTGTCACGACTACAACTACTATACCCTACATCAAAGGCACTTCTGAGGCTATCGCGCGGATCCTACAACCTTACAACATTCGCGTAGCTCACAAGCCTATTACTACTTTACGACATTTACTGACCAACATTAAAGACAAAGACGAACCCAACAACAGACAGGGAGCGATTTATAAGATGAAATACTCCGACTGCCAGGCCTCCTACATTGGTGAGACTGGTAGAATCCTTAACACGCGACTAACTGAACACAAACGAGCAACTAGAAATGGCGATGTAAACAATCACATTTCTGAACATCACCGACAAACTAATCACAGAATCGACTGGAACTCTGCTAAATGCTTAACCTACAGTACAAACTATTCTCAACGACTGACTCTGGAAAGCTGGTTTACCAACTTAGAACGGACGCCTCTCAAAAGATGTCAACAACTACCGGCACCTTACAAACGACTCATTAACGACGTGAACAAACCGACAAACAGACCGACAAACAACAGACGGATCGAAACCGACCAATGACTGTGAACAAACTCTACACGAGTCTTCCAGCCAATCACATCACGGCTAAACAGACCAATCACGTTCAACAGACCAGACTTTATAACATCATCGACTGACAACTACACTTCACTTCACTCTGAAGATGACTTCCGCACAGGTTGTCGAAACGTCAGTCACCAACAACAGTTCTTTCCAGAACTACACTCACTCGGACGATCACACTATATGAACTACTGATACTCCTGGGTTCAAACCATTTACTTTACTCACACTAATTAACAAATCAAAGACTACTTGTCTAGTTATCGTTCCGTCCGCTTAGAAGGGTGTCTTAGAAATAAAACAGGCAGCAGGCCTCATCCTCAAGGCCCCTACTTTATATGAAAATAAATATGACTGCATGCATAACCAGGTATACTTCTTTGAATGAAATTTATCTATAGTTTGAACCGTAAGCATGATGAACCGTAAGCATGAAGAAGCCTCAGTTCATTTTTAAGTTTAGGAGACCATTTAAAGGCGAGTTGGGAGATGAGTTGACCGGAGAGGAAAAAACAATTTGGAGTTATCGCCCGTTTTCGGTTACGTCTTAACCCCTGCACTAATCAAATGAAGAGATTTATACGCTTTGATGGCTCCATAAATCAGATCAGTTTACAGCTCTGATTGAAGAAGCGATCAATCAGAACCGTGTTCGTCGAGTTGCGATGCATTTACAAGCACTCTTCAACGTATTTTCATCCTCTCAGTTAGCTCTACATAGCCAGGTTCAGTGAAAACAAGGTAAGGAAAGAACATTCAAGGTTTAAATGTGAAGGTGACATTACTCTGAGGTTTCCGACAGGTTTTACCAGGTCCGTTTGGAAACAAAAAGGATTAAAGCGCCTACGCTCGACGCGGCGAATTTCGATCGCAATCATAATTTGTATTTGCTTGCCTTCTCTCTAAGGTTGATGATAGAAATTTATTCAAAAGACGTTTCAGTGAGCCAACTAAGCACATTCATATCGATTGTAGAGGAATTTCAAAGTTATAAGACATGGCATTATTTGTTGACGCATCAAGGATTATTATTTCCGCTTTCGCTCAGAATCCGTGGAAATTACACTTAAATGTTAAATACCCCTACAGGGTTAGGTCTTTGGACGATTTCTGTGTCACTATGTAGCTGCTTTTCATTCGAAATGAGGCAAATATCTGGCAGTTTGAGGGATGATCATTTAAGTGTAAGTAACATGTCGAAAAAAAGCCGCCGGTGTTGTCGTTTCTGGACTTGTCCAAACTTCGTGAATAGTTAACATTCAATTTGGTCAACAGTCACTTCGTTAATTACCATTAAATTTCATTTACGCTTGCTTTAAGAACTTTTGAGGTATTCCAACAGATCTTCCATCGATTAATTATGGAGTCATACTTACTCATTAATGCGGTTTAACTAACGTAGTTCTAGGATTCCAAGTGCTGATTATTTAGTTAAGACGGAACTGCGGAAAGTACAGTTAGCTTATTGTTTTGTTATTTTATGATTCTGTTGAAATTCTGTCTCTAGCTTGAAAGACTTGACATTCGTTCAGTTACGAGTTGGAAAGAATAGAAGAGTTTGATCGCACCTTGAAAGTATGTTAATTCTGAAAATACTAGAAGGACTTAAATCAATAGCGCAGTTGTGGTCACAGTACGATCTTTAGCAAACCATGATGGCGACGGCCACGGCGACGAGAACACGACAAAACAAAATATCTCACGAGCAGAGAAAAAGCTCTGCGCGTGCGTTTAACAATTTGTACATCTCAGCGCCCTCGGCAAAATATCAACATACACAGTCACCCAAATTTGCGTGGTCTGAGAACAGGGAAACTGACCACGAATTGTTTGTGTTTCTGTTTTAAACTGAATAGAGTAAGAACGGGACAAACAAAAGATTTCACGAGCAGAAAAAGTGGAGCAAAAGCTCGGCACGTGTGTTAAAAACTTTGTGCACATCTTAAACACCATCTTTCAGTCACCAACATTTGTCTTGTCTGACAACGGGAACACACTATTCAGAACTCAACGCCGCTTACACACGTCACATATTATGCTGAAGTCGAGGTCTGGCGTCGTAAGAGATAGTAGAGATCTCCAGCCATTTTCTAAATTATTGAGATAAATACCGATTCCTTTTTAATCGACCTTTTCCTTTCCGTCGTTAACCGGACTGCTCAAGGTACTTAGTGCCTCAGTCGTACGTGGTACATACGGGTCTCGAAGACACAAAAACATGGTCAAATTTTATTTCACCTCGGGGCAATTTTCAATCTGAGCGAATCGTTATTGGCACAGCTTGAAATAATGAAAGTGCCTCTGATGGGATCTCCCTACCATGGCTGGTCTAACAGTGTGCTAAGTGTACACATGACATCACATTCAAACAGAAAAGTCGACGCCAAAGTGATTTACATGCGGTTTATCTGAATGTTGTTCATCTAAAACTCACAATTAACAAATCAAAGACTACTTGTCTAGTTTTCGTTTCGTACGCTTAGAGGGGTGTCTTAGAAATAACACTGGCAGCAGGCCTCATCCCAAGGCCCCTACTCAGCTTTTTATGAAAATAAAATAAGACTGCATGCATAGCCAGGTATATTTCGTTGAGAACTCAATGCTTTCTCCCACAGATGGCAGGGCGACCAGATCCACCTGCTGGAACACCAATTCAAGAAAGTAATCCAGGAACCCTGGAAGCTTCAGGTCAATATCTGTCATTTTTTATGTTAAGATATGTTTGTAACAAGTGAAACTGACAATAACTTAATTGTTGGATGACATACTCTTATTTGGTCGGTACATACACTGTCCAAGGATAGAAGTAGCCGGCAAAAGATGTGCGGGCCGCTGGCAAGAAAAAAAAAGATGAGAAGAGAAGGTGACACCTTAGAAAATGGATGTGAAAAGGGAAGGATGAGAGTATATAATAATAATAATAATAATAATAATAATAATAAAGGCAAGATAAGCTTGAGGAGGAATAGCGAGAATGTGTAGTGAGAGAATAGGAAGACAGCTTGAGTAGCTGTTGCTTTAATTAATGACATAACGTTTCAGCTGGTTTCTGGTTTCAGGTGAGTCATCAAAACCAGTTGAGGAAACTTCAGCAGGTATTTTCTCCTTCTGACACTGTTTCTCTTACCCACCATTCTCTGTTAATGGAAATTACGGCATGTATCTGTGAGGTTTAACTGATTTTCCACTGCAAAATTTTGCATTGATTTACAGGAATCTGTAGAAATTTATCTCTTCTTCCCCGAACGGTACCACATTTCGTCAATCGCGAAACAGAATGCGACAAAATCAGAGAATACCTTTCTTCACTGCACGATTGCAGATGCCTTCTCATACATGGTGCCACTGGCATGGGGAAGACAACTGTGGCGATTAAAGTGGCAAACGACATACTGAATTCTGACGGACGTACTGTGGTGATCTACGTCAACTGTAGAAACATAAAACTATTTGATGATTTTGCAAAGGAGGTTCTTCAGCAAGTATATCACTTTCCTGTGGAGAATCCAATAGCTGAGCTGAAAAATCGCTTGAAAAGCCAAGATTTTTACACGATTTTGTTATTGGATAATTTTGAATTTCTTCTTCATTTGGATGACAGAATGCAGCTCCCCGAAAATGAATTGTCACTCCAGCAGATGAACCCATCTGAGGAAGGATCGAGGATTAAGAAACTAATCAATGAAATTTTAAAGGTTGCAGGCAAAGTCAAGCTTCTCCTCACTTCTTCAGAGAAAGTTTGTTTTCCGGAGGCAGGTCGAGAAATGGTTCATCTGTCGCCTTTTAAGCCAGAAGAATCCGTTGAGCTTTTTAAAAGAGTTTGGAAGGATAGGCAAGTCGACACAACCCAAGCACATGGCTTGTCAGAGATTTGCAGTGGTATTCCCCTGGTCCTTTACACCCTGGCCTCCTCCCACAATAACCTGCTAAGTCTCTTGAAAGAGATGACCTGTTCTTCGCCTCAAGAAAAATTCGAGTTCTTGACAAAGATTCAAACGGTATCGGAGAATATGAAGATCAACGTTTGTATCGATTATTGCTTCGAGAGGCTTGTTTCGAAAGAAAAGTGTGCCCTTATCAGATTTGCATTACTTAGAAGGCGTTTTTCTCTGTGTGAAGCAGAGAAAATATTTCAATCAACGGAGATGAGTGCGTCCCAGCTCAGACGATGTGGACTGGAACTGTCCCAGCGATCACTTTTAGAAGAACACATTATTGGGGATGAATGCTCCTATACCCTCCTTCGAGTAATTCGTGATTATTGTGAAACTAAAGCAATGGAGCAGGAGTTTTGTGAAGTGATCCTAGATGCTCGGAGGGCGTTTATCCTTCATTTTTTAACCTTTCTGGAAGACATCTTTAAAATGTTCCTGAGCCAGAACGCGTCAGAAGCTATTGCAGCCTTTCAGAAAGATGAGGCAAATGTCATGCAGCTCGTTGAATGGTGCAGAAATGGTCAAATGGATGAAGAACAAACAGGAAAGTGCATTGATGTTTTCAACAACGTGGCGGAGCTACTGGCGAAGATGATGGCAAAGGCCAAATTTAAATTTGCCTTTGAATCTTTACGAACGAGATGCGAACAGATGGAAGATCAGACGAGACTGAGCGATTGCCTCACATCCTTGGGGATGAAAGAAGTATTCAGCTGCTCCTGTCCTCCAATTGGTCTGTGTGCTTCCGCCGCTGAAAGAGCCAAAGAATACTTCACGAGGGCTGACCAAATCCAGGATAATCTTGGAGTTAGAACCGGTAACAGCCGAGCTCAGTGCCTTGCCAAACTTGGTCGATGTCTCGCCAAAGAAGGCTATTTTGAGGAGGCAAATGAAAAAGTCCAACAGGCAATCAACATTCGATGGGCTCAAGGAGAGAATGACATCGTTATGCTCGGTGCAACGTTTAATGATCAGGGAGGTAAGTGTACAAAATGATTAAGTACCAAATTAATTTGCGAGCACAATGATCATACATTTTGCAAGGCAGTTTGTGAGATCGTATTTTAAGGTTATATTGAGCATTTGTTTAAGTATGAATCTTCAAAATCGATGATAAAAGATTCACGATTGAAAATGATGTACAAATTGTGGCCTGTGCTCTGAGCGAAAAAAAGCAAGAGAAGCATCCAAATCCACCATTATGATTCTAGCCTCTCATTAGTCAAGATTCAACTGAATAGCCGTCATTCATTTAGTCTGGACCTTGAAAGGATGCTTAGAACATTGAGAAAGTGAATTGTATTGAAAAGTGTCTTGATAATGTTTGTAATCAACTACTAGATAAACGAAATCCTTCACACGAATTATAATGTATACTATTTTAAAGGGGTTTACGGCTGCTTCAAAAATCCTTTCTTTAGGAAAACTAAAATCACTTTTACTACCTCTCTTTATATCTTCATGGTCAGCCGAAAATGACTGAATTGGAATTATTGTATTATTTTATCATTTCTTGAAGGATAAGCATCTTTACATATTCAGTGATAAAACTGTGATTTCCTTGTTAGTGATCCTTTCGCTCGAGGAAAATCATGAGCAGGCAATCAAGGTCAGAGAAGAACAGACGCTACCCATTTACAGAAGAACACTGGGTGAACATCCTTTCACTGCAACTATCCTCAACAATCTGTCAAACAATTATTATGCCCTGAGAAAGTACAACGATGCAGAACGATATTCGAAAGAAGCGTTGGAGATTCGGCTCAAGTTGCTGAAGGACCATCGAGACACCGCTAAGTCGCTTTTTGACCTTGCGATGGTCCATAAAATGAAGGAAGAACTCGAACCAGCCAAGGATTGTCTTGAAAGATGCGAGGCCATGCAAAAGAAAATATTGGATGAGGGAAACGACGCTTTTAAAAGGTAAACAACTGTCTATCACTATAAACTTTGCGTTTCAGTAGGGCTCCTTTAGGCATGCATGTGTTGATGAATTAAACATTAACACCTTTACCCACCTCCTTAATTCTTTAGCTACTGAGATCTCATTCTTAATTCTCCTCTCTGGCGGCTTCATATTGGTGTTAGATCAAAATAACTTCTTCCTGATAAGTGTTAGTATTCTCACTACCTGTTTGCTGGACAATGTGTGGATATTATTGGGAGAAGTTACATGTTAATCACTTCTGGGAGTTAAAGGGTTAAGCGTTAAATTTTCCGAGTTTTTGGTTGATGTGCCTTTCCTCGCACAGGACCAGGAACGAATTGGAAGAAGTAAAGAGGCATCTATTGGGAGCCATGCAAGGGAACTCCTGAAATCCGGTAACAAACTCTGACAGAGAATCTCTTGATGTGAACCGTCTAACCTTGTCCAGTTCTGAGTGTCTTCAAGTGTAACAAGGCAGCACTCCTTCGAGGTTCCGCAAGAATGATGATACAGTCACTTCTACGTGGGTCTCCTCGTAAGAAATCGTCTTAGTTTAAAATCTAGGTAATTATGGAACATTCTTTCTCCGTCACTGACATCTCTATTTTTGTCGAATTTGAGTCTGTTATGATCATGCATCAGTTACATTAAGCATTCTGTCATTAACTGCATCAGACTTGAAAACAAGGGCTGAACATTCAAATGATAGTTGCAATTATTATTATATTGAACGTCTTAGGTCAAGTCTCACATCACTGGACCGTTTTAGTTTCTTCGTAATGGTGTAAATAGGTTTGGTTTAAAGAAAATGCCGTTGTTCTGGACAAGTGAGTCTTGCTATTTCCATAGATCCTAACCGGGAAGATTATTTCTAGGCGTGGTCCTGTCAGTTTAGGGCTAATGATTGTATATATGTATAGATATTTAGGAACTTTTCGGCGTGTTCTATACTGATTCAATTCAATTTAGAATAGGTGGTATTTCACTAAAAATGAAACAGGAATCGCAATTGATGGAGGGTAGCCTATCCAAGACATTCAAGGAATTTTAGATATCTTGCCCGTGTAACGTGTAAGTGTTTTACTGACATTATAATAATGAGAATGGTAACTGTTAAGTATTGCTGACTTTTATTATACACCATTAGTTTGAGTTAAGAACCCCAAAACAGAATTTGTGATGTAGTTGACAGCTTTCAAATTCCTTGTTAACTTTTAAATAGATTAAATAACTGAAATAATTCAACAGGGTCAGTAAAACGCTTCAAAAACGACAAGGTTTCTGATAAATAAGTAATTGTCGGTTAACATCATACATTCATGAGGCTCGATTTGATAGTGTCTACTACTGACACGAACGTCCGAAGGGACTCCATCATCCTCGTTCCCAGGACTTTTGGAGATGGAAAAGAGAAAGTCTTGGGAATGACATTATGGTTCCAGTTTTGGCGTCTTCTTGGTGTCGAAGACACAGAACATGTCACAATAGAACGCCGCCTCATTAACCAATTATTTTCGTTGTTTTCCTCTTTCTTTGGTCTTTTTCTTCTCTATTCTTTCATGTAAACTGTGTCTTCTACACTAAGTAAGAGCCCCAGTTTTGTACTGATGCTTGTGTCAAATTATATTGTTTCCAAAACAAACTACATCTGATGTTTTAAACTGACTATTTGTACTGTCACAAATACAAGAACACGTGAAGAAGATTTCTTACACAATTAGCTGAAAAAATTAAAAAGTCTGCAAAGGTTACAACTTAATACAAATTTTAAATCCCTGTTCAGGGGAATCCAATATAGAGAATTCCTAGACAGAATATGTTTTCGAAAGAACGCGACCGTACATAGCGCCTTAGTTTCCCTCGATCTGATGCACCTGCTCATCGTCCTCGTCACCCACAGTAAGACAGTAAGGGGAGAGGAGATTCGCAGAGATGACAATTCAGTATAGGTTTAAATTTCTGAAATTACTTCCATGCAACCAAAAAACATTACCTTAAATCTCTTTTAACTTTGAAGTATTAATTTTGTGAAAAAGCAAATGTAAATGCCTGAATAACAGTCTGCGTGGCTTGGGTAAATTTCATCATTAAACGCGAAGCAAGGGCTTTGAAGGAGGACATGGGCGCTGTGTGATTTCCTCGGAACTTCGTGTTCACATTGACTTCGTTCCTTTCTCAGTTAAACCTATCGGCAAAATCATGATCAATGGCTATGAAACCCGTCAGACTTGTTACATATGATCAACCAATAGTGTAAAATAAACTGATCCAGATTTCCAACCACTTAATAAGATCAAAAACAAAACCCAGAGTTACAAGTTAAATAGTTTTTTGTGTAATCCTTGCGCTTGCATCATGTTCGCCGCCTAAAGTTATTGTAAGGTGATCGACTTTCCTTCTTGCCCAAGAGCATCATCTGATTTCGTGAGTTTTTCTTTTCCTTCGTTGAGCATGCATTCCTCCACCTCTTTTATGGTTCTGTTCGAAAAGATCATTTAATTTAAGAGGTCGATTAAAAGATTTTGTGAATACCTCTAGATTTTAGACTGAACACGAGGCAACTGCTTCATCTTGTCAGGACTTATTCCGGCTTCGTTTGCAATAATTAGCCAAGAGTAACTAACACTTACTAGATGGCATGTTGGTCTATTGGTTTCTCACCGTCATAGTCATCCCCATCATCCTCATTGTCATTATCGTCATCGTCATCGTCATTGTCGCCATATCTGTCGATGACGTTATCTTCGCTAACGATACCTTCGTTATCGATATGATTGTCATTATCATTATTATAACCCCGGGCCTCTCGATTCGGAGTCGATGCGTTAACCATATTTGACTATAATGCTTCTTACAGCTTATTGCAAACACTGCAATTATTTTAGGTGGAATTTGCAAGAATGAAACCTAGTGGCATTGTTAAGGAAATTTGCAACATTTCACGAAACCAAAGACACAACAATTTTGTTTAGAGGAGGTAAGATCTATACTGTTTTATGTTCGCTCACACTGAACGCGAACCAACGCAAAAAATTTTTAGCTGAGGGCTTACTTTAACTGTAAGTTCTTAAAATCGGGAGCAAGTAAATTCAATTTCCTTCGTTTTTTAGCAGACATGTTTCAGAAAAAAATGTTTCCTAAGCTAGATAAGGACGCAGCCTGTCTTGGTACCAATAGAAATGAGAACGAGTATGTCCCTTAACAAGCTCTCACGCAGCTTACAGGATTACCGTGTAAACTAACCTTTCAAGCTCGCTGATCATGGTAGGGTCATCCAGAAACCTTTGCATGCTTTCACATTCTCTCAGGTAAGCTTTGGCATCCTTGAATTCTTCCCTATTTTTGTGAACCATCCCGAGATCAAACAAGGACTTAGCCGTGTCGTAATGGTCTTTCAGCAGCTCACGCCGAATCTTCAGCGCTTCCTCTGAATATTGTTTGGCGATGTCGTACTCACCTAGGGCAGAGTAGTTGTTGGACAGATTGTTCAGGATGGTTGCCGTAAAGGGATGCCGGTCTCCCAAGTGTTTTCTGTATATTTCTAACGTCTCTCCTTCTCTAACTTTTATGGCCTCTTCATGGTTTCCCTCAAGGGAGAGAGCCACTAGACAAAAAGGAAAAAAATTCAAACACTTGTTTTCTGGAAGCAGAAAGAAATATGTTCGTAAGGAAAGGAGCTGAAATACTTTCTCAAACTGATAAAGGTGGGGGAATACTCGCAAAGGTGGGAAGGGGCGAACTTGCACTGAGGTGAAATATCCACAAACCAGAAAAATTTTTATACAACGCTTTGTTGAATTTCCTGTCGGCTTATTCAGCTTGAGAAGAAAGTCTAAGTACGAAACCTCACCCACCTGCTAGGTCATTGTATGTTGCACCTAACATAACAATGTCTGCTTCCCCACGTGCCTTTCGAATGTCGATCGCCTGTCGAATCTTTTCTTTCCCTTCAGTGAAGCTTTGTTCCTTTACGAGACACCGACCAAGTTTGGCAAGACATTGAGCTCGACTGTTACCAGTGCTGATATCAAGATCACATTGGATTCTATCGGCCTCCAGCAGATAGGGCTTGGCTCGTCCAGCAGCTTCATCACACAGGTCTGGAGAGCAGCAGCAACTGAACACTTCCTTGATTCCCAGGGACGTGAGACATTCTCCCAATCTCTTGGGATCTTTACTTTCCTTACACTTATCTTTCAGTTGTGTAAAGGCGCCGTCAAATGTTTTCTTTCCCATCATTTTGCCAAGCAGTTCTCCCACCTTGTTGAAGACATCGGTGCACCTTTTCTCTTGATCTTCCTCCATTGAACCTTTTACACCAAACCAATCGATGAGCTGCATAATGATTTCATCTTCACGTCGGTATTCGACGATAGCCTTTGAGACATCAGTGCTAAGGAAGCTCTGGAAGGTTTCTTCAAGGAAACCAAGAACGTAATTGATGAACATCTTACGGGCGTCGGAAAACACTTCCTGGAAAGGTGTTTCTATGGTCTTGTTCTGGCAGTAGAGGCTGTATACTGTGAGGATACTGTAATGATATGGGTCGGAAATATGCTGCTCCAGAAACGACCTCCTTGCTAGCTCATCTATCGCACCTCTTAACTCAGCAGACTTCAGGATTCTTGAAGCTCTTGAGGTGGTAAAGAGACCTCTGAATACTGTTAGAGACACAAGGGTATTCTGATGGTGTGTATCTAGTCTCTTGAAGCAAACGTCGATACAAACGTCGATCTTCTCATCTTCAGTTGCATCTGAAATTCTTGTAAACTTTTCTTTGCGGTCCGGGTTCGTCAGCATTTCCAGAAGATCTGTTGGGTTATCCTGCCACGCTGCCAAGGCAAACAGGACGAATGGAATACCTCCACAACAATGTGCTATTTTGCAGGCAGTTTCTTTTTCCAGAGGGGTGTCACCATAGACCTTCTTCAACAGTTGTAAAGAATCATCTTCATTGAAGGGAAGCAACTTGATCCACTGCTGACCAGTCTGAAGGATATCGATATTCTTCGATGAGGTCACCAGCAGATGCGCTTTTTTTGACTTTGTAGCGATGTCTCTGAAGAACTTCATGATCTCTGTCTTTTCGGATGGAAATCTTCTTTCAGCCTGCATCTCCATGCTTCTTCCATCGTCCAACTGAACTAAGAATTCAAAGTTGTCAAGCAGCAGTAGAGGATGGAAATTCTCTTCTTCAATAAGGAGACTTTTGATTCTACCAATTGCCGGCTCTCTGAAAGGGAAGTGGTACAGCTGCTTGGCAATCTTCCCAGCGAGATCATCAAGGGAGGCCACAAACCTGCAGTTTACGTAGGCAACCACGGTCTCGGAATCGACATCTAATATCTCGTTTACCGCCTTGACTGCAATTGAAGTTTTCCCCATACCGACAGACCCATGTAACAGGATGCATCTACAGTCGTTCTGTGAGTCGTTCTTATTAAGAAACCGTTTTATCTCGCCGAGCTCTCTCTTTCGGTTGACGAAATGTCGAATAGGACGTGGTAGCAAAGACATCTCTCTACGGACGTCTGAAATATGAAATCATGTACTTTTCGTTATCCATGTTTGGTTCTTGAACGAGGTTGTAGATTAAATTGGGTAATTTAATGTTAAAAACTGAGTTGAAAACGTAAAGGCCACCGTAAAGAGTTCCAGAGCTGACGTTTCGTCGAAGCGAATGGAGGAATTGCGGTGTGTCAATATGAGGAAAATGGAGCAACGCTACTGGTGGGAACATGGTAACCAGAAAAACAAGAATAAAGTACTTGAATGAAAAGCGTTTGTTGATACCGTGAGGATTAAGTGTGTTGTTATGAAAGAGAAATTTTTGCTCTAAAGTTTTACGGCTTTTCGCACTATCTGGATGTAAGGAAAGGTTGCAGATTTCCATATGCTGCTTAGAATGATTAGGGAGATTAAAGCGTCTAGCAACCGGTTTGGATGCATCCCAGTCGCTTCTTTCTACGTCACGAAAGTGTTCACGTAATCGGTCTCCTAGTCGTCTTCTTGTTTCACAATGCATATCTTTTTGCAATTTACGTCGTGATTGCGAGCTTTTGATTGATTCAAAGTAGAATCTTTCAATGCAATGTGACCCAGGTTTTACCACTATTCATGGATTCATGAAAGACACTGTTTAATACCTGTGGGATGCTGAGAAGGTATGTATTCCTCCTCCTTGCCATCATCTTTTTGTCCTCCTGTTTCCTCAGAGTAATCAGAACCTGATAAAGACAATACAAGACTGAAATAAATGGAATCAGATAAGAATTTCGTCCATGGGGATCCACTAACCGAAGGCCAGATAACCTTTATTCCCATCACCCATTAAAAAGCAAAGTCTTATAAGCTCCGAATTTTCACTCCTAATCTCACTTGTTACTGGCCCTCACCTGAGATCACTACGCTTGGAATAAACCCACTTGAGCAAAATAATTCAACTAAATCTAGCATTGAAATATTGAGTAGAAACTTTAATGGCAGAGTCACACCCGGCTTGAATAATAATTCATGTAATACATGCTATAAAGTGTCTCAGATTTATACCAAACAATAACTCGCCAAAAAATTATCTGCGGAAGTCTTATCTAGTATCCACTTCCCTCAGCGCATGGTAATCTGTGGTAAAAGAGAATACACATCGATCATCTTCAAAAAAGAAAAGTGGCTATTAGTTTTATACCTGCACACTTAGCAAAGTGCCTCCGACCCTCCTGGTAATCTTTCTCCGAAATAGCGATCCTGAGTTTAAGTTCAGCGAGTCCAAGATCTTCCAGCACTCTCTCGTTCACGAGGAATTCTTGAGCCACTTTACCGAGATGACCACTGGAGTAATCCTGCCAGAGTCGTTCTAGAATTTCCAGTGAGCTGCATTTGACTGTTAGCACCAAGCTACCGAGATTGACATTCACAATAAGGACTTGGTTAACATCCTCCAGATGTTGAACAAATCCGTTTTCCTCACCTGTTGATGAATCGTAATGTCGACGTATTTCCAAGGCTATTCTTTGTACGGACCGATCAGCTGTGATTGTCAAAGTTGCCGGAGGTTCGTCGGCTGAAGCAGTTGGCTGCGCATGAGAGGATATCGTCGTCAATGGAGCTTCCTCTTGAGAGCTGCGGCTTGTCATGGATCTGACATCGATGATAATACGAAGAGGAGCTGTGATAAGAAGAATTACTTTGGTCAGAATATCATGGTAATCACTTCAACTTCGTCATTCTCTCTGACGAAGGGCTAACGCTCCAAACGTCATCTTTGAAACTCTTTACGGTGGCAAATTTACGTTATCAGCTCATGCAGTTGTTAATACTAAATTACCCTGTTATACTCTCCAACCGACACAGCAGCACAGTTTTTTCAGAAACTTACTCTTATAATGGCGAAGTAGGCTATATAACTCAATGTTCACTGAATTTCTTAAAGTAAAACAATCTCTTCCATAAACTGACCTCCTCCTTCTGCCGCTGAGGAGCCAGCCCGATTTTTCACCACTTCACGAAGCTGTTCAATTTCATTCTCTATTCTATCAAGTCGTTCTTTTCCTTCTTCAGAGGAAATTTGAATTTGCCTCTCCACTCGAGCGAACCCTGATGCAAGACTTTCTTTTATGATCATATCCTTCTGATACATTTCCTGTAGTTCCTCGGCATTCCTTGCAGCCTCTGGGGTTAAGGGATCATGCCGCAGCCTGTTGATTGCTTCTTCCCATTCAAGTTTTGTTTCTGCGCTGATATGGGAAGCTATACGTAAAAGGACTATTTTGATTTCATCCCAGAGTGAACAAAATTCTGCATCACTCAACTCTCCACTGTGAAACTTATGAACAATATCATTGCGGTAAAACTTAATTCTGACGATGTCTGCGGTCAAGCTAAAATCACCTCTACTTGGGGGACGATCCCATCCGCTGCGCAGAGGAGGTAGTTGCGTCGGACAAAGAGTTTTTAATAGTTTGGAAAGCAGGCTGATGTCAAAGTCTCTTGATTCTCCAAACAATCCTGTTGCTGGATAAACAACATTACGTTGAGGCTTCAGGAGAACGTGGAATAACTTTTGCTTGGTAGCAAACTCACTCAGTTTGTTGGCGAGACTGCTTGGTGGGTAAAAGGAGTCAAACTGTGCTCTCAATAACTCGGTACCCGCAAGCATAATCAGTCGAGAAAGACGCTGATAATTTTCGTTTTCAAACGTTGAACGGAGCGCTTGGTTAGCTATGGCAGAAGCAGTCGCCATTTCGTTTGTGCGTCTCCAAGAAGGAGATTTCGCTTCTACAAACAAAACACTGCACTTGGGTCGTTACTACACATCAGCGGTTCTAATCCTCCTGCGAAAAAAGTTTAAAAGGTCATGCAATATTCTCTGATTTGCGATTTGGTGTCAATCGAGAAAGGGCCGTAGGATGGCTTTTTCCTTTTCCTTCTTTGAGTCATTTTCCCGAAATTCACAGAATGCAAGACAAGAAATTCGCCTCACCCCACGGCACTTAAAGTAATACCAAAACAAACTATACATCGATAAACAAACAATTAAATTTATTTTTTATGAATTATTGAATAGGATATCTTTAATTACCATATCCTCATTAATTATGGCTTTTCAGCTCTAATGAAAACAATTATTGGAAAAATATAGATTGATTTTTACGAGGGTGTTATAAAAGGCATCACGCAAATCAGCTTGACACTTTTTGAAAATTGAATTCGACAGTTGTCCTAATAACACGGTTATATCTTCTTGCAAACAACTATGTTAGTGAGGCAAGTGTCTTCGTGAAGTGAAATAAGCTAAATGAATAGGAAACAATGATCTGTAAACGAGAGTTTCGCTTCTCTTTGAAACAAACACTGAGTGTGCTTGTCACCGGCGAGAGTTTAAATAACCACAATGGAATAAATACGGAATGTTCTGGGGCCCAGAACATTCCGTTTTCTCGGGCTCAATTTCAAAAGTGGGGGTGATTGTTTGACAGGGTGGATCACACATGATGGAACTAAATATTTAGGTCCTGATAAGTTTAGTAAGACTAAAGGTTTACCCCGTCCGCCAATTAGAGGTGGCTGTTTGACAGAAATCTTATCTACAGTAAATATGCGAAGCGAATAGAATACTTTGGAATTAAAGTCTTCAATAACACAACGTCACACGAAAAGTATTTAAGAGCTAATGTCAGCATGCATCAAACAAACAGCGGCAAGTCACCCAAATTTGTTTTCCCTCCTACTTTCATATTTTGTAGCCCAATGTTTTCTTATAATTGTGGTGTAGTTTTTTTGTAAAAATTTATTTTAGTTTTCGAGAAATAATTTTTTTCGTTCGACCGCTCAAATATGCAAATTTTCACCGTGAATATTACACGAGTTGTGTGACCTCATGTAACGAATGTACTAGACCTACGGTAATTTTGTTAACACAATCCTTTGTTTTATCATCTAAACTTAATCCCCTGTCGTTATTGAAGCTGGCAAAAAAATATTTATTTTTTGGTGAATATTTTTGTCCGACATACTTTTCCTATGTCGAAAAGTAGCATCAAGACAAAGACAGTTTTGACAATGACCGATATGACACAATCTACTGAGCTTCAAGCTTTTGTAAGACAAAAGGATGGTTATAAAGTTACTGTAAAAATTTCGTTGTGTATTCGTGTTGTTCTATCTTGAGAAGAATTCAAAGTCCGGCAAAATTTACTTGATAGCGACTATGAAATGTACATGATGCGCCTACTTGTCGCCACCGGTAACTGGCATAAATCACTACAATTTGTAAAAAAATCTAACATAACACTCTTACCTTGTTTATTTATGATTTTATTAGCTGATTCGATGATCACGTTAATTATGCTCTACCACATTCTAGCCAGATTTGAGTTCCAGTTTATATATCGTCTCTAACTTATTATATCAGTTGCGTGACAAGCGTGACACAGAAATTCAAAGATGATTCAACCTCCGAAATACCAAGAGATGGGTTTTTTTTCCTCTTTGCATGACATCTAGAAAAACCTTTAAGGAATTACTGCATTCAGAAATGTCCAGATCCATCAATGATTCCTTTGCCGGCTGAAGTCAAAGTATGGTTACAGTAGTCAATTTGATTAACAAGCTACATACTGATTTAGCTAACTGATCTGTTCTATAAGCGTCTCATCTTACATGCTAACATGGAGATTTGCTATTTAGTTAAATCGTTCGCTGGTGGAACTTGTGGGTTTAGTTATCGAGAAGACCAAGTCGTTCCCTTGCGTGATTGTTAAAAAGACATTTCAAGTCACTTGCGGAGTTGCAAGTTTTCAGATCCGGAAAATGAAGTTGATCTTGTTCTGCCGCGTGCCGGTGTCCCAGCGGATTTGGACCCCCCGGTCAAAATCCGCTAGCGGATTTGGACCCCCCGACAAAACTGAGTGAAAACATCATCCTTAACGTTTTAATAAAAATGGATGATACTTTACGTTCCAGAGCGTACTAAAGTATGTTTTCAATTCAAAACATGCGTCTCGTTAATGCATACGAACTGGCATCCCGTCGGATGTTTCTTTTGACCAAGGGAAAATAGGCAAGAATTTAGTTTAATGTCTGGAGAGAGGTCGTTTTTGAACCTTTTCCGCGATAGTCGAACACCGTTAGATTCAATCAGAAACAAACTTGTAACACTAATTTATTTTGTCATGGTTCAATGCCCGAGTGTTGGGACAACATGGTAAAGTGCGAGGGATTTAAGAGTGCCTCGGAGGACGAGTGGCTTTGCATTGTCTGCATTGATTGCCAGACTCTAGACGTCTTCGTAATTGTTAAGGATCCCTCAACAGTTAATAATCGCTAAAATTAGAAAATAAGATTGAGTTCGATGTAATAGTCTCCACTTTTGTTAAGACGTTGACATTAACGTTGATTTGCATCTGAAAATAAGCTGAGAGTTCCAATAGTTCAGAATAGAAACATTTTTACTTATCACAGGCTTTACGAAAGACTTATAATACGAGTAGTTTCTTCGTTCTTGTTCAAAAACTGTTTGATTTTACAAATTGCCCCACTCACGGATCAAATCCCGGTGTTGGGTGGAATCGTGGTTCCAATAGCAGATGTAGGGTGCCAAAAGAAATGTCCGGCCATGGTAAAGGTAGGGTTAAGTCGATTCCAAAAGACGATAGGGGAATTGGCAAGCGTGTACCACAGATAGTACTCAAGATGTCTGGAAAATTCATAAAATCTGGCTTCGGTAAGTAGGCTACTTACCATCGTGAGCAAAATTACGCGTGACGTCAGAGTTAAGTTTCGATTGGGAATTGGTCAATAGGCTACCAAAAATTCAGACAGAGACGGAATTTTCTGAACTAATGTCTGAACACTTTGTTGGCTTTCCGCTGTCTGGGGGACGCGTAATTATGCACACGGTGGTAAAGGGCCCCTCCGCATTACCAACTAGACGCTGACAAAACATGTTTCTCTTCGCCAAAATCACATCAGAATTTGTCCTTGCTAAATGTCAAGTGTGCTGCACGTATTAGCACCCCCGGGGGACCCCTTTACATAAGAGGGCGGGGGTGCGCGCCCGGAATTTCAAAAACGACCGTGCTTGTAAAAGGTGCTTAAGTCTTATCCGTGTTGGAGTGGCAACAATTAGCCTGTAAAAACGAGTGCTTATATCCTTTTCTGTCTTTTTCAATGCTTCCCTCGCTCCTACAGAGGATTCATACAAATATGAGAGCCGTGCCGCGTTTACTTTGTACAGGTAGAAAAGGTCGTCCAGAATGAGTGTTTCGTTCTACAATGAAAACCCTAACTCAGAAATGACTCATTTCGGATAAATTTTACGCTGGTTATTATGTGGCAACCGGTATCAACTCGTTCTTGTACAAAACTCATTCGGATATCATGTAAAAGGCCCCTAAAAGTTTTTATTCCCAGAACATCACGCTTTGCTCGCCTGTCTGAATACTAAAAATTTCAGTAGCGTTGAAGCAACAACCCGATTTTAACTGCTTCGCTGCCGTTGAAACAACGATTAGGAAAGAAAGTACATATTTTAATATTTTCAATTCAACGTAAACAAAAATCTTTATAAATGGTAAATATTCACTTGTGTCGGTATCAATTATTGCGTGACTAGCTTATAATATAAATGAGGGAGGGGAAAACACAACGCAAAACCTGAGCTCCTGTCAAAAAGTAAAACCCAGGCGTAATATAATAATAGAAACGGCTTATAAAATCATAAATAAACAAGGTAAGAGTGTTACGTGAGACTTTTTTACAAATTGTAGTGATTTATTCCAATTGACGGTGGCGACAAGTAGGCACACCATGTACATTTCATAGTCGCTATCAAGTAAATTTTGCCGGACTTTGAGTTCGTCTCAAGATAGAACAACACAAATACACAACGAAATTTTTACAGTAACTTTATAACAATCCTTTGGTCTTTTAAAAGCTTGAAGCTCAGTAGATTGTGTCATATCGGTCATTGTTAAAACTGTCTTTGTTTTGATGCTACTTTTCGACATAGGCAAAGTATGTTGGACAAAAATATTCACAAAAAAATAAATATTTATTTGCCAGCTTCAATAACTTTAGGGGATTAAGTTTAGATGATAAAACAAAGGATTATGTTCACAGAAATACCGCAGGTCTAGTACATTCGTTACATGAGGTCACCCAACTCGTGAGAAAATTTGTATATTTGAGCGGTCGAACGAAAAAAGTCATTTCTCGAAAACTAAAATATATTTTCACAAAAAAAACTACACCACAATTATTAGAACATATTGGGCTACAAAATATGAAAGTAGGAGAGAAAACGAATTTTGGGCGACTTGCCACAATATTTCAAATTTGTTCGATGGATGCTGACATCCTCTATTAAGTTTCTGGTCTTAGAAAACGTCTTATCTACGCTTATATGAAATTGGGGTTGGTTCTTCTGTCACAGTTTTTGCGTAAGAATTTAGTTCAAGCAACTTAATTCGACAATAAGGTGACATATTCTTAAGATCAAAAACCTCGTTTGGGTAATTGTCTTTGTATTCCGTACGGATGAACGCGTTAACAAAGGGACCTCTTTTTTTCCCAAACATTATAACGTACGTTACAGCGACTAGTGTTAGTGAAAATGCTTTTTTGAATTAGGATGTTCCGCGATGGAATTCGAGCGCTAGTTAAGGGACGATTTGTGAAATTTAGTGACTTCGGCGAACAAAGTTCCGAAAACTTGATAGTCAGTTGAAGTTTTAAAGTCTA